CAAATAGCCAAGGGGCTTGTATGTTTACGTCCTTTAATCTCATAAATTCTGCTAACTGCATCCAATGAACTGTAAAATGTTCCAGTAAAAGGCAAAAGTTAATTAACGATAAAAAAAAATCCAATTTTAAATAATTGCGATATGCAGAAACTTTGAAATGCATATGATTTTTGTATTTAAAGAACACTTTAAAAGGTAACTAAAAGGAAGGACATCATGCAGAGCCAACTTTTAATGGGTCTGAGATATAAAAAGGAAATTAATGTAACATAGAATGATTACTTAGCCTCTTGCTTTCACGGAAAAGGGGTTTCATAAATCATAACGTACAAGTCCATCACTTCCTTTTTTATTGTCCTTGGTGGTCTCATCTAAATAAATTGAGAAAATTACATTAAAATCTTACACAAAAAAATTAATTATTACAAGGTCCATTAATAACTGAAATAAACTGCATTGACAACACAACCAGTTATCAATGCAGTTTAGTTCAGTTGTCAATGGACATTACAGTAATTAATTTTTTTATGTAGAACCTGGTTGTAATTCTCCCAAATAAATTTCCCGTCCAGGAACTCATGGATCTAAATGTTTCCAATGGATAACTTAATATTGGCTTTACTTTTGACAGCACAATTAGCATGTTATGGTCCTTACATTAATAACCAGATTGCGGCCTTGTGGGCAAGGGGGGCGGGGGAATCAGTGAAACGATAAAGGAACAGCAAGCCAAAATAGGAATAATAATAGCGCTATGAGGATTTTAAACAAACAGGTTGTCTGCAAAATACGAAAACATGAACTAAAAATAGCATACCAAGCATCACAAGCAAACCCATAGAGTGTATCAGTGGGCACAGCAATAACCTTCCCAAATCTCAAAGCTTCAACTGCCTCTGCAACAAAAGCATCAGTTGCTGGACGAACCACCCCAATCTTGCTTTCAATACTCGCCTCAGAATTCTCCACACTCCAAGCCATATTTCTGGAAAATTTTCTATTCAACCTCCTACGAACCCCAACTTGCAAACCCCTAGAAGCACAGATACAATTCCCTCCGTCAGCCATTTCAACAACTAGCAGTGTTCGATTAAATAAATAAAACACACACAGACAGAGGAGGAGAGAGATGGGAAGGGAGGGTGTGACTGACAGTGATGAGTAAAAGGCACCTCGAATGGAGACGATGGGAATGGGATAAACGTGGAGAAAATGGGATGCTTGTGCTGCAATTCTGGTCGCAATATTCATTCTAGTTTTGGCCTAATCCTTGGTCAACAGTTCCATTTTTTAGCAGTAAGCACAGTAATAAGATCACAAGCTTCAACTTTTGGCTGCAAGATACAAGCAGCGTGACATTGACAAAAATACCTAATACTTCCCTGACATATAGCAGCCAAGTTAGTCATGAGCCATTAACATAATAACAGAAGTTTGAAATGCACCAATTCACAGAAATAGAGAAACAAAATAATAATAATACAAAAATAATGGCATCACAGAACAAAAGATGAACCGTATATGCAGGGTCTCACACAAATTCCTAAATTTCCAAGAGCAATAATACCAGAAAATACAGAGAAATGCCCAAAAATTAATATTTAAACATGAGAAGAAAATCTAGAAACGAGACCACTGCCAACTACAAGAGAGGAGGAAGGTAACGTGGCGAACAAAAGAGAGAAGCAAAACCCTACCGAACACAAACACTATCTTCCTTCGGCGAAATTTTCCGAGGGGAACAGTGCCGAAGCTAGCTGGCACGTTTGATTACACGAAGTGGAAGAAGAAGAGGAACAGTGCCAAAGCCAGCTTCGTTCAAGCGGAGATGTTTATTATCCTTCCGAGAGAGCTGGGTCAAGGAAGGAACGGGCACATAATTACTGAACTACCCTTAAGGAAGTTGAGCAAAGGAGTATTGTATTAGTTAACAATAATTATTAAGCAAATATAACATAGAAATTAAATTTTAGGTAATTAACTGTATTGTACGATAAGACATTTTAACGTATCGATGTTGGAATCTCCGCGGGTGAGGTGTCACTTTTAATACTTCATCATGTGATGTTACCGCATAGATCAAGTTTATAAACTCTCTCATTTTCACCCATCAAATAATATTTAAATATTTGAGAAGTCAGATTGACAGGAAAGAATAACTATTTCATTTTTTGATATAAATTTGACACAATGGGAGTAAACTACTCAAAAAATTATACCAAATAAAAATAAATAAATGACCTAATTGTGTATCAACTGCCATTTTTCAATAGAAGAAAAGGTTTTATCGGAATAATTATTGATTTTTATTTCAGAATATTTGATTTCTTTTTTATTTGGAATATGATTAGTTTTAATAAAAAATACATGTAAATAATTAAAATACAAAATATGACACCTTATCAGTGAGGGTTAAGACTAACAATAAGGCCAATTTTTCACAATGAATTAAAATTTGAATCCTTCCATCAAAAATAATCAACATTTAATATTCAAATAATATTACTTTTTTATAAAAAGATACTTGAAAGTAATAAAAAAAGTAAACACTTTTCTATTGAGAGATAGAAAATGACCAATATGCATATGTATTTTAATATTTTAATAATTTTAATCTAAACGACTACAACTGTGATTTACAATAATTTATGTTTATAACACAAATTGGATTTCAAAATTTTCATTAGTTTTTTAATAACATAACTAAATATTAACCATTATATTATATATATATATATCCTCTAGCAAAAAAAACACTGTATATATATGTATATATTAAATAATTATAATTTATCAGCTAAAAAAAATTATAATTTTAAAAAATCAAATATTCTGTTCAGCTCTACTTTCTCTATCCCACCATCCATCCATTTATGACATCACATTATAATATTATAATTTCATAAAAATTTATAAAGCAAACACTTATAATGATATTCTTTAGGTAAATAATATAGGAGTTCCATGTTGAAATTTATAAAGTAAGAAATTGATGAATTGTAACCTAACCATTCTTTTTTAAATAATTTTTTTATTATTTTCCCTTTCTTTTCATTCAAAGCCAAATAATACAATATTAAAATATATTCTGTTCTTTCCCACCTAGCTAAACGAGAGAATATTAAAATAATGCAATATTTGTTTTTGTTAAACCAAACATTATGCCAAAGTTTTGAAGGTAAGTAAAAAAAATTTTGGATTTGAAAATTGTCAAAAATTGTAGACAACAAATGTAACATTTTCTTTTTCAAAAAAAATTAAAATAACATTTCCATTTGGCATTCTAGTTTGTTTACAGGAATAAGGCACAACATTTGTGAAATAATAAACACCATCCATCTCTAGATAAGAGTGTTTAGATGTCTACACACACACACACACACACACACACACCAAGGGTATTTAGATGTTTGCCAGCAAGTTTTTTTCTTTTTTTTTTTAAGAAACATTGTGAAAAAAAAAATTTTAGCATGCCAAGTATATAATGTTAAATTATAAAAAAAAAATCATTTGTCAAAGTTTTGTTGGAGAACATGTTAATAGTCACTGGCAGTAGCACCTAAGTTTAGCCTTGAAAGTTGAAACATCAATATATATTAACAAATTACATAAAATTTATAGATAACTATGTCATTCATAAATTATAAAAATTATGACTTACGAGAATTTAGAGAACATGTTAATAGTCACTGACAAGTTTTTGCTTCTTGGAACATTACTCAAGAACCTAAAAACTTGTCATAAGTTTTGTGAAATTAAAACTTCAAAGTATTGGCATGAAACGGTCAAAATCATCTCACACAATGCACAAAAAAAGTTTGTTAGTGTGGAATAGCCAAAATCATCTCATGTGCATCAGGCGTGCCAAAAGAACTAGTCTTCAATTGTGATGTTTGTGAATTCTCAAGGTATTTTACTTCAATTTTCTTGGATCATCTAAACTTTTACCACTTATTTGGAGGATCATGCAAATCAAGAAATCAAATTGTATTAAAGGAAAATGGATGAATACTATGCTAGAAAGAAAAATGCAAAGAGCTATGCCTACTCGTAGGTTGATCTACACTAAGCAAACTACATCACATAGTTCACGGTAATGCTTCATGGTTAATTAAGTGTGTTTAATTTTCAATTTGTTAAAAGTCAGTTTAGTAAAAAGTTTATTTGATAAAAATTAATTTAATGACAGTCAGTTGTTATAATAAAATTTATGTTTGGATACATTTTTTCAAAAGTCAGTTTGACAAATTAAAAATTCTTTAAATTAATGAAAATTTGTGCTTTTGAAATGTACTTTTGAATATACAATGATAAAAAAAAGACATTAATTTATAATTTTTATTATATAAATATTATATATTAGAAATTTTTAAAAATGTCAAAAAAATTTTCAATAACATAAAATTTAAGATGTTAAATAATAAGAATAAAAAATTATATAATTTAATATTTAAAAAAATTATGTAATAAATAGTTCACATTCATTAATATTGAATAGTTACATTAATGGTTCAATTATAATATATAATTTGATTTTTAATAGAATCTTTAAACTGTTAATTTGAAAAAAAAAGTAAACTTATGAGTATTAATTTGAAATCAGGATAAATTATAGGACTTAAAATACTAATTTTCCTTGCACAAACTTTATAATAATTTTTCCCTCTTTCTTTTTCAAGCAAAGAATGTCTTTCTAGTGAAGGAGCAGATTTTGGTTAAAAGAAAAGAAGATCAAGATGAGACAGAGGAGACGCAAAGGAGAGACGGAAGAGACAAAGCTCAAGACGCCAACAAAACAAGAAACCAAACTTGGAAGAAGAAATGGAGGGACTCAAGTCTGATCTGTGACCAAAAGATTGTGGAGACGCAGAGGAGAGATGGCAAAGAAGGAGGCGTGAGATGGGAGAGCTCAAGTAGAAGAGATGAGAGTGACAATAAACACAAGCCTCGAGTGCACACGACAAGAATAAACATAATGAAGGTATTATGGTCAAATGCAAAAGTAGGTACCAATTTGATCACGTTCACATATGAAAAGCTACTCAATGGAGCTTTGAAAAATTCCACATTTCATCCCATCCTAGAAGTCTTTTCCAAAAATCCTTTTGATTTGATTGATCCCAAACAACATTTCACTTCCCCAAAGTAAAAAAGTACTGTTAGGATGTGAAATATGGAGTTTCCAACCGCACCCCAAGTTGTCTAAAGTGCTTGGTCTGAGTGCTGCTATCATTCTCGTGTCGTCCTTTGTCTTAAATAGGGGTAGAACAGTTAACTCTCTTTCAAACTTGTAACTTTCCCGCCAATCCTCCAGGGCAACTGCTCTTCCTTCAGTGGGTCATGAATTGCTTCCTGTGGCCGTAGAATGTTCTGAAATAAAAGGGATTGTGGTCGAAATACACTTCTGGGTAGCGATGCATCATTTCATTAATCTTGACTGCTCCGCTCATTTCGCTGGGCCTAACTAATGAACTGCGGATGCCTATTTTCCCTAGCCCAATACCTACTTCTAGCCCAAAAGTTCCTGCGGCCAAACACTAAGGTTATATGAAAAATGAAATTTCAGGAAGATCAAGAATCTCATTACAGACTTAGCTCAGGCACTAAGGCATCAATAAACATCTATAAAACATCTACATCCTACAAGGAAACAAGCATAAAGGTGGTGTAATTTATAGATGCAATAGCTAAAAAGAACAAAAGTTACAATTTCATGTTGTACATGTCATATATATATGTATAGATATTACAGAAAATGAGCTCAACCCCGCTAGGGTATGACTCAACAATTTAAACTCAGCCTTTAGTTCTCATGATTGTGATGCTACCTTTTCCTCCTTCTGTACGAATTTTCGTTTTGCCTACAACAGGTTTCCCAGAAAATGCTGACTTAGGGTAAGAAGATGGATCTTCAACTTTTGGCTTGGATTTCGAATATGTCCGAGTTTGTATCCGCTGATTTATTTCCTTCAGAGTGACATCTCCTTGGGCACCACTAGGTTTGATGAAAGCAAATGGATACGCCACAGAAGTTGCCAACTTGGTTGGCATCTGTATCATAGATTTCCTTCCTACATACACATGTAAAATAAGTCCAACTTTAAAGGTGGGGGGGGGGGGGCGGGACATACATTACATATATAAAAGCATGCTTCACGTTTTATGCATCATTACATCATAGCATGCAAGGAAATTCAGCTAAACGTCCATGTCATTGAAGTTGAAAGATAATTCCAGAAAGCATAGTTATATAGGATCTAAATCGACTTGGTTGAAACCAGTCTGTTTATAATAATTAGACTATATTTACAATTGAACTGGATAAAGTTACATTCACTAGGCAGATTTGATTGCCCCAATGAGTAAAGGAACCTTATATGTAATGTCTATTATACCCTTAGTATCATTACTCAATGAAAATGTTCCTTTTGATGACTTTTTCTCTCAAATAGGTGCACAAGTATCAACTTCCATGCATTTTATTCACTTTTTCATTTTCTTTCCAATCCATTCCTTCCCATTCTATGGTACCAAATGTAGCACTCGACGATTGAATGAGGGAGCCATCACTTGAATCATATCGATCTTTCTTTAATATAAAAAAAAAAATATTTGTTTTCTGTTGTTCTATGATTCAGACATTCAATATTACTTTAGTGAAAATAATATACATTATCAGTATTAGTATTACTATTTTTTCAAAAATATTATCTTAAATTTGAAGCATATATATAGTATTTTTCAATGTAGGCTAAATCGGCTCCACCAGCTTCAAAACTATGTCTAGAAGTGAAATTAAGCAAAGGTCCAGTGAAATTGTAAGTTTGCAAGGAAGGCAAAAAGACAGAGAAAGTCAAACCTTTGAAGATAACATTTCTGTGTGGTCGAGTAGCATGCTGCTTAACCACATTTTGCTCATTTGCCGGTTGGATGTCGCAGAGCTCTGTAAAAAAATTATGAGTAAACCAAGTGAAAAGCCAAAGAGAGTGAAGGAAGGAAGAACTGTCATGAGTAACCAGCCGTGAATATCCTAACAATTCATTCACCTGCAACATCAATCTGAACATCACCTGCCCCTGAAACATTCCTGAATCAAAAGGCATAATCATCAGATCATTATTCATAATAGGCAACATTATGACACAAATCATTAAAGGGCTAAATTGCATCTAAAGAAGCATACATATAATCAGTGTTGAATTCCATTTCAGCATCATTAAAGCATTCTGCAAGCCATCCTTCAGCTGACAGCTCAAGGTCCTCATAACTGGAGGCAGAAGCACTTCCTAATGCATATTCCAATATGAATGGGGAAACATCAGAAATAAATATCCACAAATATTATCAGAAGATAATCATTCAAGAGGCAAACCTGACGTTCCAGGCACCCACTGTGAGATGTCTGGGAAAGCATCTTCGATTAAGTCCTCCTTCCCCTAGATAAGAAAAGAAGCATGAATTATACAATCAGGCAATTCCACAACTCTAGTTTGTATTGAAAGATTCTCAGCCAAATCACTATGACACTATCAGACACACTTGACAAGCAAAAATGTGAAGAACAGAGCATTATCCTCAATTGCCAACGCCAACTCAATAAGATGAGCTCTAAATAGCAAGAATAAAATAAAATTAAGCACATTACTTTTTTAGAACTTCTGTGGCATGTAATTTGGGTGATGGTGCATAACAGAATTTGAGAGGATCTTAGGATTGGGAATGTTCCTTTAGTCAAGCTTTCTCAAATTTGGATCATCTTCCACATTGCAAAACTCTCTCATTTGAGATTTTTGGTCTTTCCAGAAATATTTTTTTAATTGGAATCTTCATTTTGCCACAAATCCCTCTGATAGAGAAACCATGAACTTCAGGCTCTTTAGCCTATTCATCTTTCTTCCTCTTCAGATAAGAGAGCTTGCATTATGATTTGGCGAGTGCAATTTTGATTTCTTAACTTCTTCTCCCAGCAAGAAACCATTTTACTTGAAGCATTTAATTGGAAATCTAAAACTCTCCTAGAAGTGGAATCCTCTGTGTGGACAGCAGTACCCAACAGAATAAATACTTGTGAAAAGCTGCAAGTTCCAAAGCCAAATAATGCACTTTCCGCTATTATTTGTTTTTTGAGTAGGGAAAGTCCAAATTCTGAAACAACTATGTAGCACGGCTACTTTGTTTGGAACAAGTTCTTGTTAAGTTGAGTATCTGCAGAAAGTGAATGGATCAATTTTCATTGATTTGGTATAATCACTTGAGAAGGAACAATGACGGCAGCATTCTGTGGTAATACCCAGTTTTTGCTGTGATCTCTTTTTTTGGTTAGAAAGGAATGCTAGAATTTTTAATGGAGCCTTAGCTACATTAAATGACTTAAGGGAAAGGATAGTTTCTCTTGCTGTCCTTCACTTTTTTGTTCATAGTTGATCTTAAGTTCATCGTTTTTCTCCCAGTTTCCCTCCTCTTTTCTTGGGGATTTTTCCTTCCAGATGGTTGTCTTTATCCCCTTCTATAATTCACTTCTTTTCTAACAAGCTTCTTTTTCAACAAAAACAATAAAAACAAATTAAGCACATAGATTGAGGTGGAATACAAGCAAAATTCCTATCACATAAAGAACTAAGACACATCATATGAGAAGGACTCATGCAAAGCATATGTACCGCTAAACAATCTCTGTGACAGAGACACAGAGGTCTGAACCGAACATGTAAAAAAGAAACTAAGGTATTTTAAAGGGAAAAGAAAGCGACCCTAAATGCCAATATATGTTAAAAATAACATGAAGAGGAAAGAACTGTGAATAACAATAGTTATGGAAGATATAGGTCTAACATCAGAAAAGATAGATCTTACAGAAATAAGCAGACAAGTTACATCAAGTTATAGCCTGAAGTATTTTTCTTCCAATCAACAAAAATTAGCATGCAATTTATCTCAGACAAACTTCAAATATTTGCACAAGTCATCAGTCTGGTAACTATTCAGCATTTGAATCTAAAAAGCCAGTCATTTTTAGAGTCTCTTTTGCACATAGCTTGAATAGTTCAATGTGAATGCCACTCAAGAAAAAAAAATTAGCACTGACATCATTAAATTTCAAGCATGCTGAAGACATCTCTTCATTGGAAAGAGAAACATGCACGTCATTGCTGTGCAAGTGGAACTGGAGCATCCGACGTCTCTTGAGAAGAGAGGTCTCCCTGCATTCCTCTGGCTCCTTTACTATATTACCTGAAATTCAACTTCATTTAAATCAGAAAAAGAAAAAGAACACTTAAGATAACGTCAAGAAATCTGCTTCCTGCCAGAGAATTGTCCTACCACTGTAAGTAACACGGTAAGCCAAATCCCCACAAGCCTTAACTGGGGTTGTTTCATCATCAAACACGTGGGAACTCTCGTCTTCATTTTGAGGCACTTCATTCCAAAGCTCCTGAGACATGTCTGGTCAAAACAATACAATTCTCTCAGGGATCAGTCATTTAAGAATTGTATTGTTACCATTGAAAGACTTACCAAAAGTGGATGTCTTTTGTAAACAATTGACCTCCTTTTGCCAACCCCACGGCTCCCTTCCACCATTAATAGATAACAGATAAGTAATTGCCAAAAAGTTCACAACAACAGAACAGAAGATGTCAGAGAAATATCAAAGAAGATGCAGAACCAAAACTAATGGGGAAAAATTCTCAAGAGTTGGGATGAGTTCAGTCCTTGGAGAATGATTCTAGACATCATACTTATAACTGAAGACAATCCCGCAAAAAGTAAATGGCACAAAGATTTACCACATTGTAAACTAAAGAAGCAATGACCAACAATGAAATGTAGTACAATGACACTAAAGAGACATCTGAAGAACAGAGAGCAAAAGCTAATCTGGATCCTCTAAAATTGAAGTGTTTGTGAACTCATTTACTGTCTATCTACCGACTCTTTTATTGTCACATCAAAAGAGCTTCACAAGCTTCAACTTAAGAGTGTGTTTGGGTTTAAGTGGTTTTTCTTCATCTGTTGATGATGTGAGTAACGGAAAAACTCCAAAAGGAAAAAGGGGAAAGGGGAAAAAACAAAAAGAGGAAGGGGATAAAATGATAACCCTAAGGCCCCAATTAAATCAGAGCCCACATTCTCACCTTTTCTTTATCCTTTACAACCTCACACACATCGAACAATCTCGAGTAAAACTAATATACATATAGAAAATTACCTTATCAAACAGAAACATTTTTCAGCATGTGATGCTTTCTTTTAAAAATGCAGAATAAGAGCAGAACGAGAAGTCCAAAAAAAAGACTTACATGAGAGCTGAAAATACTGCTAATTAAAGGGAACCTATTTCATTTCTCAAATTAAAAAAACAAAAGCTCCAAATTAAAGAAGAAAAATATGTGAATAACCAAAATCAACATCTGCAAACACAAAAATGAAAGCATTCAAGTGTAGCTTGTTAAACTAAACAAATCATGCGTGCCTTCGGAAGAACTCATATAGAAACACAGAATTTTACTTGTCATTATTGAAATCCATCACAATATCAGCTGCAATTAAATTCTTCTTACTGATCACAATCCAATATCTTTCTTTATTCCCTTAAATCCAAGTCACAGGAGATCGATTTTGCTCACTCGAAGTAGCAGCGTCCACTTCAAATAGATGATTGGTATGAGAGAAGAATCATCACAAGTACCCGCCGTCTCTCTTCCTTTTGGTGTCTCTGCTTCCCCTCTTCCTGCATTTTATACGTGCTTTTTTAAAAAAATTCTTAATAATTTTAATTATTAATTTAATTGTGATGGGCTCTCGGCAATAAAAACTGTTACTTTTTAATTCTTAATTATAAATGTTAGCAAAACTTTAAAAAAAATTACAAAAGAATACTGAATGAAACATGATCCATGGTTCCATACACATCTTAATAAGACCAAAGGACGGAGCCCGCTTTTATTCAAGGGGACCAGTGTCAGTCTGCTACTCGTGAACCGTGATATTTGTTTCGGTAATGTGATATTATTTCTTTTTTATAAATCATATGTATTTGACTCCATGTTAAATATTTATATATATAATTTAAATATTTTGATTCATCATATTAATATTAATATATTAATAAAAATTATTAAAAGTGCACATATATAAAATTTTAATTTGGTTCCTTAATTTTTTTAAAAAATTAAAAAAATAAATTAACCCCTAAATTATAAGTCTATAATCCTAAAATTATTTTTATAATATTTTTAAATTTTTAAAAACTATACAATGCATTATTATTAATAAAATTTAATTTTGATCATTAGATGATTAAAAAATGAACAAAAAAATTTGTAAAAAATGACTTAAAATTTATAGACAATGACCCACAAAGTTACATAAAATTACAAATAAAAGTTTTTATTCTTTTTTTTTGTAATTATTGATGTCATTTTCTATTATGATCAACTAAGAATTAAAATTAACTTTTATTAATATTAGGAGTTATGAATATTGCACAAAAAATAAATTTAGAATCCCAAACACTTCTAAAGCTATAGTTTGGAGATCAAATTATTATTTAACCCTTTTATAAAACATTTTATAGTTTTTAACTTAACATCATTAGTTTTAAATGATATTTTTTTCAATCAATGTTATTTTAAAAATAAAATTTAATATGTCAACATTTAAAAATATTTTGTCAACATTTAAAAGTTTAATGGTAGCATTTCTTGCTAATGAAACTGATATTAGAGTTAAGAAAATGAAGGAATATTTCATAAAATTAAGAATCAAAATAAAACCTTACATAAATTTGAAAAATAAAAAAATTACGTTATAAAAAAAAAAAGAACAGACTAGCATACTAAACAATATATACCTACTATACGTTACAAAACTAGTGGTAGATCAAATATTAAAAAAAGACTTATATACTTAATTCTATATGCTTAATATATTTTTTTTTCAATCAAATCAAAATAAATGAAGTTTAAAATACAAATTATATCGATAAAAAGAAATTATTCTAGTATAAATAATCTACCAAAAAAAAATCCACGCGTTAAATTGATTGGAAGCATGTACATTAAGTACAAGGAATTGCACCTATACCAAATATCCAATTGATCTTAAATATTTAATATACCATTATCTGATCAAATTAAAACAGTTGAGTTTTAATGTGTTGAAAAAATCAATAATAAAAGTTTTTTATAGAATAAAAAATGTGTAAAATATTCACATATATTCTTTATTTAATTAAAAATAAGTACCTTAAGTATGTGGTGCTAAAAATGAATTTTAAGATTTTCCTAACTCCACTAAAAAAAAACACTACTCATTCCCATAACTAAGGGCATTTTTTGAAAGTCTTGCTTTGTTCAAAATATAAAATGTTTGGTAGTCCCTGATTTTTTTTTCCCAACTATGACTAATGTTATGTTTGAATGTATGGGAATTTTGATTTGAATTTCTATTTAAGCCAAATCCCCTGTTTACATACATAAAAGTTTATGGATTTGAATTTGATCTAAATTTAAAGTCATGTTTTGTTATAATTTTTGTGTAATTTTAAATTTTCTTTGTATCCTAATTATTTAAATTTTTAGCTATTCCAATCCTCTCCTTCTCTTCATGTTTTCACTTTCAAGATCATTGTTATTCTTGTATCTCCTCTCTTCTCTCACCTATTGGAAAATAAAGGTAAATGCATGCTCCTTCAAGTGTCTGTGGTCAATCAAGTTTTTGATGTTGTAAAAAATTATAACTTTATTAATTTAAATAATTAACAGTTCAAGAAAAATGAATAACATAAATTAATAGATATGGATATAAAAAAAATATAGAAATAAAAGTAAGCAATAATTAATTATGAGGAAAACGTAATAACTTAAAGCTTTGGGCTTCAAAATTCAATATATAGGTCACTAGTTTTTGTCTTTTAAATTGACTTTTTAATCAATCAATATCATTAACAAATCAATTCCACCCAAGCCACTCTGGACACAGCTTCTGATTTAAACCATTGTTCAATAGTTCAGTGAACAGTAACTAGTTGTATTTACAGTACTAACTCCAAGTTGATGAAAGATGGCTCCTGACATGGCTTCACAGAAACGAGGATCTCGAAGAACGTTTCTCAGAGCTGCCTAACAATGGCTCTTTTCACGGCTGCACAAATATGAGGATCCTTAAAAAGATGTGTTTGGTAATTTTGCTGCCAATTCAGAGGGATGACAATTTCTTTTTCCATTGAGTAATAATCATGCATATCGGGCAACATCTAGACCCATTTGTCATTGCATTTTACCACTGTCCCATATCTCATATCAAGACCCATGGCGTTTTCAAATTTCATGTTCTCTACTATTGCCATCTACCATCCCTTGTTTGCTACATATGTCTAAACATGAAATTGGCATCCATCCTCCACCAGCTTCTAAGAAAGGTTAGCGAAAAATGCATTTATTTCCCGGGCTATCAATTACTGCTTCTCTACTCACCTCATGTCTTTTCAAAGAAGGTGAAGAGGGATATAGTTTTAATGAGCTATTTGAGTTCCATTTCTTATGTATTACCATGACTTTCCCTTCCCCTGTTTTCATCTCATCGCTGTCATCAGAGGATTCAGTGAGTATTAATGTTTTGTGCATTCATTTAGATGACCTGTTCATGTTTTTTTTTTTTTTTTCAAGTTATGGAGGTGTTAATGAGATGGTTGTAACTCACCTTTTCATGTTTTGTTTTTAGCATTATCAGCTTGCATTTCTTCAGCAGCAGCATCTTGAAGATCTATTCTCATTCTTCAAGCATCCTCTATCAGAGTATCAGACATCTCAAGCTGAATGGATCATTATATGTTGATAGACCTTGCTCTTCCTAATAGAGCATGAAAGATCTTGATGAGATATGCTCGAGTCATCCACCGAATGAACGCATGAGGTTGTTGCTAGTTATAGTGACAATTATTTTTAAAATATCTTAATATTTTTTTAAATTATTAGTTTTTTTTTAAATTAATGCTGAGTTCATTCTCATAATACCAAAGTAATTAATTAAATTATGAAATTATAGTTTTAAGTCACCACAAGTTTAAATCATGAAATTATTACTTGTGTCTATTTTTCTATATCTAAGTTTTTTCTCTACATTTCAATTCATCAAAATTACCTACAAATTTAATTAAATGGTGGCCAATCGTATAATCAACATAAAGAACATGAGAAATATATATAATTGAAAAAAATCAAAATATGTTCATAAATATAAATTCATAGTCCCAATAAAAAATAAAAAATAAATTAGCTCTATAGTTATACTACATTTCTATCCCAATGAGGTAATTTAAAAATGCATCATAAAATTAAAAAATAACAAAAACCTAAAATTCCAAACATGATAAGTGATCACATGAAAAATTAAGGACTAGAATATAAATAACTTCTAATAATCTCATCCTCAGCTTTTATAATGTTTATATGAGTTTTAAATATTTCATAAAAAATTCTTCAACTACTCATATGAGTGATTAGATGTATTTGAATAATATTACATTAAGGGTATGTTTAAGAGCATATAATGGAATAAAAAGGAACGGTCACTAATGAAATAAAATGTGGTGGAATGAAACAAAGTGAAATGAAACAGAACATTCTATTGTTTGGAAATTTTATTAAAGAAATAAATAATTTTATTTAATTATTATTTAAAAATAATTATAAAATTAATAAATTTGAGTTAGATATATTTATATTTTTTAGTATTGAAGTAAAGGAGAATAAAGGAGTAAGAGAGGGTGAGAAGGATAAGGATAATTTTATTTATATATTATCATTCCATTCTCGACCTCTAATATTAGAGTTTAAGAAAATGAGTTTAGGATGGTAAAGAATGATTTGAAAGGCCGCCCAAACCATTCTACTTTCATTTAAAAATTTATTCAAAGTAATGGTATAAGGTTGTAGCCATTCTATTTCATCTTAAAAATTCTAAAAAAAACTCTCAAACATTACCTTATTTTTTTATTCTTCTAAAATGCCAAAATATTGTTTTTATGGATTTAATAAGATTTGAATTTTGAATCTAATTTTAACTTCCCTTTTTAAAAAGATTGAGCATGCTCCCCCACACACACGCACACACACATATATCTCTTTATCTTCTCCATCTGTTATTTTTACTGTACAGAGGGAAGAGAAATAAAAGTAGTTTTTTTATTCAAATCTCATCTTTATCTAACAATTAAATATAGGGAGATAAATATATAAAATAAATTAAATAGGTATAAAATATTTATAAATTTAATCTAATACATTTTAAAATCTATACCTATTTAATTATAAAATATACACTTATTAGTAAGTTTTTTACTTTCAATATTCCATTTCTCCTTTGTTTCTCAACTTGTATCTCCTATTTTTTTTAATTTAAATAAAAAATTTTAAATATATGAATTTTAAATATAAAATTTTAAATCTAAATACTTCATTCATTGTTCATCTTTTTTAAAAAATTGATGCCTTAAATTTTAATTATTTTTATTAAGACATTTATATAACTTAATTGAAAGGATGTACAATTTTTTAAAGATCAAGACTTTAACTAAATTTTATTAAAGCATTAAAATAATTATTAATACTCTATATTATAAACGAGAGAAAGTAGTTTTTTCTATCCTAAATATATAATACCTGGGTAACTAATTCACAAAAAGTTAATAAAAATTAGCTAAGTTAGTTATATGGTATTATTCTGTAAAAAATTATATATATATATATATATACATATTTTCTCTAATCTTATTTATAAATATTTTAAGATACATGGTTTAATAATATATTTTGTCTCACTAATAGTTAATGGATGAAGAGTAAAAGGTAAATTTATGATAAAAATTTAATCATGTGACTTATATATGAGACAAAAACATATTTTCTCCTCAGTATGGCCCTACGGAAGGATGGCATGCAGAAATTGAGGAGGGAGGGGAATTTCTCTTCCCACCTTATAAATATGACTAAAGTGAGTGTTACTTTCTTTTAAATATGCCTCCCTTAAAGAGTATTAAATATGAGAGACAAGGAAAAATAGAAAAATCTTGAAATTAATAAGAGTAATGTGAAAACAAATCCATATCAAAAAATGTGAAAATAACTTAAAATCTGTCTAAATAACTCTCAAAAGTATATTCAAATTATATTTGAGATGTGTTTTTATTAAATTTAATAAATAATTATCTTGTAAATATATTTTTGTCAAACATAAATTGAAATACAAAGGGCAGTTAAATGGAGAGGGGGAAAAATTGATGTTGGATCCCTGCCAGTTTACCTTATGAAGTCATTTTTTCATTTCATTTTGCATACTGAACAAGCACTAATTAAGTTCAACTAATGTAATGGACTGGGAAAATTCCATCTTAAGCCTCTGAACCATAAAAAATTGTTAGGTATTATTCCTATAAATATATATATATATATATAATCAAAATATCTCTAATCAAATAAAATATTTTTTTATCTTTCTCATGCACCTACTATTTTTTTCTCGTTTTACTTATAAGTTATAACCATGCCTACTAGGAAAATTAAGCATGCATGGCACCCCACGATATGCCACGGCCAAATAAACCACTTATATTTGTGGGTATTTTTAAAATTAATTCATAAATACTTCACTGAATTTAAAAATTTTCTTAAATCAAGAACTAAACAAAAACTTTAAAATACTCTCTCCCCGAAAAAGAAAAAAACAATGCCTAAGAAGAGAGCCCTCAAGAAGTAGGTTCATGATCGTAAATCAAGTGATCAAGTCATCCACATTAACCTTAAAACCAATCAGGTTAAGGAAACGTTGTTCTATCTTTAAAGCAAGCAATCGGCCAATAACTTTGGTTTAGGAGCTTCCAGAAAAATAAAACGGTGGCTCTTCCCTCTGTGAAACGAAATCCAAATTCCAACCTCGTTTCCGATAATTTCCAGCTAATGAAACGCTCTTCTTCTCAGTGGAATAATCTTCATCCAATTTGATTTTCTGACCAATTCCTGCTTCTTCTTCTTCTTCTGTTAACAAAAAGATTCTGATCACTTTCAGTCCAGTCCATGCACTTAGGCTCTTTTAAAAAAAATAATAATAATAACCTTCTCCCGACCCTTTCATAATTTTTAATATAATTTACCACTATTTAAGTCTCGTTTCTTATTTTATTGTTAATATAATTCACCACTATTTAACTTAAATTATGTGTAGTTACTAACTACTTAGCTCCTATATCACTCGCCAATCATATTAATTTGGGGGCTAATTAATCTCATATTTCCCGGACCAAAAAAAAAAATTGTATAGCAATACGTTCGGGCATGAGTCGGACGTTAATGAAGAAACTCAAAATGGTTCTCTGCCATTAGATTTAACTTGATAGCAAATTATTTAGTTTCAAATTTAATGGATATTTTAATTTAATTTAGGGGGTAACAGATTAAAAGGTCTCATTAGTTTTCTGGTATAATGATAATGTTTGAAGCTTTGAAGTCCGGAATATGGATCAGATGAGCTCAGAGGCCAAAAATCTTTAACCCATTTAAAGGCGGCCTCATCTGGCCCACCTTGCCTAATCCGTAACCTATGGCAGGCTGGCCCACTTTTAATTAAAAAAAATAGTTTTTTGAATTTTTTGTTTTAAATTTTAGATTTATAAAAAAAGAACTCATTGTTTTATGCTTATTTTAAGTATAGCCTTGGTTGTTTTTATGTTAGGAACATAATTTCATATTTGCTTTTTCTGCTTTTATTGATTTACAATTTTTATTAATTTCGTAATTTCAAGTTATACAATATACATGCATGCTTCACAAGAACGACAGCTACTCATCATCGTCAAACTGAACTACAACTAAAATTCAATGCATATATTATTTCTCCCTAGAGAAACTAATGAATTCCACCTTCAGTCCGGTGCAGCATTGCATCTATCTCATCGCCGTCTTCCATTTCAAGCTGGAAGAAATAAGTGAAAGATGATGATAATAACCTTATCAAAGATATAGATATAGATATACATATACATATATATATATATATATGTATAGTTGTAGGAATAATATTCAAGACTCTACACGTAGACTGAATCTAAAACCTGCCAGCCTGCCAATAAGTTTCCTCCCAAATTTAAAAGCGAGAAAGAAACAAACGAAACATGAAAGGAGGGGGAGACGATCTTTCACGTGGGTCTAATCTATAATTTAATTTACTATATCTCGTTTTCTCTGAATAATTTTCTGCTAAATTAAACTTAGATAGATTGAGATTTCCGAAAATTTACTTCACGAGGAGTATGTTCGGGCCTGATTCTGCGTCCATCAAAAAGGAAAGCAACGGACTCTGGGTTCTGCGATGTTCGATCACAATAAGCATTGATGAGTTTTCGCAGTGGAGTTCCTTTTTTGATCTTGAAGAACACCTCGTCACCGTCCTGCAGCACACAAATAAAAAACCGGTGAAGAGAGATGAAGAATTACCACACAGTACGCGTAAAATCGCCATTCTCCATATCGAAAATTGAAGATTCAGAATCAAATTTCATTTATTATAGTACCAAAAAACCGAAAATTAGAAACAATTAAGATCGGAAGTGACGATTCTGACGAAATTAAACCTGGCTCTTGACTTTGAGATAATGTGAGCTGATAGATCGTCCGGCTGGCTCCCACCACCGCCAGCGCCACTTCCACTTGCAGATATCTTCGCTTCTGCAACTTATTAACTTCTCTGTTGCGTCGTAGTCGACATGGAATCTCTTGAGGCACTCGCAATTATACAAGGCAGTGGCCAGTGGTAACCTTCCGCTTCACAAGAATAATCACAGCTTCGCTATGCAGTTCCCGAGGCGTTTCAATCAACCTTTGATGTATCTATGTCCGTTCCTTCGCTCTCTCTCATAGCAAGTTAGCAACGACACAATTCACATGACCAATGCCACCGATAAGGTCAAAAAAGTCATTTCAATCGCAATTCTTAATTATTTCAAAAAATTAAAATTTAGTTTTTATAATTTTAATTTTATTGAAATTCAGTTATTGAACTTTAATCTAATGCAATTTAATCTTTATAATTTTAATTTGATGCAACTCAACTCGTAAATTCTAATTCATTACAATTTAATTTTTATAGTTATTTCAATCACATTTCTTAATTATTTAAAAATATAAAATTTAGATTATAAAATTATTTTTTTAATAAAACAACTCATTTTTACATATTAAGAAAGGAGAGTAGGGCTGTGCAAAATTTTTTCAATCCCATTCAACCTAATCTAACTCGAGAAGGTCTAATCTTATTCAGTTCTATTAAAAAATGATCCTTTAAGATTGAAAAGATTAAAAAAATTAAATTTTTTTTGGGTTGGATTGACTGGAGACTAGGTATTTGAACTACTTAATCCAGTCCAGTCCTATTAAATTTATTTAATATGATTGTAATTAATTTATTAATTATTTATAACAATAAGTTAAGACTATTAATAATTTAATAAGTCTGGTTCCTAAATACGATCGCATGCTTAGACTAATAGGTTAATAATTTAGACCACTTAGATTGTAACTAAAATATTTTTTTCTCGTTGTTGAAAATTATTATGAATTTATTATGATTATAAATATTTTTATTATATTAATTGAGTTTAATTGGTTGAAATTGATTATTGCCTCTCTTAAAGGAAAAAGGAAAAAAAAATGCTATGTAGTACTAGACTAATAGGACTATTCTTCCAATTTTATGAACCAAGTTTAATCTTGCTAATTTTTAAGTTATTATAAAATCAGATCGGATTACATGTTGCCTCACCCAATCATTTTCATAAAAGAGATTAGACTTTAAATTAAGGTGAAGTCCAGTCCCGTCTAATTTCTTGTGCAACCCTAAAGGAGAGGTGGAGAGATAAGTGAATTTTAATTGACTACAAGATTTAAGGGTATAAAATAAAATAAAAGAAGAGTGATACACAATTTCTTAACTTTTATCACAATATTTTTTAACATCTTAGAAAGACTTCAATGATTTAGGTTGATTAGGTGAAGTTCAATGCCATACATGCATATGTTAGGGAAAAAATCATCATACTATCCATAAAAGCATTACAAGACCTTGCCGCTCTTACTACATCCTCTATTTTCTTGTCCATGGCGCAGGGGCAATTCAGTTTGATCAAAGAGCTCAACCAAGGGAAGGAGCGAGCAGGTTGCTCTGCCACCATATTGCTTCTTCTTCTTTTTCATCTTCTTAACACGAGGCGAATGGGTTCTTGATTGAGAAAATGCTCTGTTGTTATGAGAATGCATTGAAGATTCTTACATGCGGGGAAAATGCGGGCCAGAGTAAATGAAGTGGGTGAGGGAGGATCTACTTGCAACATGTCTGATTTATAGCCTCGCCCAAAGGGTACTTAGTTTGATTAGTCAAGAGGTCGAATCATCTTACCTTGGGGTCTCATATTCACCCAAAATGAAAATAAATGCATTCCCATTGCTGTTGAACAGACGAGCCACATTTCAGCGAGTGGGACAAATACACCCCCTTACTTTGACAAATATTACAAACAAGGTATATAAATTTTATAATCTCGCACCATCTAGACTAAATGAAAGATATATTTGGATTCAAAAGCTTATTAGATATAAAATAATTTAATAATTTATATAATATATGAAGCGTATATTTATATAAAAGATTATATTAATCTGTTCAATATAATTTTTTAAAATAAAAATGATAGGCAATTTATTTATGTTATTGTAATTTTATTTTAGTTTAGAGCAGTAAGCAATAAAGATTTGAAATTATAAGTGAGATTAAACTTGCAATTTTCTACCTACTTGAGAGCTCTCATGCCTAACAAGATTTAAAAAATTAAAATAGGTATTTAATTATTTTCACTTGTCCTTTGTTTTTTTTTTTGACCAAATCACTTGTCCTTTGTTAAAAAATAAGGAAAAACTCAATTTCGGTCCTTATAATTTTATCAGATTTTATTTTTAATTCATGTAATTTTTATCCAGTGTTTTCAATTTCTATAATTTTAATAAGATTGAGCGAGATTTATTATTCAAATTCTTATAGTTTCAATATTTTCAATTTCTATAAAAATTGAAAACACTAAAAAATTACGAGAATTAAAAACAAAATTCAATAAAATTATAGAAATTAATAATTATATTTTTCTGAAAAATAACTCCTTTAGAATCTTTTATGCTCTCTCTTTCCTTTTGAATGAGTGGGATGATATTTTCATACATTATATGAGTCTAAAATCTAGTTTTTTTTTTAAATGAGAGATGAGATGAGAAGATAGAGGATTAGGAGAGGGTCCCAACCCCAAATGATGGATCCAAAAGAATAATAATAAATGAGAGTATGTGTGGACAAAGTTAAAAATTTGGATGAAATGTGCTTATTTAAATTGAGTTTATTCAAACTGGTCTAAAATAAAGTCAAACTTAAAAAAATTCTCACATGTCCTGCTTTTTAATGCAACAAATGTCAACTTTTTAAGTTGTTACATCATACTTTTTCTAATTTTATTTATAAAACATATTTTAAAAAATTTATTTTATTCTATTTATAAGTCACATTGTGTCTTTTTAAGTAATATTTAAAAATATTTTTAAAATTATTTTTTATAAAAGAAAAAAATAATATAATATCACTTTTTAAATTTATTATATGAGATATATTTAAAAATTAAAATTCTATACATTTTTATTTTTTATATTAATATTTATAAAGTTAATAAAAATAATTTATAAAGAAGATCAAAGTAACCAACTGCGACCACTATTCAATTACCATTATTTTCTAGAACTGAGGTATGCGTATGCCATGACGCATCTTATCAGATAACGCAATTCTATTTTAGTTGTGTTTGACCGTTCGAGTCCAGCAAGTCGGGAATACTTTATTTTTTCAGATTGAATTCGGCATTCTTTTTCAAAATTTATCCAAAACAAATGTATTTTTAGTAGCTCAGGATAATTACAGACACTTGTTAATATATAAATTCTAGTCAAAATATAAATTTATTCAGTATTTTCATTTAATTTAAATAAAATTATAATTGAATCAGTAAATCATTAACCCATTGTCCTGATCGTGTCGATAATCAATTTAATTTTTAATGTATTTATTTTTTTTTATAAAAAGTAAGTTCTGCCTATAATAAAAAAAAAATATCTCCTCCTAAGTAGGAGTGAATAATAAGTAATTTTTTTAATTAAATTGCTATACACATTAGCATCACTCCTCACGGCAATTAATTACATTACATTTTCTCAAGGTGCACTCATCTTTTCATAACATTTTGCATGTCATGAATTTTAACTCTGGTGGAGGCTGGGTTGAAGAATAACGGGAAAAAAAAACTCAATGGATTCTTTCTTCAACGTCGTAGTTTGAAGTTTCTCAAATCTTCTATTGAAAATTTTTAAAATAGCGGCCATTAAATACCCACGAAATCGCACATACGAAATCCCAACAAGAACTATCATCGTCATCAATCAGGGGGAAAAGCCCATCCATGGCTTCTTCTTTTTCTTCTTCATCGTCTCGTCCACTGACAGACCGCGTGGCCATAGTGACGGGGGCTTCTCGAGGCATAGGCCGAGCCATAGCTGTTCATCTCCACTCACTCGGAGCCAAGGTTGTAATCAACTACGCTTTGAGCTCGACCCAAGCCGATTTGCTCGCTTCTGAGCTCAATAATGCCTCCAGTTCGTCAGAGCTTCAAGCCGTTGCTGTTCAGGCGGACGTATCGGATCCGGATCAGGTGAAGCTGCTGTTTGAGAAATCGGAGCAAGTGTTTGGGCCGATCCATATTCTTGTGAACTGTGCCGGAGTGCTTGATCCGAAGTACCCGACAATTGCAAATACCGCGTTGGAGGATTGGGACAGAACCTTCAACATCAACACTAGAGGTGATTATGCCATAAATTGTTAATATTCTTTGCTTTCGAAATCTGGTATTTGAGCCTCAGCCTAGACAAATGGTGCGAGTGGTTGAGATAGTGATTCTTTAAGTTTCTAATTAAACTGAGTAAGAATACTTTCTCTTTTTTAATAACAAATTCTAAAAGCACTTGTTAAAAGAACAAAGGCAAGATCAACATGTCTAAACATTTCAAGGGTTAGGTAGTTAACTTGCTCCGCTGAAATCCTAAATTTGTTGCATTTTTATCTTTTTTCAAATGGTTCATACGTGATGCACAAGCTAACACAGAAATAAAGTTGCTATTTCTTACATTCAACGTGTACATATAATCATAATTTTTTTTAGAGCTAGGCTCTGAATAAATCAAATAATTTTCTGGGTCAGCAGTTACTTGTTTGATGAGCATAAAGTTGAAGCTTCTCCAGAGGCAAGGAGAGACCTATATTCCATTTGGTTTAATAGGGAATACTAAGAGAAAGAACCACTAACATTATAAGTTATTAAAGCTAGGAGAATTTGAAGCCACATATCATGAGTATAACGAAAAAAGCTTTATCATTTCCTCTTTACTAGATAACCCAACAACTCATGTTGACACTGAATCAATAGTTCCCAATCATGATACTAGTATATGTTTAAATCTTTGTTGATGAAGGATGTATCTGCAATCATGTTGGAATGGGGCAAAAACTAAGTTTTGACATAAGCATATCAAAGGCTGCTTCTATCAAAACTTAATCCCTCGCAGAGTGGGAGAGGCACTCATATTTAGTATTGACTTTAAACAGGATGGTCTCTACTAATATATGTATGTATGTATGTATGCGCGCTTAATCAAAGGTTGGTTCTATCAAAACCATGTTTTAACCCCTGCTACATGATCCTAAATTCTGAAAAAACTCTGTTTCTTTTTCCTTGTGGGGTTGAATAGGTGCATTTCTGTGCACAAGAGAGGCGACAAATAGGCTAGTTCGAGGTGGTGGAGGAAGGATCATACTGATAAGTACGTCAATTGTTGGGAACAACTTGCCAGGTTATGGAGCCTATGCAGCTTCAAAAGCTGCAGTGGAGACGATGACAAAGATAGTGGCTAAGGAGGTGAAAGGAACAAAGATCACAGCCAATTGTGTGGCACCAGGGCCTGTAGCCACTGAGCTATTCTTTGAAGGCAAAACTGAGGAAACCATAAAGAGAATTGTGGATGCTTGCCCTTTGGAAAGACTTGGAGAGCCCAAGGATGTGGCTCACTTCGTGGGCTTCTTGGCTAGTGATGCTGGAGAGTGGATCAACGGCCAGGTTGTTAGAGTCAATGGTGGCTTTGTTGTTTAGACACTTTGTCTGTTCTAAATCTCTTAAATCATAATCAGTTGTGATTCCTCCACCTTTTTAAATTTTAGTTTTAGTTATAAATTATGCGAATCATGTGTAGCATTTTATAGAGGGATGCTTGTTGTATCAATGTCAATATAGTATAAGGCATATTCTACTAGGAATAGTTGGTCTAAGTGACTTGATGGGTATTCATTACTATATATATATATATTTAAATGTTATTCCTATTAAAAATATGTTAGATAATACGAGAGAATGTAATAATTTTCATTATTTTCTTTTAAATAATGTACTATGAATTTAGCATACGCAAAATTTGAAATCTTTTTCATTTTCAGACAGGATTAATAGTTTAATCATCCTTTTTTAATTCTAGTAAGATGTTTAAAAGTTTTTTTTTTAACAAAATACTGGAGGAGGTATTAATTATTCAATAAATCTATAACGTAAAATAACTATTAAGTTAATCATTCTATTATAAATAGAAGAGAAAATGGAGAAAAAAATTGTCATGTTTGATAAGGAATCTGATATCCATGATATTATAATTAGTAGTCAAATTCAAACATTGTTGAATCAAATAGAAGTAAAAGCTTATAACTTCTACCAAGACCAATTTATAGTGGTAGGCCCACGTTTTTTTTTAAGGTTTCTCTTAAAAAAAGGGAGAAATAAATCTTTCGATACATATTTCCGTCCCGAAAATGTCAAAATCCGAAATCTAAGCATGACATTAGACCTCGGGCCACAAGCTTTGCATGATGAGAACATTCAAGATTATTAATGTATGTAAATCACGAAAACCAGCAAATTATATGAGCATTGAATAAAAGTGAAAATAGTAAAATTTCAATTCAGATTTAATTTGTCGATTAACAAATTGAGACAAAAGAAGGAAGCTTCTCCCACATCGTAGTAATTACCTTTGATGCTTTATTACAGTATATATTGGACAGCATTATTGACTGTCCAACAATTTAAAAGCTGGAGATTCTTGTGTTATTTTGTAGGACATGCATTTTCGTAACACCATAACCACCTAAATAATTACAAATGAACAAATTATAAATTACTTGTGTATAAAATAAATAGAAATTTATTAGTTAGTGTGGAGAGGTAATTTCTATATATCTATTGATTGTAGGGTTAATATGTAATTTGAATATTGAATTATAGATTTAAGGACGATTTAAACCTTAAACTATTATTTGATACATTTTAAACCTCAAACAATTAAAGTTAATGCAATTTCATCCCTACAATTAAATTGAAGCAAATGTCTATTATTTTTTCACAAAATAAGGTTCAATATGCAATTTTTTTCAAATGAGGGTAAGAGAGAGAGGGAGAGTAAAATTTGGTTAAAAGTGCACATTAAGCCTCATTTAAAAAAAATAACAGAGATTTGCTTTAATTTAACAGTAGGGTAAAATTGTATAAACTTTAATTGTTTAGAATTTAGAATATATCAAATAAAAGTTTAAGATTCAAATTCTCTCTAAACCTATAATTCAAGGTCCAAATTGTATTAACCTTTGATTGAATCAACGTTTATAGTATTTTATATTCAAAAAATTATACCTCTAATGCACTTGTTAAAAAAAGACAAGTGTCTCAAGTTATAAGTTTTATTAAATATTACCCATATTTAAAATTATTAACTGTATTACATAATTACTTTTTTGACGAATATATTAATTTTTGCTTCGAAAGTAAGGTATCATGCATGAATTGGTGAAGTGATTTACTACAGGGAGAATAGTATGGCGGCACTTTGTTATATTACGGACCATTTTCTTGTTGCTTTTCAAAATCTTCGTAATCACATAAAGCTTACGTCCTTCTTATCGTGTGTGTGTAGTCTGCAACAGCTTGAAAGTTCTCCTCTCTCTCTCTCTCTCTCTCTCTATATATATATATATATATATATCAAATTGAATAAGCAAGGTATAGAAAATTGGGTGACTTGGGGCTAATATGGAATCTTGGTTGCTATTTGTGTTTGTTATAATAAATATCCTCGTTGCTAAGGATAATAAAGGGATCGTTGTTGGGAGTGATAATAATGATGAAGTAAGCTTTGAGGAGCACTATGAGGTTATGTATGGGGATGACCATGTTGTGTTGCCCTCCGACCGAGCAAATCAACTTCAGCTCTCCATGGATAATTCTTCAGGTTCTTTAATTTCCCTCTCAATTTCTTTTTTACGCACACAACACTCACACACCTCCTTTTGTTTGTGTTTCTACACACACACATATCCACACACAAATTAAATTTACAATCTCAAGAATTTAGGGCGCTGGTTTGTTTGAGCTTTTTTTTTAATGAAAAATACTAATTTTTGGGGAAAAAATCTATTTTGTAAACTTTGATCATCATTTTAAATTTTTGAAAATAGTCAAGATCTGAAAAAAAAATCCTGATTACATTCAGAAACGACTTTAAATAGTTTCTACAAATAATCTGATGCTGTAATAGATGAGAAAGAATGCCACAAAAATATGAAGATACATGGATATTATAAAATTTTAAAATAACTAAATAATAAATTATTTTTATAAATAAAGATTCACGAAAATATAAAAAATAACTAAATAATAATTAGTTTTTATTATTGTAAGTTTATAACCAAACATAAAATAATATATGATTTTTATAAAATCTGTATAAAATAAATATATTTTGATAAAATTTTTAGATTATTTAAAAATGACTTATTTTTTTAATTTTAAACGAATCTTAGTCTTCAGATGTTCGACTTGAAATTGGGACTTTTGAAAATGTGAAACAAGAAAGAATGCGTAATATACTTTACTGTATCAAAATATAAGTCTTTTCAGAAGAATTTTTTGTTTCATTTTACATGTCTTTTTAAAAATTCATGACAACATTTATTAAGGTTTTTTTCTATTATACACTTATTAACTCCAGCAATTTTAAAACAACATTTATTAGGGTTAAATTTGACAATGTAGTAAATATTCGTGTTTATTAATTGCATTTCTTAGTCTATGTGCAAAATATTTAAAAGGATGAATGTATAAATAAGATCTTGAATTATTGCTCAAAAATTGCCCTAAACCTTGAATTCTTAAAATATGCAAAATAAACCCTAAACTTTTAAATTCATAACAAAATAAACTGTGATTATTAACTTTTTTAATACCATAACTGTCTATGTAGATATTATAATGGTCAGTGTTACATTCGGAGGAAAATAAACCCTAAACAATATCTGTGTAGACAATAACAGTGTTAAAAAGTTAACGGTCAGGATTTATTTTGTTATGAATTTAAAAATTTTAAATTTATTTTATATATTTTAAGAGTTTAAGGTTCAGAGTGATTTTCGAACAAAAATTTAAGATTCTATTTACTCATTAATTCTATTTAAAAAGATGTATCTTTTGAAATGGAGAGAGTAAAAGTCTATGGTTCAACATGTACTTTATGGCGTCTCTCTTTAAACCACTATTAGTTTTGTTAGAATTGCAAGACATTATATAGAATAATGGCACACATTTTATATAAAAAGATATACAGACAACACCATACGAACATGAAGGATTCAACTTTCTTAAGATCTAATTCAGCTTTGTGATTTTGATTTCATTCTTAGTTAGAATATATATATATATAGATATATAATTAATCTGTAAATCATTCGAATTCTCCTCAATTTTAAATTAGGAAATATTTAATACAATATTTATATTTTTATTAACTTTTTATGAAAATTCTACGTGCATGGAAGTTATTGAGAACACATAATATGATTATATAAATTTTGAATTACTGAAATTATGCAATTAATTTTAAAATTATACAGTCTTTTAAAATTATATAAATATATAAGAATCCTTAATTTCATTTTTAAAATAAAAAAATTAAAATATTTTAATAATTAAGAGCTAACATATTTAATCAATTAAACTATAAAAATTTAATTAAAATAAAATAAAATATAGAACTTATTCAAAATCGAAAAAAAAATTAGAAGAACCTGTAAATTAATTTTTTCCAAAATGATCGGTTGGAATTTTGGACAAAACTAAAACCCAAAGACATTGGAAACTAATTAAATTTCGGATTTTTTATCTATTAAATATTCTTTTTCGTGGGCATTAAATAGGATCCGGGTTTGGATCAAAGATGACCTATGGTTCAGGATTCTTCCACATGAGGATCAAAGTGCCAGGTGGAGATACTTCCGGAGTTGTAACTGCTTACTATGTATGATGCTTCCTTTAATTTTATACGATTCTATAAATTTAATATCTAATTAATTAATTTGGACGATGGATATATGTATATAGCTGAGTTCACATGGCGATCATCACGACGAGATAGACTACGAGTTCTTGGGAAATAAAGAAGGAGGGCCCCACACATTACAGACCAATATATACGTAGATGGCAATGGTGGTAGAGAGCAAAGGCTTCATCTTTGGTTTGACCCTTCTCAGGGTTTTCACAATTATTCCATTCTTTTCAATCAGCATCAGATTGTGTAAGCTAATCTATATCTATCTTTTAATATTGTTCATTATTATTTTTTTATTTTGAATGGAACATCCATAATTTTGTCTTTCATATGCATGGTTTTGTCATTTTGTGTATATATATAATTTTTATTTGCTCAAACTTAATTAATGCTCTTCATTTAATTAGGTGATATTTAATTTTTTAATTACTTAAGAAGGATTTAAATCATGGTCATATTCAACTTGAATTTAATTATCATCACTTGGATCCAAATGAGGCCTCGTCTACATCCCAAAAAAAAAAAAAAAAAAGAAACAGAAAAAGAAAAGACAGAGGCCTACTAACATGTGCACCATGCATACTTCTATTTTTCTCCTTTGACATTACATTCTGTGACGGATCAAGAAATTTTTAATTGTATATTGGCACATATAAAAATAAACTTGTCATATAAAAAATGTATCATAATAATACTAAAAAATAAAATATAATAGGTATAAGATGTGATATTTTTTGTAAGATATGAACATTATGAATATAAAAAATAATAAAAAATTGAATGGCATAAAAAAATAATATTATTAATCACCGGGGACAATTAATGTTTTGAATGAATTAGCCCACTGACCACTGACAAAAAAAAAAATCTTGTGCTTAGAAAATATGGACCAAATTTTTAAAAATTTAGGAGTATGATCGGTTCATATTGATATACAAGGGTTTATTATTGATATATATGAAGTTTATCATTGAAAATTTAAAAATTTATAATGAATTTATTATTGATGCACAATGATATATCATTAATAAATATAATAAATCAGCAATAATACAAAATATAATAAGTGTTAAGCTGTTTGTTTGATTTGGTCATATGACATAGACCATATCTACAAAAGTCCTTAACATATATGAGATGAAGACACATGATTTTTATATTATACATAATAGATTGAAGAATAGTTGCCCCACTTTGTTACATGTAAGTTCGTCCCTAATTATGTTGATCATGGACTAATTTTGATTCCGCACGGTGGCTCAACTCATAACAAGAAGAGATATAGACACATGATAGTTTAGGATCCATGTGTAAGAAACAGAACTCAAAACCCATTTGAATACATGACTTTTAAACTTTTTGAAATATGCTTTTGCACTTTTAAAATGTGAGATTTTATTTAAAAATTTTATAATTGAATAAATTGACTTTTTAAATGCATGTTGAGAAAATTATTGAAAGTGAATTTAAAAATGCATATTATTAAAGCTTTTTAAATTGACTTTCTAATGTCATGTTTTTAAATTTTCCATGCTATCCTTATTCCCTTACATTTATTAGTTTGCCAAAAACCCAATACTAGAAAGTCATTTAATAAAACAAAGTATGCAATAAATATTGAAAGAGGGTACTAACACACAAAAAAGTCAAAAAACTAGATTTCAAACTAACACATACAAGGGAATAAGGATGGTATGGTAAATTCAAGAACCCAATATCAAAAAGTTAATTTGAAAAGCTCTAATAATGTGGTTCCCAAATTCACTTTCAATAATTTCCTTAATGCATATTTAAAAAATCAATTTACCTAATTATAAAATTTTTAAACAATATTTCACATCTCAAAAATACAAAACTACATTCTAAAAACTAAAAGTCATGAGTTCAAATGGTCCTAACACACCTAATGTCATGTATCTATCTCTTTTATATGAAATCTTAGTATCCTCGCTCGTGAGGGAGTCCATTTTCAATGTGAACAAAAGTTTTAAATTGACAATCATGCCATAATGTAATTTTCATATTTAATGAAAAAAAAAATACATGGAAAGTACAATGTTATAGAGCCTACTTCACACATAAGTTTGCCCATACTTCTTTCTTTTTTAACTCCCACATGTTCTCTGTTACACAGATTTTTTGTGGACAGAGTTCCCATTAGGGTATACAAGAACAAGACTGATATAGGAGCAGGATACCCAACAAAGGCAATGAGAATAGAAGCAACATTGTGGGATGGAAATAACTGGGCAACAAATGGAGGCAAAAGCAAAGTGAATTGGGACTATGCTCCTTTCCAAGCTTCCTTCAAAGACTTTGGTGTTAGAGGCTGTGAAGTTCAAACCTTTTCATCATCATCAAACCTTCAAGATTGTTTCTCTGACAGGTTCTCTTGGAACAGACAGAAGTTTTGGCAGCTAGATCCTACAAGGCAGACCTTGTATGAAAATGTGCAGAAAACTTATGTCACCTATGATTATTGTGATGATTCGCCTAGGTTTTCTACACGTCCTAAAGAATGCTAATTATTCGCTACGAATCTAGTTTTTACTGTAACCAGTAGTGCGAGTTTCAAACATTACACGAAGCATAGGGAACAAGTCATACTGCTTTCATGAGTTATAATATTATGATTTATTATAGTTTTTAAGTATGAATATAAATATCAAATGTTGCTGCATTATTGATACACAAACCACATTTAATTTGTATGGATATTATGAAGAGATTTGGTTCTCATCAGTTATACCACCAATTTCACTTTCAAGCGCGATTCTGATTGACATTTTATTGAACTTAATTTACATCTATGATTTTTTGTTGATCATGTGCAAAATGTCTTGCAGAGAAAATAATTCTAAAAATGTTTTGGAGAATACATGTTAGGAAATGAATTTTGAGGCTTTGTGAAAGGAATTGTTTTTCTCATAGAATTATATGAACATGCAACTTGTTTAACGGGAATTGAATCACTTCTAATCAATTCAACATTGTTGATAAAGATGAAAATTTTACCTTTCAATTCATGGCATATTTTCCATGTCCTGATTGAACATGATCAGGGCAATTGAAGGAATCGATGATAAAAAAGTTAATTTAGACTTTGATACAGAACTCCTATTTAGCCTTTTTTTTTTTTTGTCTTTTTCTTTCTTTTTGATTAATTATCTAGATGAATTAGACTTGCATATTGTCACGTATAATGCTCTAATTAGATGTGGCAATTCAAGGTCTACAAGGGGCCGTCTTCCTAGCCAAAGATGCTCAATATAGATATGAAAATAAATCTATTATTGGTTGCTCTGTCTTTTATTAGGTTGATAAATTTATTATTACTTATTAGATGAATCTTGTCCAAATTATAGCTTGTCTTTTGTATGTCAAAAATAAAAAAGAAGAGGTAGCTATTTAAAGTTTGCATTTACATAAATTTAAGGAAGACTTACAATTAGATCCCATATAAAAAATTATTTATTTTAAAGGTTTATTAACAATTAAACTGAGGTTATTAATAACTGATTAACCTTATTTCAGTTTTTAACGAATGATTTTAGTTCAATTGTTAATAAATTTTATAATAATTAATTTTTTTATATGAGATTTAAATATATTTTTCCCTAAATTTAAAATAAAGATGTGGTGCTTAAACAATCGTAATCGGTTATTTTCTTTTCTTTTTTTGTGTTTTTGAAATTTAGGCTAATATATGTTGATATTGATTTTGAGCTTGTCCACTGATTGTGAGTCATGACGATGGATCTCTATAGGCCCAATTCTTAATCGCTGGTCACTGCGCGAACATCTTGGAATCCAAAAAAAAAAAAAAAAACTTCTTTGACCAATTTACAGCTCGCGAGTTCACACTCCGAGTGATTGAGTGTGTCCAATCCATGGCGAACTCCGTATAGCAGTCAGATCACTGTGTTGCCAAAGACACCAATGGCTCTTCTCCCAATTAGGAGCTCTTCTCTCTTTCTATTATTTTTCTTTCCGATCGTATTTTCTGGAATTGCAATCAGATCGGCGTTCGGAGAAGAAGAATTCACCGAGGAGTTGCTCCTCAAGCCTTTGCCTGATCGTAAAGTGCTCGCGCATTTCCACTTCCAAAGCAATGCTCCCCTCACCGATTCATTTGCTCGCCATCACCACCTCTTCCCTAAAGCTATATCTCAGTTGGTATGTATTTGCTCTCCAACTTTTACCTTGGTTTTTGCTTGATGGGAAAACTTGTGATAGTAAATTTGCGGGAAAGGAATGCTTTTGTCTTCAATCCGTTGAACTGTTTCACTGAAATCTTGATATGCATGAGTAGTTAGTTTAAATTTTAGGATCATAAACTTATTGGGCGCCGTCCCAAGATGGTCTGTTAAATAATTCGTGTGCCAAAGTTAAGTCGACTAATTAGATTTTAGCTAGTGAAAATAGGAAAGTAATTCTTCCCTGCTTCAGTTGTGTGACCAAACTCAGCTTGTCATATATATCACGAAAAGAAAGATTTCTTTACGTAGAGACATTGGACAAAGTTAATGGACCTATCTTCACATGGTTAAGTAATTGAAGTTTAGCAAGATGTGAATTATTCATTCGAGTTCGTTGATTGTTCAAATTAGTTCACGAAGCTGAACCCACATCCTGTTTTGATTATTATTCATTTGCTTGGAAAATATTGTAGCATCTAGTTACTGTTACTAAGGGAAAACGGGTGGTTAAAATCTGAGAATCTGCATTTCCTTGGTTATATACTGGTGGTACTTTTTCAAATTCACAGCCTTCGATAGGTTTCTTTTTCTCATTGTTGGTTTTGGCGGACCTTACAATCATTCATAGCTTGTGCTTTCTGTTGCACCACAATGGAAAGACGAAGTCTCTCACTGTTAGTGCACTTGAGAAAATCAAAATGTTGACTACCCTTTATCAATTTGCTCGAAGTATAAGGAACAAAGAGGTTTACTGTGGGACTTCTTATGGTTCAGTGGGAGGATAAATCTGGGATATCTTAACATAGCTGTTGAGGTTGAAATGGCAATGGACAAATTCTTTTACTCTGTAAAAGAACAGGCAACAGTTGCTGCAAACACACAAGATTGAAAATCCATACCTTTCAATTGTTCATTCAAGTCATGAGGTTTTTTTTGGTGGCCATTTCTCATATGGGGCGTATTATTTGGTGTAAATGGTGGATGCTGGATTTGTTATGTTTGAAAATTTTCTTTTGACCAGCTTAGGCATTTTAAGGACTACAAGTGCTGTTATGTTCTGTATTTTGCTAAAGCAAAATTCTTGTGTCTTTAATTCAGCACATGGCTTTCTTAATATAGCTTCTTTATTGAATATGATGATGAAGGTCTAAAGTAGTAAAGAAATTCCTTTATTTAACATTAATTTGTTAAGCTTATACTTTGGTCTAAACTATTGTTTTTCGTAATGAAAATGCTTTTGCTATGGATTGTTGAGTAAAATTTGATTTTTTTTTTTTTTTAAAATCTTTTGGTGCTCCAAAAGAATTGCTCTCTTCTGAGTGCTAAATAACATGTGGATTAGTATTAAATTGACAGGTTCAGAAGTATCATGTTAATGCGATGGAGTTATCTTTCACACAAGGTCGGTGGAACTACGAAAGCTGGGGTGGTTTTGATCCAATATCAAGCAGCAATGCAAAGCCTCCTGGAGTTGAGTTGTGGGCAGTCTTTGATGTCCCAGAACATCAGGTTGATGCATCTTGGAAGAATTTAACACACTCACTGTCAGGACTCTTCTGTGCTTCAATCAACTTCCTAGAGTCTTCCACCACTTATTTTCCTCCTAAATTGGTCTTTCAACCAGCTTCAGGAAGTTTGAGATATGGTACATTGCCACGTGAAGCAGTATGCACTGAGAATCTCACTCCCTGGTTGAAACTCCTTCCTTGTCGAGATAAAGCTGGTCTCTCTGCCTTGATGGATAGACCATCTATTTACAGAAGCTTTTACCATTCTCAGAGATTGAGATTGACTCTATCTAAATCTGCTGATGGATTAGATTCAGGAGTTATGTTAGAACAAACTCTTACAGTTGCACTTCTGCCTAATGGTCAGAGAGCTGGTGTGGACTATGAGAATGAGTCAAAAATGCAGCCAAGCTGGTCTTTGAGTTCAATTTTTGGCAGGCAAATAAATGGAAGATGTACTCTTGCCAAGTCAAGTAATGTTTATCTTCAAGTTGAAAGAGGTCTTGTCGCTGAACTTGAGAATCTCCAGAAGCATGCTTATGATACAGCAACTGAAAATTTGAAGAATAACATTGGCTTTGAATTGTCTATTAATCCTGACAGGGTGCATAAGGAACTAGAAAAAAGCCCATCAATTCTGTATGAATATTCAATCAAAGAGCATAGAGAAACTGAGAAATTTGATTTAAGGTTTACATGGAACCAACCAGTTCTTTGGTCAAGCTCACCTGCCCCTTTATATGCAAGTAGATTTTTAATGGGAAGTGGAAATGAAAGGGGGGCTATTGCAATATCCTTGAAATCCACTGAACTGACCCTGGGTTTCCTTGGTGCTAATGGTGTAGAAGAGGGGTGTAGGTTCCAAGTTAATGTTCTACAAATTGTTCCTTGGTATGTTAAAGTATACTATCATACTCTACAACTATTTGTTGATGAAAGGCGTCGAGTAGTTACTGATTTTGTTGAGAGAATGCATGTTTCTCCATCTGAAGACAAAGTATCACCTGGGGTGATGGAGCTGGTTCTTAAATTTCCCTGTGACATGAAGTCAGCTGTCCTAAATTTAGAGTTTGACAAGGTTTGTTCTGTGTTTTTTATTTTGTTTAATTTCCTTTTGGATTACTTTACTTTGGTTGATGTCAAGCACTATTTGCATAACACTGTTAAAACCAACCTCACAAGACAATTAGGTAGGAGTGTTGATGATGCGGTGTCATATGAAGAATGAGGAATCATACACAATATTAATTTTGTTTGTGTAATGCCTTTTAAAATATATAAGTACTCAAAGGTCCAAATCCTTAGTTTTGAAAGATGAATGCATTGTGTTGTCTAATGTTAGTAATGCAAGTTTCTCGATGTTTTAAACTTCAACTCAAAATATTTACTTCAATGAATTCAGGCTGGTGATGGGAAGTGGAAACAAAATAACAGAATATGGTGGAGTTCTATCTGCATAGTTATCATGGAGTTATATGTCTTAAATTATGGATTATTATCATCTGCATAGTTATTAATGGTAGGCTATATTGTGTATTGTAATGCCATGGAGGATGGCACTATGCCACATGTATGGCTGCAGAGCGCACTATGTATATAATTCAGATAAAAAGTCAAGAGACCTGATAAAAGCTTACATTTTGAGGCTGAAGAGGCCAGTAGCCTTCATCTTCTATTTTTAATTTCCCCCCTGATTTTCAACAGTTCCATCTTACTAATGGTTGGCTTTCACCCTCTCCTTGCTACCCATCAAAAGCAACTTTCTTTTTCTTTTTTTCTTTTTGATCTGCTTCTAGATTATTGTAGAAATTCTGAGTTAATGATCTTCTGAACCTACTCCTTAGATGGAAGCAATGTTTGAATCTTTAAAATAGAATATTAGAGCGTTCAATTAACACTTCAACCACATCTTCTTTGGAAGAGGATTTTTTTTGTATGTCCTAGTTGTGGGTCACCGCAAATTATTTTTTTTTTAGAGGGATACCCCTTACAAAACTTCAAAGGGATCCGCAGGCTTTTCTTAGTTAGAGCCTGGATTGTTTCTTTTATGTTAACTTTTCTTTGTAAAGGATTCTTTATCCTCTGTATTTGTAACTTCAGGATTATTCTCCCATCTCATCAGTCAATTATTTTTCCATTACCAAAAATAATGGTTGCTATCTTGTATGAAAAGAAATGTAGTAGACAGTTTCAAGGTGGATGAATGTGAAATCAGTTTCTTCTTCTGATGTTGGTTCTTAACCGACCTTCTTCGGTCTTCACAGGGCTTTTTGCACATTGATGAGTATCCTCCAGATGCTAACCAAGGATTTGACATTCCATCAGCAATAATAAGCTTTCCAAACTTCCATGCTGGATTGAATTTTCCTGACGATTCTATAAGCAAGCCACCAATGTTATCAAAATTACAGGTAATTTGAATTTGAACAATCATGGTCATAACTCTGGTATGTTTAAGATTTCCATCCGTCATACCTATGTATATGGGATCTGTAATGCAGGAGAAGGGTCCTGTTCTTTCATATACAGAAATTCTGCTGGTGCCCTTGACGACACCTGATTTTAGCATGCCTTACAATGTCATCACAATTACATGCACAGTTTTTGCATTGTACTTTGGATCTTTGCTAAATGTACTCCGTAGGCGTGTTGGAGAGGAGGAAAGACGTATGAAAGATAAAGGTAATCCCTAACTAGTGCACTAATTGCGTCTTGATCCCCACAAGTAAATCGATTTTGTTGCCAAATACCAAGTCAAAATGCTAAAAGATGCCTACAAGATTTCCATGTATATCAATATCTCAATCTTCATCTAATATGTACCCTTTTTCTGCAAACCTTCCTTGTATGCTATATTCACTCTCTATTAATGACGACCATATTCATGTTATGCTCTTAAACTTAGGTGCAATAAAATTTGAGTGTGCACTTTTTAAATGGTTACTCAGTTTCTGATTCCGCCGCCCCCCCCCCCTCTTTTGTATTTTTTGCTTGTAGGTGCCAAGAAAATTGGGTTTCTTCGCCAAGTATTAGCTAAGCTGTCTGCCAAACTAAGAGGGAAATCATCAGAGACGTCTCAGCCATCATCAACCTCCTCATCCCTTGTCAGTCCAAAATTGATTCTAAAAGTGGTAATTGTTGCAGGCATTGCTGTTGCTTGGCAATACTTCTCACAATGATACCGAATAGGTAGTTTTTTTAATTGTACCATATTCTCATTGCATATAGTTAATATGCTTGCCTTTGTATCTTTTTTCCTAGTTGATCAAAAGGCAACACAGATTCCATTACCCTGTTACATTTAACGCATGAACAACTGGAGTTGTTGACCATATACACATTTTAACTATTTGATTTCGATTATTGTCACGTAATAGAAAATTAGAGATTGCAATTACTCCACAAATACCTTGGATATTGAAATGGTACGGATATCACAAACTTTATAACCCCCTTTAGCATGGCTAAAGGACATCACGAAGAGCATCAAAGTTACAGCTTTCACTTCAACTTAGAATGTACAGGCTGATGTACATAATGGCGATGTATGGTGAGTCCGTCAAAATAACAAATTTGGAAGAAAATCATAGGAGCTACTTGATGGAGCTCCAATAACAAGAATGAAGCGGGTTGGGGCATGGGCAACGATTAAAAGTTCAAATTCTCCTAATATACCCAAAAAAAAAGAAGGTAAATTGTACTTAGATAATAAAATGAGAATTCATCTAATCCTTTTACAATGAGCAGCTACAATTGCCTCGTCTCTTATCCGCTTCAGATTCTTATTTGCATTTCTGCATGTAAACTGGTTGCCTGAAATGTCACTGGCAGGAACACTTGCTTGATCTTGACTATCTGTGTAGATTCCATTCAACGTTCAGTTTTGTTGAAATGAAATTCATCAATAAAAATGTAACATTCACGTATTTAACAGTTAGATGCCACAATATTAACTTTCAGAAATATTAATAGATCGACATTTTCAAAAAATTAAAAGCTGATCAGATCATGGACCAATCCCGAGATTCAATCGAAGTTAAAAAACCATGATCATGATAAGAAAATCAATAGAAGAGAGCGGTTGAATGGAGAATTAGAACAAACACATGCCTGTCGTATCATTTATTTTTAGCTTCTTGAATAGGTTGGAATCTTCACATAGTTGCTTTCTCTTGCAGCCTAGGCCATTCATGATAACTGCAATACAAATACACCAAAATGATCCATGTCATAAACATTCGATAGAGTTTTACATGCAAGCATCTTTTGTCTAGGCTATGGACAAGCTATGAAGAAATATAAGCTGAGTTACAAATATAGCAAAATGAATGCTGCAAAATATTTTATAAGCTTATGCTTATCATCTATTGCCTTGTAAACTAGAATGTCTCTGAACTTGTTGTGGTACCTAAATACCACATACTCCTCTGATTCTATTTATAGGGTAGAGAGAGAAGAAAAAATTTAATCCTATTTATAGGGTACTTGTCAATTTTCAATATTCCTCTTTATATTTTTGTTCTTATTAAATGCTTTGAATAAAAATACTAATAATGAGATTTAAAAATATTTATTAGGGACAAAGGTGCAAACTTGTTAATTTTAAGATAAAATTAACAAGGTTTAAAGTTTTTTTTGGTTATATATTGGAAATGGCTTATACATCAGACTAAAGAGAGTGCTCGGATATATAGAGCACACAATCTAATCACATTATTATTACATTATTATTCATAATCATAAGTGTTTTCTTCTGCTCTACATTTTATACCCATGGTTCTAGAAGGGGTCAGTCAACTAGATATATATAAAAGTCATACATATATCTTCATATATATATCTTCAGCCTTCAAGAATCACCAAGATTGCCATCCATATAAAAAGATTTCATGAAAACATTTACCTGGGTTGCTTTCTCTGAACTTCTTATTCTTAAGCAAGTCGATTATTTCCTGAGTCCCTCCACTGCTACCAAAATTCTCACCTTCTATCTCTTTACAAACCTCATTTCCAGCATATTGTGAGTCATGCCCTCCTGCAAAACGAAAAGTTCACAACTCATCAGATGCCTCAGAAGCAGTAATACTAACATGGATACAAGACATAGCACAATAAGAGCACCCTGTGACGATCTGTGTCTAGAAGGATGGAAAGCCATGTTACCTGCTTTTGAGGTTTTGGCTGACTTAGGATCAAAAGGAGATTTCAAGGGGACACAAAAAAGATATATAGTGATTTATAAATGTAAAAGTGATAAACATACAAATCTACAATTTTTTTTTATTATGTACAAGTGTCCAACTAATGAATATAATCATGTTTGAAATACATTCGGACACTAAATATTGACAACTCTCCCCGTGAGGTTTGAGCAAACATTGTACTAAATATACAAATCTACATTGTTCAAACACCCACAAACTTTTGGGCTAAAAGTATCAAATTCTAATAATAATCATACCAAATAAAATTTCCCTGACACAATGGGGTATCCCAACCGAATTAAATTGTTGCACGCAATCAAACAAAAAATTCCTGCCCAAACAAACAAATAAATAGTCGTTGTGATACATGACACAAAATTTTAAGATCAACCAAATAGAGCATGCCCTTTTCCTTATTCTAACGACAGTTTTCCACAAAAGATCAAGCATTCGCAATCGGAGAGGGGATACCCATTGATTGTCACAGTTTCAAGAAATCCAATAAACACATGAGCATACAAAACAAATAGTTGCGACGTATATGTGAATAGATAGCACACAGACTCACGTTTATTCCCAGCTTTACAGAGTTTGCCGGTGACATCAAGAGCATCACCGTCGTCTTTCCCAGTGGGCAATCCTTTAGCAGAGAAGAAAGAGAGGAGAGACTTCCAAGTAACAGAGGAGGCAACGAGGTCGACGCCTCTACTTATAAAGTGACCGTTCAACTTGATCGTCGATGGGTCGAGCCCAAAATCTCGAGCTATGGAGCCCAGGTCGATTCTCTGTTCATCCGAAGCAACTAGAAGTCGGACTACTTTCGACAGTGAAGGGCATAGCAGTTTTATCGCTATGGGTTTCTTAGCTGACATTTTCTCCGAAATTGCGATGAATGATCTCTCTTGAGAAATTCTTGAAGGTGGTTAGTGATGCTCTTGAAGACTCACTACTGTGTATATTTCCTTTTCTTTAGGTTCCAACGGTTTCTGGAAGTGTCCCGGGAGATGACTGGGATTCACAGTGGACCCGGATCCGCGTATCTTTGGTCGGGTATGAGGATCGGGTCGGTGTACTTCGCACGTAACTTTTGTTTGGGCACAATAGAAAATTTAATCCCAAACTATTTTTCCAATAACATCTAGTAGTTTAAATTATTAAATAGTATAAAATAAATTATAAAATTTTAAAAATAGAGTATCAGTAACTAATCGTTAACTTTAGCTAATGGGTATTATGTATGGCTCATAATGACATGTGACATGACACGTCAACATGATGAAGACTCAAATTTAGTCACGAATTATTTTTTAAGGAGCGCTAAGTAATCTCTATTATAGAAAAACAAATCATCCAACACTTTATCTTTAATTTTGATCAAATACTATTTATTTTCATATTTATGAAGTCCACAAAGCATTAATTTTTTTAATTTTCTTGCCTTCTTTCACAATATAAGTTTCAAAAGAAAAGGTTCAATGAATTCTTATCTAAAGATGTTCACAAGGGCGATGTCAATGAAGTAGAAGTTTGATTTTATTATGCATGAAATAAGCTTGATTCTTGCTTAATTTAGTTACAAATTGTTTATTCTACTTTATTAATTTCATCTTTTTAAATGTTTTCAAATAAGAATGCTTTAAACCTTTTCTTCTCGAGTTGAGATTGAGAACGAAGGCAAAAAGATTGAAGAAATTAATGCTTTATGAGCCTCATATCATCCAACATCTTCTCTTCAATTTTGACCAAACATTATTTATTTTCATACTTATGAGGCCCATAAAGCATTAATCTTTTTAATCTTCTTACCTTCATTTTTAATTTTAGCTTGAGAAGATGTTCAAAAAGTTTTTATTTGAAGACATTCACAAAAACGACATTAACAAAGTAGAAGAAATAATTCATAACTAAATTAAGCTAGAATCAAACTTCTTTTATGCGTAATAAAATCAAGCTTCTACTTCATTGATATTGTCCTTGTAAATATCTTTAGATAAAAACTCATTAAACCTCTTTTTTTAGAGTTATATTGTGAACAAAGGTAAGAAGATTGGAGAGATTAATACTTTATGGATCTCATAAATATGAAAATAAATGATGTTTAGTCAAAATTGAGAGAAATGTGTTGGATGGTCTTTTTTTTATAGTACAGGCTATTCAGTGCTTCTCAAAAAATAATTTATAGTTAAATTTGCACATTTACCATGCTGATGTGTTGTGCGCTCGTCATGGCATTATGAGCCCCATATAATGTTCATTAGTTGAAGTTAATGGTGGGCTACTGAATGCTACATTTTTTAAAATTTATGATTTATTTTATACTATGTAATAGTTTAAGCTATTAAATGCTCCTCAAAAAATATTTTGTAACTAAATTTACTACTTTACTTGTTTTGTTTTTAGACGGCAAGGATTTGGTCACATCCACGGAGGTTTGAAAAATTGTTAATCATTTATTCATTTGGTTTATAAATGGTTAATTTTGTTTTTAAAGCTAAGTAATTTTCAATTTTGCTCATTTCACAAAATTTTTCCATAATCGTAAAAATATATTATTGTTTTAGAAAAATCTCCACCCTCGATGAGGATGATACTCAGCAATCTTAGATATTTAGACACATGACAACTTCTTGCACATCTTCAACATTAACATTTTACGTATAGAAAAAACTTATATATATTTAAAGTATTTATTTTCAATTATATTATTATATGTATATTTTTAATAGATTATTTATTCTATAATAAATTTTTATTATTGATATTATTAACATATTAAAATTTACATGTTATGACTTGATTGAGTAAAAATATATTAAGTATATAAGTTTTGCCTTTTATGTATAACAAAATCATCAAGTTATTTTAATTTTCATGACTCTTTAGGATTTGTCTCACAAATCACTACTTTTAAGAACAGTGTTAGCTTATGCTAAAATGCATATCTTTATTCTTCAGATATTAAATTGCACCAGACTTAGCCATACAACAACCACTCCCATGACCATTTGATATAAAAACACATTATGTATATTTTTAAAAAACAATAATTTGCCAGTTCTTATATTTTGTTTCTCCGAGGATTATTGCTTGACCAGATTTCACTCATGAACCACTGTTTCCCTAGAAGTTTAGGTGGGTTTAAGTCAAATTTATGAGTTTTAGCCCAAAAAATTAGGATTGGACTAAAAATTATATTTTAGTCTAATCAGATTCTTAAAATTCGCCTTATTTTAATTAAGTTTTTATAATTTGATTGATTAAATGCATTCCGGATCACAGCAAAATACCTACAGTCCCACAACTCTACCTCCCTCCCGCTTTATTCATATTTTATTATAAATTTTTATACTTTTTTTGATATTTTAAATTCTTCTATTTTTATTTTTTAATATTTTACGTTCATCTAAAATTCTTATATTTTATTCATTTTGTTCATTTAAAAATTTAAAATATTAAAAAATAAAAATGTAGAGATCTAAACATTAGAAAAATACAGGAATCTATAACAAAATACGAACAAGACCAAAATGTATGGGGTTGTTTGAAACTATTTTTATTTTATTATTTTGAGAACTGATATTTTGTTGAACATGTTTTGAGAATAAAAAAATTAAAAATAAGTTTTTTTTTTCATTCTCCCTTATTCTCTAGAACAATAATCACAGAACACCTAAAAATTGTTTTCATTTTTCTATTCTTCAAAATAATATTTTATTTTTTTATTCTTAAAAATACTTTTTAAAAACATGTTATCAAACAAATTTTTTTATTTTCTTATTTTGAAGAATAAAAAACTGTTCCCAAAATAGATTTCCAAACAGATCCTATATTTTCTTTTATATATATATATATATATAGTTGAATGAAAAACACCATATATTTTCTTCACACAAATGCAATAAACCCAAACCCAAGGATTTCAAGAAGGTTGGTCCTTTCTTCCATAAGTATGAAGCACGACAAGTGAGTCCCCTCCTCCCAAAAAAATATATAATGCAATTCTATTTTTCCAGACGAGATTGTAACGTAATTCTCCGAATGTTTCTTCAACCATATCAAAAAATAAAATAAAATTCTTAATTCGACCATCACTTCAACACATCGTTCACAAACACAAAGCATGTGCCCTGAAATTTTAGGACAGGGTAACTGAGAACTCTAATGCAACATTTGATAAGTAAAAAAGTATTTTTAAAAAAATAAGAATACAAATGTATTTATTTATTTTCTAAAATATATCATATATGTTGGATCGAACAGGCCTTTTAGTATAAAAAACATTGCATATTGTTTGATGCATTTATTGCATTTTTGCTATTATGTCTTTATTAATTGTGAGATACTAATTTAGTGTCATTAAGAAGTTATTAGGTCAAACATTTAATGTGGGTGTATTTTGGAAAGAATTTTAAATTAAAACAGAGTACTTTCTTTGCCCCAAATTATAATATAACTTTAAAAGAATTTTTATTTTAAAATATAAGATAATTTAAAAAAAATAAAATTTTATTAATGATATTTTTTTCAATATAGAAAGAGAATTGAACTAATAAAATAATATAATGATTAAATATGTGAGGATGTTTTTAAAAGTTTATAGTTTTGTTATAAAAAAATAAATTTATAAAGTATCATTATTGTATTTTATTGATATCTATACATATATATAATCTTGTCTCAAATTGTTTCATAATTTGGGACAAGGAGAGTACTCCTTTCATTTCTATATATAAAAAAAAAAACTATAGAAGTATCATATAATTTTAAAAAATTAATTAACTATAATAATTATATTTGAAATTTTTTTGATTAAAATACCTTATATTAATCAATATAAGCATATGTTAATTATTTTTTATTAATGTAAATTATGAAGGACAATTTAAAAATTTATAATAAATATTTATTAAAATATGTGATTTTATTTATGAAAAATATGAATTAAAAGTAATGATTTCTCTGACAAATAAAAATTGGAGGCATTACTATTTAAGAAATCTAACTAATTTTAACCACATTTTTTCATCTTGAAAATTCAGATATTTCTTTTATAGAAATGAATTTCGGAGCAATACTTCACTGCCATCCTCCAAAAGCTTATTCTGGTTACCGTTAGGCGGCGCTTCAACAGAAGAAATCAGCGCGAAGTTCTTTTATTGACAAACAAGCAAACCAAAAGCTCGAAGCATCAGAATGTTAAAGAAAACACAGCGAGAAAGAAAGAGGGTTAGAGAAACCCAGATATGGGTGGAGGCTTTCTCGACTTCTCTTCTCGTGTTGGAAATCGAAGAGGAATCTCCATTCATAGCATTCAGATATTCTTGTTGCTTCCAATGTGGGTTTTCTTCAAGGCAATGGAAGAATTTCAAGAAATTTATACCTCGCTCTCTGCATACCCTAATTGATATTTTAAAGCTTCATCAATTGAACTGAGCATCTTATTATCCTCTGGGAGACGGTATTTATATTTTTAAACTTTTTATTTGATGCCTGGGCATTTAAGATTTTTTTTCTTAATCAGCGGCATTTAATATTTTTAATCTCAAAATACGTTCACAGAAATTGACTTCAGGTTGTTATGGAGAAGTACTATCTTTTCTTATTGATCCTGCCCCTTTGGATTTTGGTTTTTTAAACTTTTGTGTGTCACGTTTGGCTGATGAAAAATTGTGGATAATCAAATGAGTATAAAAATTGTAATTTGTAACAAATGAAATAATTTTTCTTTTTTTCTTTAAAAGCCCAATTCGTGCTGCTGTATGGCTGCTTAGTTGCTCTTAGTTGCCGCCAGAGAGTCCAGCTCTTTGTTAAACTGTTTTTGTCTATCCAGAAAATGATCTGAAGGTTGGGGGAATATTTAGTTGTTGTTCTTATTTTTCAGATTAGAATGCTCTTCTTTTTTTGGCCAAACAGATCATGATGGTCTTGATAGTGAATCTGTTCATATCCTATTCACTTTTTGGAAAATTACGGAATTAATTATTGATACCTTTTTGTGAGGGAGGGAATTGGGAAATAACATGTCATATCCATGTTGGATTTTCTCACGAAGGAATGAAAATATGCTGCTTTTGGTTGCAGTCTCTTGTTTTGTCCATTGAAATGGCTGTTCCAAAAGTGGACAAAAAGATGCTTGAAGAACTTGAAGTAATGGGATTTCCAAAGGCAAAGGCAACGCGAGGCCTCCATTATTCTGGTTAGTCTATCATATAAAGATATTTCTTAGACGTGTTATTTTTGTACAAGCTGGTTATCATACTAAAAGCTGTTTCTAATTTTTTTTTTTTTTTGGATGTTAGGAAATTGTTAGATTGTAATGCTTGAATGAATAGTTCATATGAAATTTCATTCCTGATTGACACAGTAATCAGTACAGTTATTTTGTATACTTCCTGTTATGCTTGCTTTAATTTTTAGCTCAAAAAGGACAGATACTTAGGAAAAAGATGAGATGCCTTTAACCATATTTATCTGTCTCTCCATTCATAAGTCATTTTTTTCAGATGGGATGCAATACATGTCATCGTCCAAATTCCAAAAGAACAAATTGATTAATAAGAAAGTTGTGTCCTAGACAAAATTATCCTTGCAAATTCACATAAAACTGAAAGGGTGCATCTCTGTTTCATTGGGTAAAACACGTGTACTTGTATGCATTGGGGTTATTATAGAAAATGGTAATTGGAAAAAGAACTATTTATTTGATCAAGACTACTTTAAGTTTTTGGGGAAATCATTTGTAATTAGAAAGATGTACTTCTTTTGGCATGTCCTAGAGTGTGCTTTTTGTGTAGGTATACTTTTTTGTTAGCTTTAGCTATTTTTTAATTTGTGCTATATTTCCTTAAACCATGTTCTTTCTCTTTTCCAGGCAATACTAATGTAGAGGACGCTATAAATTGGATAATTGATCATGAAAATGATCCTGATATTGATGAGATTCCGTTGGTAAGTTTCTGCGCCATTGATTCCATAATTTCAAATATTGTTCGGTAGATTTAGTTTGATGCATGCTAGTTCCTGTTTCCTCGCATATCCTTAAAGTCTGTTGAGTAATTATTAAAGGCTGGAGACATTGTTATAACTTATAAGATGGGAGTGGAAGATGTTATTTGACATTCTTAATAGTCATATGATATTAATAGTGGTTTAAACTAATTTATATCTGTGTCCCATTAGAACTTGGAGGTGTTGTCATGGCAGCCACCATGATGGAATGGAGTGGCAGTTTTGGGTCAAGAAGCATGCATACTGACACAGCGATAAAATTTGAAGCATCTACATGTAACCTAAAGTGTTGTATCATATCAATTGTGATGTAATGTTATACAATGACATGGCTTTTATCCCAAGTGTCTGTGCTGTGAAACCTCCAAGGCATGGTGGCTGTGGCAGCTATCAATTGTGCCATATTTTGGGCTTTCTGCCATGCGCCATTGACAACACCAGTACTAATTTGACAAGGAAAAATCTCAGGACACTAAATTCTGGGAAAATAAATGCGTTCAAGGTGAAATGATAATCAAAGTTCTCACTTTATGAAGCAGAAGCTACCATCACAAGATTAAAGATATATATATATATTATATGCAATTTTAGTTACATGGATTTCAATTATTCTTCATGTATTGAGTTACACTAGGAGTGATTTACTAAAATACTTCAGTTTGATAGGTACACATTCTGGTAGGTTGCTATGGCTGGGCTAATCCATTGTTTCAACTGTTCTCATTCTTCCAGGTAGATATAGATATTGAGATCGGTTCTTCTCAATCATTCCCTATTACAGAAGAAGTGAAAATCAAAGCACAGAAGTTAAGGTTCATTTACGGCCTTTCACACCATTTTCCAAGCAGTTGTTTATTAAGAAATAATGACTTTATCTGATTATTGAGAACTCCAGATGATATATTTTATATGGTTCTATAACTTCATCTCAATAATGGAAATCTTAAATTCATCGTTTCCCTTTCTTCTGGTTGGTTCTTATTGCCATTGTTGCTCTGTTGTAGGGAACAATTGCACAAGAGGAAGGATGAAGAAGAAAGGAAATTGGAGATACAAAGGGAAAAGGTACATGCTTTTATTTAATTATCTCTCAACCGTACAATAACAATAACTTATTTTTCCTCTTTGCTTTTCTTTCCCCTATATTTCATAATTCAGTTGTTTGTCCCTTTTATTATTCATAATTCAATAAATTTCAAATATTTGCTAAGATCAAAATAATTTCTTACTTGTTCAACCCTTTTTGGTGGAACCATGAAGAAGTTAATATTTCTGTTAACTCTGTTTAGGCCTTGCAATTGTCGTCAATTGTGGCAACATTAATTTATGTTAATTTTCCTGTTCTGATTCTAGGAGAGAATGCTATATTAATTTATGTTAATTTTCCTGTTCTGATTCCAGGAGAGAATCCAAGCTGGTAAGAAACTCAATGAGATGAAGCGAATTGCCGAAGAAAATGAAAGGCAACGGTATGTTCATATTTAATTATTGATCTCTATAGTTTTTCCTATTTATAAGGATTTTAGGTGGTTGCACTTATGTACGTGAGTTGTCAGACATATAGCCTTGCGGAAAGCAGAGAAAGAAGAAGAGAAAAGAGCAAGGGAAAAGGTCATGCAGAAACTTGAACAGGATAAGGTGAAGAACTCACTATCTATATTTTGACTGCAAATTTTGAATAACAACTTTGATCTAAAGTATTGAATTTGAGAAATTTCTTCATCGTAGTTCATAAAATGCCTTCATCACTTAGCATGAATGAGAAATTCAATCTGTGAAAGCTGAACCCCCTTTCCATTTTGAGCCCAGTCATCAGAGATAAGAAAAGTAACATATACATGCATAATCCTGTGATATACTTTCACAAGTTCTCTTCTGAACACCAGACTGAGGAGGATGCGTACTGATTATGTGTTCCATTTTATTTGAGCATTGTTGAGAAGTCTCTGAGTTTGTCTATCTTCACAGATAAACAGAAGATCTAAACCTGGGTTGCCCCTAGAAGGCCATGCGACCAGGAAATCTTTATCTTTAACAATACAGAAAGAAACGGTATGATGTCTGTTCTTGTATTTCATATTTAAATGAATCTTACCCTTCCACTACATCAATGAAACTTTATTGCTTCAATGGAAACTGCAGAATCCGAAGCCTGTTTACACCGTTACAAAAGTTGACCTGTTGAGAGAATGTTTGAGGTCCCTCAAGCGTAACCACCAGGTTAATAAATTTTATTTCTCTGTCTTAAGCTTACTTTTCGACTTATTGGTCTACTCCAAGAGTTATGGAATCCTTCTATAAGGTAAAGAGTCATTTGGCATTTAAAGTAGAATAAAATTTAAAAAAATGAACAAGAAGTCTAATATTACTCATTTTTACTGAGTGATCCAAGTCATTCGTGCACACTGTCTGTTCTGTACACGAGATGCTTATGCGGACCTTCACTCATGTCATTTCTTGCTTGGATAACTTTTTTGTCTTTGGTTCATAGATTTTTTTTTTTCATTAGAACAAAGCATTTTTCTAATCAGTCCACGTTGTTTCATGGCAAGGTCCAGTTTTTCATGTGCATGTTCTAGATGAAAGATGTAGTGATCTGATTATCTGCAGAAAATAACGTATGAGTTTATCACTGTCTACACCATTCAGCCATTCCTTCAAACGTCGCTTATTTAAACTTTACATTCACACCTAAGTTTTGGTTGGATGGTATATGTTGAAGGTTTATGTGTCTTTGTAGTTTTAACCTTATCTCATGAAAATCCACAAGAAGCAGTCTACAGACACAGAAACTTTCAATCACAATTATGTCGGGAGGTTGACATAACATGCTTTATTCACCCAGTCTTGCATTAGTTTTCTGGTACGGAAGTTAATCTTTATGGCTGTTTTTTCTAATGTTTTATTTATTGGTTTTTAAAATTCTCTATAGGATGAGCATGCAAGAGTCAGAAGGGCCTTTGAAACACTCTTAATTTATGTTGGGAATGTTGTCAAGAATCCCAACCAAGAAAAATACAGGAAGATCCGATTGAGCAACCCATTATTCCAGGTAAGACAGTGTTTTGATCAATGGGAAGACCTTGTGTTCTCTGAAACCTATGATAATTTAGATAGCCATATTTTTATCCCTCTAAATAGTTTGTTCAAGGCCCAAACTGGAGCGATTTTGAGTTGTTTGCTTGTGGCTCCATGGTGAAAGTTTGGGGGATATGGTGAATTCCTTGTGTGTAATTGAGTAGATTAAGTTAGAACTGGTTTTTACACTTTAGAGTTGTTATAGTGAACTGAATATGTTTTTATCAGTCATAATTTTCTATCTCTTTTTGAACAGGATAGAGTTGGGAGTTTGAACGGAGGTGTGGATTTTCTTGAACTCTGTGGGTTTGAGAAAATGGATGACTTTTTGTATCTCCCTGAGGAAAAAGTAGATATAACACTGCTAAATTCAGCTGGATTAGTATTAAAGTCTGCCATTACAAATCCCTTCTTCGGACTTTTTAGCACTCGGACATTGTTATAAACAAGTTTCAGTGATATTCAGCCGGAACTCGTGATACTTGTATGGAACTGGATCCACCAAAGCAAAGTATTTCCTCTAAGAGGACTGATAGGCTCCCTTGTATCAAATAAAGAAACCATGTTGCACTACATATTTCGAATCTTCTTTATGAATCATATGAATGGTTTTTAGCACTCACTATACTCTGTAAGGTTGTGACAAATTCATATGTCAGTTGAGACTTGAGAACTAAGATGCTCCATAAATGCAATAAAGAATTCAACCCCAAGGGCCGGTATGTTACCAAAAGTGAGTGGTGTGTAGTTAGGCCCAATATCATATAGTTGAACCCCAACAAGGCCAATGAAAATTCATATTATTGGAAATATCATTGCATATACTGTCTCATATTTCTTTTTTTTTAAGAAAAAGGAAATTATAAGTCTAGGACGCATATAGACTCTATCTTATTAGAGGTAAATAAGTTCATGCTTCAAGCATGATCCTGCAGAACTCCTGCATCTGATCCTCAGGCAATTCCAGGCAAATAGTAAGGCCTCCTTTACCTTCTGTTCCTGTCAACATCATAACCAAACCAGGCTTAAGTTCAAGTGGAGTAGCACATTTTACTCTCCCCCAAGCAAATTGCTGATCCTCTAGCCCTAATTTCCACCAAGCCACCAGTGAAAAACTGTTTTCTGTACAAGGCACTCCTCTGTTCACCTCTAACCAGTCTATCCCTGACCTCACATACTCTTCATCCATCCTCTCAATCCCTTCTTGCACTTTCATTATCAGAAAAGCATCTTCCAGTTCTACGAGCTCCTTCACTGTAGCCCTTGCAAAGCCAGGAACCAATGCATTACCTGCAAACCCTTCTTGCAGTCCAGGGACAACCAACTTCCTCACTTCGACCGGGAACAGCATCGTGGATATCTCCTCCTCTGGCATCTTCATCGCAATGCTCCTCGCCTTCCATATTCTGGCTGCAACTACATGAAATGTAGTGATGTTCTTTAAGGTGTTAGACTTCATAGCATTGTTCTTGAATCTGGAAACTTCTTGTGGTGATAAATGAAGCACGTGAACTTTGTTTTCTGTCATGGATCGCCGTTTGGTGATGCCAATCTGACTTGTGCCGCGAGAGGTGAACACATTGTATGTGCTTGGGGTTTTGGAGTACTCATAATGTGGATGTGTTATCTTTAGAGGGTTTCTTGCTTTAAGGAAGGTTCTATCTGCATTTGGTATTACTATGAAGTCATCACCTCTTGTTAAGGCACATAAGTTCATCTCAAAGTCTCTTATGGCTACACCATCAAGTGTGCAGTGGTTGTAGTGAGAGGCAAGTGCTAAGCTTCCACATCCAAACTGAGTCAGCTATCATTATCAACAAAATAATTAACTTTAAACAATTTATTTTGTGGGAAAATAATCTATACATACGAAAGGGAAAATCATTTTGTAAATGGTGATAGTTTTTCTCAATTTTAAAGTAGGTCCTTGTAATTTTTTTTTTTTTGCCAAAATCAAATCCTTGTAGTTTGATCCATTAGATATGTCAATCCTAGAGGTTAAAATTAACAATAAATTATTTTCTTAATTAAAGGGGCAAGTACTAACAACCTAAAGTTACAAGCAAGATTGAATCCGTAACCTCCCACTTATAAAGGAGTTCTCATACTATTAGGTTACAAAGTCATTGGTTAATAATAAATTATTAACTTTACTAAAACAGAAACACTTTTAGAGTTTACAAAAATTTTGATCTAATGCTTTGGCCAAAAAAAGAAAAAATAAAATTTGATTTTATACAATATCTACATTTTTATTAAATTTTTTATTAAAATTTTATATTTATAAAAATTATTTAGAAGACGACCTAATTATATAAACTTTGAATTATAATTACAAATTAATTCTAAAATTATATAAAAAGTTCTTAATTTTATTTTTAAAAGGAAAATTCAAGAATTTTAATATTCAGGGATTAAAAAATCTAATAAAGTAAATTATAAGCACTCGATCAAAACAAAATAAATGACCAGAATCTATATAGTTAATACAAATTTTAAAGATATGAAAATATATTTTCCTGTACAAAATATATATTTAAAAGAAGCAAAACATATGATGATGAAGATAGAAATGGTTTATGTTGTGATAGTTGAAAACCCATGCAGTTCTTTAAAAAAAAAAAAAGATGGTTTAAATAAAAAAATGAATAAAAATCTACACTATTCAATAAACTATTTGAGAACCCATATTTATAAATATGTTCCATCAATTTAATTTTTTATTTTGTTGTTATCTTCATTTGACATCAATTTCTTTGAAAGCACAAAACCATTAATATGATTTGTTCCTGACTTCTATTAACATGATACGTTTCTAAATAGTGATTTAATTAGTATATCAATTTTTTAGAACCTTTTAAAATTAAATTAAATATAAATTTAACTGAACATGTAAAATACATTTTAAGAACTCAAATGATATTTTGTTGTTGTTAAGAACAAAATTTAAAAATCAGATATGTTGTTTCAATTCCATATTAGTTTGTATCGCAAATAATAAATGTTTACTAGCAAAGGATCAACCAAACAAAACTCTAAAATCAGTTAAATTGCATCTATGTTGAACATATGCATATTGCAACAGACAATATTTAGATCAGGATTATGGAATTGTGAAGAATCATGAAAGAAACAAGAAAATTTTTCTATGAAATTAGGAACCTGTATGGATGCAAGAGGCATGTCGTTCACGTTAATTTCTTCATCCTCTTCACGCACGAAACAAATAAGTTGCTTTAACCTTGGATTAGACAAAGAAATTTCACCAAATTCACTCAACTTTTTATCGATTTTAGCTGCAGCGACGACGATGCCGGCACCATTGCAGTCGATCTCAAATCGACCATCCTCTTCCAAGCTCGGCACAAGCCGACCAGCCATGAAATCATAATGCACGACCATTTTACGTAGAGCACAATACAATTTGTTACAAATCTGAGAAAAGCTCATTTGGCTACTCGGAGGATCAAAGAAGGATGCAGAATCTTGATAAGCCACTAGGGATAAGTCAATATTTGACAAGAAAATTCTCTTATTGGGTGTGGATTTCTCAGGACAAATCACAATTTTCTCAACTAGCTCTATATTATCCATATTTGTCATCCACCGAATTAATCAGAATCAAAGTCTGATGAAATTTATAGATACCGTGAAACTTAATCCAATGTTTGATGGTGTTTGCTTACGGTGATCATATATAATATGCTTTTTTGTTTTTTTTTTTTATATAACGTTATGAAAAGCATATTTATGTTGAATTAATGAAAGTTGAGTGACTTCCATTAATTAAAAAAAAAAATGAAAGTTTCAGAAACTTTAATAGAAACTGCAGGATCCAAAGCCTCGATGTTACAAGCATATTTAGTAACTTCCACTAATGTTACAAGAGTTGTGCTCTTGAGAGAATGTTTAAGGTCCCTCAAGCATAACAACCAGGTTAATAAATTTCATTTCTGTTTTCTTCAGCTTACTTTGCAGCTTATTGGTCTACAGCAAAGAGTTATGGAATCTTTCTATATAAGGTAGATATAGGGTCATTTTGCATGTAAAAGATAATAAAATTTCAAAAAAAAAAAAAAAACAAGAAGAAGAAGGAACAAGAAGTCTAAGATGCCTATGTGGACCTTCCCTCATATCCTGTCTTGCTTGCATAGATTTTTGTCTTTGGTTCATAGATATTTTTTTCTCATTAGAACAAAGCATTTTTTTTTTCCTGATCAGTCCACATTGTTTCATGACAAGTTCCAATTTTTCATGTGCATAGATGGTTTAAATTAAAAAAAAAAAAGGGAGGGAGAATATCAATAGAAGACTTCTGAAATAATTTAATATCTAATAATAATCTAGATGGATCGGATACTACTTGTTGAAACATGAATTTTATTTATTAATTGTTAATGTTTATATGTCAATGGTCCTTTTATAAAATTATATTGCTTAATTATGGGGTCATTGACTGATGTTCTCCAAAAGATAATGTATTCTATTCATAATGCAACTTGAGAATCCATATTCTTCATGAATTTCTTTTAAAGCACAAGAACATTAAATATGATTAGTTCCAAACTTGTAGTCTAGTGTATGAATTTTTTAGAATCTTTTAAAATTAAATTAAATATGGTTATTAATTCTTATTGATTAAATTAGCGGAACAGATGTAGAATTAATGAAAGTTGAGTAACTTAAACAAAGTTATTTATTGATGAAAGTTGAACCTATGAAGAATTTATAAAATACGTTCCTTGCTACTAGTAATTTAGTGTATGAATTTTTCTAGAGAACCTTATAGAATTAAATTAAATATGGTTATTAATTCTTATTGATTATATTGACTGAACATGTGTAGAATCAAAGTCCAAGGAAATTTATAGAGATCATGAAACGTAATCCAATATTTGATGTCTTTGTCTAAGGTGGCCATATATAATGCCCCCTCCATCTTAAATTATAAAATACTTTTAAATAAAATCTCACATATCAATAAAACTTATTAAATGTACTTAACAACCCTATCTTTCCAAAATAAAAATGTAAATTTTTAAAAAATATCCATCATTTAATATATTAAAAAGAGAAAGGATAAAATTAATTGTAAAAAGAGAAAGAGTAATATTGAAATTGATGCATTTAATAAAACATTAATCTACCCAAAATATTTTATATTTTGAGACGGAAAAATTTATTTAAAAATGTGCTATAATTTGGGACAGAGAGTATGGTTTTTTGTAACATCATGAGATGCATATTTAAGTAGAATTAATGAAATTGAGTAACAATATTTTGTCAAGTTACATAACATCTTTTGTCTTTAGTTATGACTTTATAAAATAGAAGGGACTTGGCTTCTCTTCATTTCTTTCTATCTCAATTTTTTCTTCACTTGCTATCTTAACCATTAGAACTATTTTTAAATGGTTGAGATTTAATATTTTATAAAATTAAATTTTTTAATTTTTTAATTATACTACTAAATATTGAATTTTAGTTTAGAATAAATTAATTATATTTTAAATCTTAACTATTTAAAAATAGATCTAACATAATGGTTGAGATGGAAGGTGGAGAGGGAGAAAATGGAAAGAAGCCAAATCTAAATAGAAGTTGCATTTGAAAAAAATAATAATAATCATTTCATTGCAAATAATTTGACATATGAATTTGAATTGTTATATGTTTTTTTACACTGTTTCTGAAACTTTTTTCAATGTTGGGTATATGTTGCTCATTTATGAAGGCGGGCCTAAAAAAAATAAATAAATAAAAACACCACGCTGGTTACCAGACTATTTTCATTTTATAATAACATAATTCTTTCAACAAGGGGTTACAAGTTCAATCTCTAGTGTGGGATTTAATCTATAGAAAAAGGTCTATGCGTGTTAATTGTGTATAACTGAGGAAAAAAAAAAGAAAAGATGATAATAAAATCTCATCAAAATATATAAATAATAATTAAATTCTTTAAAATGATATAATTTTTCTAGAACTCTAGGTACTTTTTTGATATTAATAATTTTATGTTAAATAATTAAATTATTTTTTATTTTTCAATGACAATTTATATTTAAGCAATCACAACTTTTGTTATATGAATTATAAAAATTAAACAAGAAATTACAATAATTCACATAAAATTTCTTTTATGGTTGATGATAAGTTCTAAAAATAACCAACAATCACAACTTTATTTTGTAAATTGTAAAATTTTAACAAGAAATTACAACTTTCCAACATGAAACTCCTTTTATAATTGAAGTCCAAGTTTTAAAATAACTAATCACAACTTTTATTATATGAATCATAAGAATTCAATAAGAAAATCATAATTTTTTACATGAAATTTCTTTTATCATTGAAGTCTAAGTTTTGAAAATAATCAATTATAACTTTTATTCTATAAATTACAAGAATTGAACAAAAAATTATAATTTTCTATTTGAACATATTTTTTTATTTTAAATAAAGAGCAATTTAATTATTTAACATAAAATCGTTAATGTCAAAAAGATACTTGAAGGACTTTAAAGGAACTATGTCATTAGAGCAGCTCATCGAGCCTGCCCTTTTAAACCCGAAAATAACTAAGACTAGGCCTCTCCTTTAGTAGGAAAAATGATAATTAAAAGGGCCAACCCTTTTAAGTTTGAAAATAAAAGTACTGACCCTATTAAGCCTTTTTATTTTTTTAAAAAAATTATAATATAAAAAAATAGAAGATTAAATATAAAACCAAAAAAAATAAATATATTAAACTCATTCGTCCCTTCTTCATTCATTCATTAAGATTTAGCTAATAATGTTAGTCAAGTCTAATTTTTATTGATATTAATTTTAATGTTGTTATTTAATATTAGACTTGAATATTTAATTTTTTTATTTATTATGGTATAAATTGATTTAAATTATTTTTTAGACTTAATTTTATGTATGATAACTTTTTTTAAAAATTATAAATATACTTTTTAAAAGTTTAAATTAAAAAAGTAAAAAAAAAAGAGTCAAGATTTTGAGGGCCAACCTTCAACCCTGAGAACTAGAGTTGGGTCTTGTAAAAGAAAATCCTAAAGGATGATTGGGTTTATTAGGGCTGGCCCATTTAAGCTCTGGCCCTTCAAAAGCCGACCCTAGTTAATAACTCTATATGTTATTTCAAAAGACTTGATTATTATTGATATATTTTGATAGAATTTTATTATTTTTTTTTTACAATAATAATTCATTTAACCATACTTACCTTTTGGTGTATATAAACATGTACAATCCTTTGTTTTTATTGAAGGTTATTTTTAACATATTTTATTATAATCAATAAAAATTTTAAAATTTATTAAATTTATTTAAAAATTTATTAAGTCTTTGACTTTATTCGTATTAAATATGATTGCTTTAATAACATATTGTTTTCACTTATATTTAAGGTATTATACGCTTTCTAGAGTGGATATAATACCATCGACGGTGCAGTGGTTGCAAGGAGGGTCAAATGCCAAGCTTCCACATCCTAACTGGGTCAACTAATAATCAACAAAGCAATCGACTTTAAAAGAAAAAAGCAACTCCTCCTTTCAGTAGCTCAAGGGCTTGCCAAACATTTATGCTCCTCTAATCTTAATTATAAATTATTTTTAACATATTTTATAAAAACTAAAAAAATTTTAAAATTTTTTAATGATATTTAAAAATTTAATAAATTTTTAATTTTTTTATTAAATATGTATGCTTTAATAATATTTTTTATCACTAATATTTAATAAAAGGTCAATGAAAAAATTTATGATAAAAATTGATTGACATGACTTATAAATATTAAAAAAATTCTATTTACGTTATAAATAGGATATGTGAGCATTTTCTTTGCTAACCAACCAAAGAACTACCCCCTTTGAGGAGGAGGACTACGCCCAATGCATAAAAATTAACCACGTTAAAGAGGATTGAAATTTTAAAAATTCAATGTTCACAAAGTCCCTCAAAAGGTTAAAGACTTTTTTCCCCTATTAAATCAATATATGTCTTCATAATCTTGTAAAATAAAGGTGGAAAATAGCTTGGCCCATTTTGTATGGCTTAGTCTTATGAGCTTAGCCTACTTGACCATTTTTTATAGAATTAAAGTCAATTTTTATTCTTAAACTATATTTTTAAGAGTACTCTGTGTTCTATACTATTCTTTGATTTAACAAATCTCTTTAATCTTTTAAAAATGAATTACAAAGTAGTTTATCATTAAACATAAGCTAGTAGATATTAAGTGAGCTAAGTGAGACCCAAAAATTTGATGAGTTGGCAACACGTGTCTCCATCTCATCATCTCACCCTTTCTTTCTCTACCTCATCATCAACCCATTCTTCCCTCTCTCTCTCCTCCACATTCATATCTGTCTCCCTCCCTCTTTAGATTCATCTCAAACCCCCTATCTCTCTTGTGCCTTCATATTTGTCTCCCTCCTTTTTTAGATTCACCTTATACCCCCCCTCTCTCCCTTGTGCCTTTCATCATCTGCACCTGCCTCTCTCTTTACTTCTAATATTAAGCAGTCCTTCCAAAACTCAGTGATGCTCATGAAGGTATAGTTCAGAGATACAAAAAATACTTTAATCCTTTCTTATACGACATTACTAGTATGGTCTTTGCACGCACATGCATGCAAGCGTGCATGCATTTTTCTTTTTTTTCCTTAAAATAAAATTTTGAGTTGTATACATAACAAAATATTCAAATTTCAATTCTCAACCAGATAAATAACAAGACAACACATATCACACACTCATTCTCATTGGAAAGTTGGAACACAAGACCAAATATCATTTTGGTGTGATAAATGGACTCTCATACTTGATCCTCTTATTAAACATACTTTCCATAATACCAATTTTTTTCCTTCATGCTAAGGTCTCTTATTTCCACAATCCCATGAGAGGATGAAACTTTGATATTTTAAGATACTATCTCCACCCTAACGTGACTAAGCATATTGTGCTCTTTCAACCTCCTAACTGACAAGGTAAATATGATGTTCTTTTTTGGAGGCCATCTTGTGATGGTAACTTCTCCGTTAAATCCACTTACAAAATTATAGAGACTCATCAAAGCCATGACCATAATAATATTTGGTCCAAGATTTGAAAATGGCCTACATATGAACAAATTAAATATTTCCTTTGAAAAGTTATTTGGAATTGTCTTCAAACAAACTGCGCACAAATTAATGGAGATACTTCTCAATAGCATACTCGCTTTTTTTTTATTGTAACTCTCTTGACTCTTTCATTCATATCTCACGTGATTGTAAGAAAGCTAAAGAGATTTGAAAAAAATTAGCCACTCATACCAAATTTAATACCTTCTTCTCTCTATGTGTGTAGAATTGGATAACATGGAATGTTAAAAACAAAGTAAGTAGCCTTGGTACAAGAAGAACGCTCCAGCAGAGACTTTTTTGCCCATGCTTGCTAGAATAAATAGAAAGCTAGATGCAAGATCTACTTTGAAGATGATATCTTGGCTAGCGACATTACCTTCTATTGCACTTAATAGATAATCAACAACCTAAAACTTCAATCCAAAATCAACAATTTGAGCAAATTTGACATTAGATATGAAGCTAAATGGAGCCCACTAAATCCTGAGTGGATTAGACTCAATGTTGACGGTTTAGTCAATTTTAATGATACTGCTACTTGTGGTGACATCATTGGAGATGACAAGGGTAACTGAATTAAGTGATTTTTCAAATATTGGTTATCATCTCACCATAATAGTTGAGCTTATGGGGATTTTAGAAAGTCTTAAGCTTTGCTAGAATGTCATCATATTCAAAGTTAATGTTTACTCTAATTTAATAGAAGACCTATCACTAATTGAATGCAACTATTTCAAAACCCACAGACACTCAACAGTTATTAGGAAAATCAAAGAGCACTAGAAGGAATTGGGTGATCATTTTTTTTCCATGTTTATAAATAAGCAAATAATTGCATCAACCTTCTAGCTCATAAGGCATCAATTAATAATTTTGATGTTATGATCTTGAAAAGCCCATCATTTGACTGTAAAAAAACCTTATAGTTTCAGACATGACTTAATTTTAGTCTATCTTTGCTTGGTTTTTTTTTTGTGGCTTTATATTTAAAAAAAAATTATAGCATCCAATATTCTAGAATTTCATAATTCAAAGATAATGATTGAATCATTTAAAATTTATCTATCATTATTGGTCGTTCAATTATTATTAAGGATGAAGAGGGAAGAATTTTAGTTACAGATGATGAAATTAAAAATAGATGGGAGACTTATTTTTCTAAACTTTTCAATGATGGAGAGGATTCATCTAGTAACTTGGAGGATTTAGTAACTGGTGAAGGAGAACAAAATTTGTCATTCTATCGAAAAATACGTGATAAGGAGGTAAAGGAAGCTCTTAAGAAAATGGCAAATGGTAGAGCTAACGGACCTGATTGTATATCTATCGAAGCGTGGAAATGTTTAGGTGAAGAAGGGGTGAGATGGTTAACTAAGTTATTTAATGTGATTTTACGGTCCAAGAAAATGCCTGATGAGTGGAGGAGAAGTACATTAATTCCTATTTATAAAAATAAAGGAGATATTCAGAATTGTACTAACTATAGAGGGATTAAACTCATGAGCCACACAATGAAATTGTGGGAGAAAGTAATTGAGCACAGGTTGAGATTGGAGACAAGTATTTCTGAGAATCAATTTGGTTTTATGCCAGGTAGATCAACTACAGAGGCGATTTATCTACTAAGGGGATTAATGGAAAAGTATCGTTGTAAAGATAAAGATCTACACATGGTTTTTATTGATTTGGAAAAAGCTTATGACTGTATACCAAGAGAAGTGCTTTGGAAAGCGTTGGAAAAAAGGGAGTACGGATTGCTTATATTAAAGCCATACAAGATATGTATGAGGGGGTAAAAACTAGTATAAGAACGCCTAGTGGTCAAACAAAGGATTTTCCTATAAAGATTGGGCTACATCAGGGATCATCTCTGAGTCCTTATTTATTCAACTTGATTTTAAATGTTTTGACGGAACATATTCAAGAGGAAATCCCGAAATGTATGCTCTTCGCGGATGATATAGTTCTTATAGCAGAGACAAGAGAAGAGGTTAATTGCAAACTTGAGTTATGGAGGAGGACATTGGAGTCGAAAGGTTTTCGTCTGAGTAGAAGTAAGACGGAATATTTATATTGTAAATTTGATAAAGGACTATTCGAAAATAATTTGGAAGTGAAATTGGGAGATCAAATTATACCTCAAGTGGAAAAGTTTAGATATTTGGGAGCCATTATTCAAAATGATGGCGAAATCAGTGGAGATATTTCACATAGAATTCAAGCTGGGTGGTTTAATTGGAGAAAAGCTAAAGGAGTTATTTGTGACCGTAAGGTGCCTAATAAACTTAAAGGAAAGTTTTATCGTACTGCTATCAGACCGGCAATGTTATATAGTAGTGAATGCTGGGCTCTAACGGGACAGCAAGAGCATAAAGTTGGAGTAGCAGAGATGAGAATGTTACGATGGATGTGCGGACATACACGTAAAGATAAAATTCGAAATGAGCACATACGTGAAAAAGTGAGGGTGGCACCTATTGAGGAAAAAATGGTAGAAAATCGGTTGAGATGGTTTGGGCATGTACAAAGAAGACCAAGGGAGGCACCAGTGAGAAGAGTGGAACATATAACTTTGAGTCCGATTAAGAGAGGTAGAGGAAGGCCTAAGAGAACACTCTTGGAAGTTGTTGAACGTGATCTCTTAATTAATAATATTTCTAAAAGCTTAATAAATGATAGAGCACAATGGCGTCTTGCAATCCATGTAGCCGACCCCACCTAGTGGGATAAAGGCTTGTTGTTGTTGTTGTTGTTGTTGTATTGGTCGTTCAATTCGAGGTCTACTCTGCCTCCACTTTTTTTCGTCTCTTTTGTAGGATTCCGAAAGGGTAAAAAAGTTATATTGGATATCACGTGTTATGCCACCTAAACATAGTTTAGTCAAATGATGTCAAAAACATTGATGTTAATTGTTAATGTAACACCTCTGTCACCGCGGGGAATTTTTACAGCATTAAAAAATGTTAGAGCGGCATTGTACTCCGGGGAAAAGAAATTTAAGGGCAAATTTATATTTTAATTCTTTGTTTGCTCAACATCAATACTCACACTAAAGGAAAAGACCATGAAACTTATGGGCTAGCTTTCATTTATTTATTTTTTTAGGTATGAACTAGCATGTTTGGTACAAAAGGTTCTGAGTTGAGGTTGACAAGCCTTTTTTTTTTTTAAATATCTTTTTTGAGCTAAAATTTTTAAACTCCAGCATATAAAAGTATGATATATAAAAACTGATAGATCCTAATTTATCAAACTGGCTCTAACACAAAGTTTGAGAAATAAGACATATCCAAATCATCCTTTAATACTAATTATGCACTAAACAAGGGATTACCTTTGTCTTCTAAAAAAAAGTAGAAATTTTCTTTTTAGAAAGAGAATCAATTGAGTGCGTTTGTTTATTGGCTAAGAATGTAGACAGAGAGAATCAAGGTTTTTGGACATTAAATGATGTTCTTAGGGTTAATCAAGAAATTGTTAATCAAGAATAGAGCTTGTGTTCTAGTGATTAGTTTCGTATCGTTTTTGGCTTTTCAAGCTTTAACTTGCCTATTGTATTGACAAAAAAAAAAAAAGAAAGAAAAGAAATAAAGACATACTTTTTGTTGTTCGTGAAGAGTGAGAATTGTAAGATTTTTCATGTTATATATGGATTCTTCTTCTTTTTGATGTTAGCAATAATGTAAAGATGTACATACCAACTTCTCAGCTCTAGCACAAAGCTTGAGAATATCACATAATAATTTTTTAGTTTTCTTTGCTCACGAAGGGAAAAAATGTTGAAATTTTCATGTTATACATTGATAATACCTATTTTTTACTTGACATTAGCATATGATGTAAATGTATTTCTCATTTAATAATTAATTACAATTAGTTTTTTAAATAAAGTTTTATTTTTATTTCAATTAAATTTCAAGTAAAAATTTTTTAATTAATATTTTTTGTAAAAAAATTTCAATTTAATTCGCTATGCCATCCAAAAACTAAGAATTTGCTTAATAAACATTTAAGTTTTACACTCTGGTCTAAAAAAACATTTGGTGTTTTACATAGCAGACTTTGGGGTTATGGCTCGTTTAAGATTTATTTAATTATTTAATAATGTTTAATATTTCACATTGCGATATCCGATAGCTAACCGGTGAGTCTGCGTCGCTTCTCTGGTGAGTGTCAAAGCGGATCCCCGAAAAGTCCCTTCGGCTCATCTGCACTCTCAACCAGAAGCTCTGTTGATTCTGTTCGAACAACCTTTAGTCTCTCTTCCTCTCTCTCTCTTCCCCTCAAACTGTGATTGTGTCAACACTATCAAATCAAGAATTAATAGCTGTCCGGTTTTTGTTTTGTTTTGTTTTTTTGGGCCAACTCAGAAACTTTCCTTCAAACCCGCTTTTCTCCGAATTCGAATTTTCCTTATACCCCTTATTTTTTGTTTGCTTTGCCTTCCAAATTTTTGATTCTTTTGTAAGGTTACGAGGGCTAGGGTTTTTTCATATTCTCTGATCCTTTCTGGAGCTGGGTATTCGACGTCTAGGTAATTTTGCGATTGCCTTCTACAATCTTTTTCTCGGTGCCGTCAAATTAGGGTTCAGGGTTAGGGTTGGCTTTTCTTCGTTTCGAATTAGCAGTTGAAGATGTATGCTGATCGTGTGGAGACTGGAGCGAGGAGGTCAGTAAAGGAACGCCTTAATGGCAATTTTGTCACTGACTCTACTAGGCCTCGGCAAATCACCGGAAAGAGGTCTGTTGTCTGCCCACTCATTTTGTTTTTGCTGTGAACGTTCGTTTACTTGAAAAAAAAAAAATGCTTGATGAAATATTTAGTGATTATTCATTGGCTTCGTATCGAATTACATTTTGTATTTTCCGGTTGGGTGGGCTGCTTTTAATGATTATTTTCTCTTGATCTTCTTGCTGAATGGTATCGCAGCACATTCTTCTCAGCTCAGTAGCAGGAATTCGGCTGATAGGGATTAAGTCTTTTTACGCTGTTTGAGAAATGGGCTGTAGTTTACTAGCTGCAATTTGGTTCTTGAACTGCCGGCTTAAGTAGGAAGATAGTATGTTTTTTTTATTACACTTATTTGAATTCCCGTCACATTTGGCTTGTATTTTTCAGAACATGGAATCTGATTTTAAGGGTTTTCTTTTAAGTTACTGGTGGTGAAGGAGTCATTCTCTTTTATGCTTTGTCATGCATGGAGTAGGGAAAGATGGGAAAAAGATTTCTTAGTGGGGTAGCAGATGTTCTGAGACATATTTAACTCATTGGAAGTTCTTGTGTAGACAGCATAATTTTTAGCTTCTGGTTTCTTTGTTTTATAATAACCTTGGGTTTTCACATTTGGTTATTTACTTTTTGTCTGTTGGAGTCTTATCATTTACATGCTGAATTACCACTTGTATTTTCTTACTTTCTAGTTGATTGTATGGCCATAATTGCTTGAAATAAGTATGCCCATCCTATGTGGCAAGTTCATCCAAATTCTTGAATGTTCAAATGATTGTTGGAAATAAAAATTTTAATGATTTAGTCAAGGGGCATATGTTTTGCAGGCAGAGACAAGATGACAAGTGGGAGCATGATCTTTTTGAGGATGACGAACCACGAGTTTCTAGTATGGACTGACTGTGTTATTATCATATGCAAGTATAAGTTGCTGATCTTGTTGGATGCCATTAGTTCTTTTTATGGGTTTTCATTTTTTTTAAATGACTTGTGAAGATCGTCAAGTCACTGCTCAAGATCTTCGTCTGAAGCTTCAGAAAAAGGGTCTTCAGCCAGCTGGTCAGGGTGGAAAGAATTCTGCTCCAGGTATGCGTGATCTACGTGAAAAGTTATCAGGGACAATGACTCAACAGCCTAGAAACTCAGATCCACCAAAGTCAAAAGTGGAAGTTAAAACAAGCACTAAAAGTGTCATTGTTGAGGCTCCTGCACCACATGTTAAAAGAGCAGCTAACCCAGCTCCCAAAAAGAAGACTTCGCAAAAGGTAAATTGCTATTATTTTTTTTATTTCTTCAGTAATTAGGTATAAACTAATTGTGTTGTTTGGTCATTGTTAATGCTCATCATGCTTTAACACCAACTTTTACTGGATGATGCATGCCCTGCTGCTTCTTATGTGGAGGATGACTGCATGGTAATTTAAAATGTGTTATTACTTAAGAATTTTTTTTTTCAATAATAAAAAAAGATGAAGAAGTTATTTGGGGAACATTTGTTTCCTTTCTTCAATTAAAAGCATAAACTTGGAGAAAGAGATGCTTGGAATCTCACTTAGCCATTTTTGTAGAAGGCTTCAAGACCCTTTGAATTACTTGCTTTGAGATCTATTGAGCTGCTACCAACCAATTAGCTCCTTTCTCACATATTATCCCCTCATCTGACCAACCCTTGAGATGGCTTCTGAGGACTGATTTTGGGTTAAAATAGGGTTATCCTAGCCGAAGAATCTGATTCATTTGGCTGGTCACTACGTGTAACATTGTGTCAAGTGAAGAAGTGAATCAGGAGATTTTATCTGATTATGTATTCCTTCAAGATTGAATTGTAAATTTTGGTTCTGCCAGCTGACCCATTATCTGTCACAAAGTACAACAATGAATATGATTTGCTATCAAGATTTAATATTTTAGATGTCTATTAGTCAGAGATATATATATATATATATATTTAAAAAAAAAAGATGCCGGTTTGGATAGTTGTAGTGGAGATGTTGGTGTTGAAATAGGTGAATAGTAGCATGATAAGAGATAGGTAAGCATTTGTATATTCTTTTCTTTAGTTTGTTTTTGTTAAATTTGGTTGAAGGTGAGATAAAAGCAATAAATAGGGTGGTTTTCTTGCATATAGAGGTAAATATACTTTTTTGCCATAAGATAGATGTTTTGGGGTATTTATAGAATATGATTCGAAGAATAATAACAATGTAGCTATGACCATTTGTCATATGCCTTCAGAACTTGGTAAAAATTATTGTAGTTTTAGGGAGTTGTATCATTGAAGAGCAGGGGCAAAATTATTAATTTGTCAGGAGGTTCATGTGTAAAAAGGCATCAATTGGTTGAATATTATAGCGGCCATGGGAACCCGGAACTGCAATTAAGTGCACTTGATGCTATTGTGAGGATCTGCCATTGTACTGCACAGTCACAATGTGCAATTGCAGATATTTTATGGTAATAATAATGACAAGATCATTATTTATTAAACATTAATCTTGTGTTAGTGGTATTTTAATTTGTTGAATGAAGAAGGTGAAAGTGGGCGAAGCATTGGTGGTATGTGTAATGCTCACAGGCTGAATGTTTAATGAGATATAGGCTTAATTCGGTTGCCTACTTAATATAGATGTAAGCCCATTTTGATGGACCAGAGGTCATAGTTGTCTTACGTGACTCTGCTTATTTTGTAGTCATTTTATGTTTGTAGATTAATTTTTATTTTTATCTTTATTTTTGGTCCAAGAAGTATCATACTGTCATCTTCACATAATTTGCAAGAGGATATCAATTTAGTTAAATGTTTCAGGGAATACTTAGGTATTTAGTCTTATTTACTTAATATATTTTTATCCATTCAAATCAAGACAAGTGGAGTTTAATGTATTAATAATATTAACAAGAGTTTGTTATAAAATAAATGATATACAAAAAATCCCCATCTCTTGATTTAATTGGAAGCAAACTTGAGTTTAAGTATACGGCTAAATATATAAGTTTCTCCCAATGGTTTCTCCTTCTCAATTTCCAGAACTCTTGATGTATTATGCATTTTCTCACTGAAACTATTGTTCTTACTTTACAGACTGATACTTCAGTGGATGAATTTTTGCATTCCCTGGGTCTTGAGAAGTATCTCATAACTTTTCAAGCTGAAGAAGTATGCAGCGCATTAAATAATTTTTCTTTTCATTTTCCTTTTGGTTGCTAGTTCAATGCCTTATTGGGATTTCATTTTTTCATCTGGAGTTAGTATTCATCTGTAAAACCTGTTTCTTCAGGTTGACATGACAGCTCTCATGCACATGACTGATGAGGATCTCAAGGTTATGGGTATACCAATGGTAAGCGTAATTGAAGTCCTTGCGCTATGCTTTGTTTTCCAACAGCAATAATTTACATGTGCCTCGATCATGTTGGATAGGCAAATGGCCTCGTTGGCCCCATTTGAAACTGTTGATTATCACTTGTTAGTGAATAAGTATTAAAGCCGCATACTTGAAATCATGCTTTAATAGGAAATAAAATTCACATTTAACATACTTGAATTTCCTATGCTTGTTAGGAAAATGGCTTCGATCATTTCAAATGCATACTTGAAATCCCATACACTGAATGTTATGTTCCTATTAAAGCTGCCATGAGACGGGTACTCCATTAATGACATGAAATTGGTAATGCTTGGCCATGCATGCCTTTGTGCAATTTACCTGTAGCATATCAAATTAGGCAATTCAATGCAACTCCTGTCCTACTAGAAGAAGATTTTTTCGTCTAGTTGGACGGTCTCAAGGTTAAGGGGTTTAATGTTACCTTTGAAAGCAACGCTTTACACTGATTAAAGTAGCGTGGAATATTAATTTTTCAGAAATGCCCAAGTCTTCTTAATATTGTTGGCCAAAAGACAAAAATATCAATCCCACGCTTGTGGTTGTGGTGTTATGGATCATTTTGATGTGATAGTTTCAGACCAGTATTATATTGTAGTCACTCCATTTCTCTCATTTCTGCAAGCATGTTTTGGCGTTAAGGATTAATTGTGTCTTCAATTTCCTTTTGCTTTAACGTGTCTCATTCTGGCTTTGCTTTGATGGTTTCAGGGGCCAAGGAAGAAGATACTTTTAGCTTTAGAGTCAAAGGGTTGACAATTAGAATCGGAGTCACATTTTTTTTCGTTTTGTAGTGTAATATTGTTACTTATATAGCTCATGCTTTGTAGGCTTATGTTTATACTTGATTGACATTGTTTCTAACCACCCTTTGTTTTGGGTTTTTCGTTATGAAGCTTTTATAACCCCCCCCCCTTTCCTTCATCCTCCACCCCGACCCTCCGCAAGTTTCATTGATTATTATTGATATTAGATAATTCATGTCTGATCTAACGGAATTTACTAAAGCTCCCCAGTTTTTTGTAGCGTGGCTTGTTTTAAGTAGTCAATTCCATATAATGGGATAAGACTTGTTGTAACCTGTTTTATGCTCTTCCTTCACTTTCACCCCCCTTTTTGTTTTTAAATTCCATGAATGGAGAAAAGCATTAAGCGATTTTAATTGTTTGTTAATCAACAAGCCTTGAGTAATTTAGGAGTGCTTAGTGCTTACCCTCGTATTGATCACTGGATTCGATAATGTTGGGGTTGACTTGTCAGGCAAGATCTGCTGCATTTTTCTGGATGAGAAAAGTTTTTTATGAGAAGTGAGAAAACTATGCGAGTACCAAAATGCAAGATGATAAATGCTCCTAAACGGAATGTAGAAACAAGAGGGAAGCTTTTATCTCAGGACCTTTCTCAATCCCTTGGAAGATTCAAAAGGGATTAGCTAAAATAGTCATTGGGATTTGACGCGATGCTAAAAGCCTTCTGTTTGCTTCACCTAACGAATTCAATTTTCATCGAAATAAGTCGGACACAGTCCATGTCTTGTCGCCTCAGAGTGTATAAGTCATTTGTTTTTAAACTTTTGGGGCGCGTCGTACGGAAGAGAGTCTCTGTTGATGTTTGGAAGAGGCTTGGAAGGATAAAAAGAAGAAAAAGAAACCTTCAGTTGAAAGGGTTCACCATTGAAGTTAAACCACACGCTGACATTGTACGTTTATTATTCTAATAAGAACAGGCACTACACATTAAGCTAATAGGAGTGGAAGGTATATCGTCCTATGATTATTATGAAAGCTCAAAGGGAAGAAAGCTGTTGTCATGCACCACATTCAGTGTTGTTAGGAAGTGTCATCCTCTCTTTAAATCAAGCCAGGTGATGGCAGTAATATCAAAAATAAAAATCACCTCATTTTATTTGTTTTTCTTTTTTTAAAAAATTCATATGAGATATCTTGAGCCTACCTTAGTTCCAGGTGAGGGACTAAATGAGGATCCAGACTAAATTGGATATAGCTACATTCAAAGGATTTAAACTTCAGATCTTTGATAAAGAGAATACAACTTCTTTACCAATTAAATCAAATGTCTGGTGGTAGCTAGTAGATTAATATTACTACTACAACAGCAAATCTTAATATTATTAGGTGAGATTAGTTATATAAATTGTACGATACTATCGTGCTTTATCATTTATAATAACATAATATTATTATTATAATATAATATTGCATGGGCACGGTTGCTCCATGGATTTGGCAAAAATTAACATTTTGCCACAGATTTTATAAAATTTTCCTGTCTTGACACTTGTTTGCCTCTTATTAATACATACAGTTCGTTCAATTTATTCTCCTAATTTTTCCTCCACCCATTCTTCATGGATCAAAACAAAAGGCCATGATGAATGATGAATGATGACAAGTCCAATGACAAAATATGGTTCTGCATCTATCAAATTTATCACGAGGCCCCTTAGTAAGATTTTCTTGCCTTTTCGTTCGCCATTTTTTACTCCCACTTATCTTAAACCTTTCGAGTGACTTCATAAAGCTAGACTAGAGTTAGCTCAATGAGTTCTTGCCTCGTTGATTTTGCCAAGTTCATTTCCTTGATTTTTGTCGGATAGTAGAAAGGAACAGTGAAAATTTCATCAATCCATTCATGCACGTCACGAATTCGATGATCTTTTGGTTACCTCGAAAGAGTCAAATAGTTACTCCTGCCATTTCTTGTTAACAGACAAAATCTTTTGATGTGTAACAAAATTTACCGTTTCAACATTCAATTGTCGACAGAAATATAGCTAGGTCCAAAAATGTCTTCGTGAAAACATCTAATTTCTATATAAACACAACAAAGAAGCAAAACTTCAGGAGAAGGAATTCACATCAGTCAGAATGCTTCACCCCTCGTCTAGATCGTACTCAACAGTGGAAAGCCATGGGGATCAAGATGTAATTTTTGCCCTGGTCTTCCATACCAAGTACTTCCTATTTTCTTGCTTGTATCTTTTCCATTCTCTTAAAGCAGCCAGGACTACATGCATTAAAACCGGAAGAAAGAAAGGCTGCAACAAAAGAAAGAAATAAGACAAGAATTTACTTCAACTTTCAACTCAAGAATGTCTAGAAAGCAACTTGTCTTGTAAGGGAAATGCAATCCCCAGTATCCCGAGCCATTTTCAACTCCTGGTAGAGTTAAAAATGGGCATACAACTCAATGCCCACGAACCCTAATGTGTGTTCTCATGCGTGTAGATGGGACACAAAGATTTAAGACATAATTTATCAAATGAATAACGCAAATGAATGATAAAGGGAGGGGGGGGGGACAAAAGCTGGAGATAAAAATTTAGTTGGAGCTTTGGCCTTCAATGTCAATAGTTCGACCCTCTTTTTTGAAAAGTATGGTTCTTCCACTTTAGTAATAGTTTCATTTTCATTCTCTTCTTTCAAAAGAAAGATCTAATCAAGCTAAAGAGGAATTTTATTTGGATGAAAGATTAATACACCACGTACAATCCCTAAGAGTGCATTAGATTTAGTCAATGTAGTGTAATCAGATAGATCACGTTTGTCTTAATCCATCACCTAATAGCTATATAACAAATTGTTAGTAATTTAATTTAGAATAGACAGAGTTGAGAAACAAACCGAATAGACGGCAAAACAATGCTCAAATGAATAATAGCTGATTGACATGATTGATGGGTGAAAAAAGGCATCTTCTGCCAAAGACCTTGACTGCCTCGAGGATACTGGCAATCAAAGATATCAACCATAATTTAGCAACAAGGAATATAAATAGTAATCCTGCAGCAACAAGATTTGATATCAATGTTTAAGTCAAGGAAGAACATTACCAGCTGCAGCATCATATATACCAACAGACGCATTATTTTGAGCCAATTTTGCAGCCTCCAGAGAAAATTTCACCTGCTCAAAGACAAAACATTGAAGGGATGAGACAGAGAAAATCTAAATCCACATCTAGAAGGTAAAAAGTGATTTAGAAAAATTAGCATATAGATTATTTAGGCATGAGTGGTATTAAATAACGAGTCATATTGTGATTGATAAAACTGAAAAATTGAAGCACACAATTTCTGAACATATTTGAAATTGTATAACCAAGATATTCGCACCTGGATGCAAATGGGGAAAAATTGCAGTGCTGCGATCACTTACATATCATTGCTAAAAACTTAATAGTATCATCTATCTATATTTGCCCTATAGACCAAATATATATATATATATATATATTTTTGAACCCACCTGTTTTCCAATTTCATCCTTGATAATCATCCTAGGCAACGATTGTACCTATGAGAAATTTTGAGCTTTTAGCAAATAATAGAAAGCTAAATCATGTGCTTGTGACATCACATAAGGAAAGGATATCATTGATAACAATACCAATCTAGAAAGAGATCCAAGCGTTGTAGCACATGAATGAAGATTAAAGCATGTGTGTTGCCGAGATAAAACATCCAATTCCCTACACATGCAGACGATTCTTTCAGTGTCTTTCTATAAAAGTCAGAAAGCAACGAAAAAAGAACTCAGCCATTTAAAGTATATGCACATAATATGTAATGTAAATGGGTTCCACATGCAGCATCCCAAGAAGCTAATTGAGTGAGTCACTGCCAAGGCATGAGTCAATTATGTCAATGCCACACTGTAAAATGCTTCAGCCTGTTACCAGTAACATCCTACTCATGTCTTACCATGAATCTCCCACAAATTGTTCTGCAGAAGGACCTCTTCCATTGAATTCTGCTGCAATTTCAATGGGGGACTTGGGAAGTTGCATAATTACAAATGAAAATGCAAAATATTTGCTCCTTTAGGAGTCAGAATATAAGTTCACTAAATCCATTTGAAATATGATGGTCATTTAGCACCTTTGCAGTTAGTTTATGCAATTGGTATCACGCTTTCAAAAGTTCTCCAAAAAATTCTGAAGGTTACTAAGAACCATTGTTTTTTACCATTCTGTGAAACCTCTTTCACTCCCAAGGAGGATGGATGTCCCTGATAGACCAACATAGAGGTTACTGGACTTAAGACCAAAAAGTTGCCGCAGCTGCCCCATAATAACTTCAAAAAGCTTCTGGAGATCCTGTTTCAATATATGCAAGCTTCAATCTAGAGGAAAATAATGCATGACCATCTGCAAAAATGCAACTCTGTATGTGTGTTCGGGTGTCATCAAATTCTTTCGATGGAAATTCATGGATGCACTTCAAAAACCAGAAAAACGAAATTCCTTAGGACTATTTCTAGAAATGATTGCTTTATGTCAGTGTCCTACAAATACAATAAAATGTTAAAGGGTATTGGTATATGGCAGATATGAAACTAATAAACACTAATCAAAGAAGAAAAGGAAACCTTCGGAGAAATCATATTCCTGGCTATATCCTTCGTATCTGAGTCCTTTACACAGCTCTTGGGATTCCAGACAACAACACCACCCCACATCTACAATTTTCCAGTTTAGAACCTTCAATGTTAAGCAATTTGGAAATTTCATGAGAGGAAAAATACAAAGAGTAGAGGTGATGCAATTTTAAAGTTGAGACTAACCGGTGATATAAAACCATTTGTCTCAGATATCTCTCCATTTGGAAGCACCAATTGAAGAGGATACTCTTTTGCAGATGGTATATACCTGATATAATAGACAAAGAAGAAAACATTTGAGAAGATATATATTTCAGCAAAGAGAGAGAAGAGATAAAGTCAGAAAAGTTATACAAAGCTTTTCTTTTTTTTCCTGATGCTAAGGCCATAAACAAAATGATCAAAACCAAATTTTTATCTCAGACGTAAGCCAAAGGAGTACAAATTTCTCTGGCACTGTGCAGTCTCTGCTGACTTGTTTGTGGTGTCTTTGGTTAGAATAGAATGCTCTAGCATGTAATTAGCAGTTACTGTTCCCATGTCTTCTATCGTAGAGTATTATTTTTATGCCCTTCTCATGGGTTTCTGATTTTTTTTTTTTTTAATCCTAGGAAGAATTGTTTTTTTTTCTTTTGGAGGTTTGATGAAAAAGGGGGCTATCCCTTGGAGATCTTCATAAGGATTAAAAGGCTATTTTGAGTTAAAGCCTGGGTTTTTTACGTATTTTTCCCTTTAGGAGAGAAACTTGTATCCTGTCATTCTATCTCAGCAAATCATTATTCTCTCATCCATGAATTACTTTTTCATTAAAATTTTTATCTTCAGGTGTACTTATCGATTAGTCAACAGGTCATATCTCATTAAAATATGAGAATAAATACTAAATAATTGTAGGATCGAGTCAAAGAATATACACCACAAATTGCAATATCTTTGACCTCCCGCTAGCAGCAGCAGAAGTATCCAAGTGCCACTCATTTGAATTAACCTGTTTAAAAAAGAAATATTGAGTCACCAAAAACAACTTTTTACAATATTCTAGATCCTAGCAACATTACATTATGAGGGACAAATAGGACAATAGGCTGGTATATTTTAAGCATAACAGTGACAAAGAATTCATAACTATTTTTCTGCTATGAACCAAAAAAGTGAACAAACGAGTTAACATCAAACATCTTCATTTTACAAGTTAGATATCATGTTTTGCAACATATATAGGGCTCTAAATAGAAATGCATATTGAATAATAAGAGCCGCATTTCTTAAATTCATATTCATCTTATTCAATAAAGGCTGTAAACCACTAGACAAGAAGCGTACAAAGAAAGGAAGGTCCTTGGTACTAAATATATGACTGCCATGTTTATCATCCCAGAAAGATAATGAAGACTTCGGCGTGTAGTATAAAACCTGCCAATGATGACAAACATAAAAATCATTCAAAGCCAAATTATCAAATTACTCTCATCACTCTTGGACTTACAAGCACCTACCTGGCTTTCAACTGTTACATTTGCAATAGGTTGCAAAGCGTCAATCACAGGGTGCAATAAAGCCTCGTCTACTTCATGAAAATTCCTACAATGGCATCATCATGAGAACTCTAGAATACCATCAAGTTGATGATGCTACACATTATAAACAGTGTCTAGTTTTTTATTTATTAAAAAAAAAACTCAGCAGTTAAGGTTTTTATATAAAAATTAGGCAAGTGTCGGCCAGAATAAGTTCCGATCAACTAGTACCACATATATTGATATCTGATCCAACTTATACATAAACCATACCTTTATTTAGTTCCATGCACAATGAAAATCGCATCCCTCAAATCGAACAAAAGAATTTAGTTTAGAAGAAAAGGGAAGAAAAGGGACAAAGATGAAAAAAGGGAAAATTATCCCTAACATATCCCTGAACGCATGTGAAGTTATGAGATAATGAATAGGCCATCAATATCTCTTATATAAATTAAGGCTTTAATCTAACATTAAAAATTCAAAGTTAATCAGATTAGCATAATGGGTCAATACGATCTCATAGATCAATATTTCCAAAGCAACAAGAAAAATGATGTGGTTGAGATAAGCCCTGAGATAATGAAGACCAGAGAACGAATGCTCTCAGTCCCTCAAAGTATCTCTTCTATAGGAGAATAAAAAGAAAAGAAAATGAACATTTAGAAAACATTTTAACGAAATTAATGTAACAAAAATATTTGAATTTTCATACCAATCATATATCCAATCTCGTGGGTCTGCATTGAGCAAACTAAAAGACAGAACAATCTTCCCATCAGCACCGACAGGCATGAACTCTCCATGAATCGAATCTTCTTCTTTTCCACCGTTAACAAACACCCTAACAAAGATTTCTGCTATCCTCGACACCGCCTCCTCCTCAGAAATTCTTCCAGTTATCCATGCATGACGATACTTCCCAACCACGGCTCTCACTTGCTCCTCCGCGTTCACCACAATAACACTATAAACCTTCCCTCCAAACACAGAATCATAACAAGCCCCTAGCATAGACTGCAGCAATTCGTCAGCCTCTTCGTCATTATCCTTCAACTTCCCAAAAGAATCAAATTTATTGATTGTACCACACTTCCAAGAGCACGAAGATTTCAGATTCTCTGTTTCCACATAGTTGGACCCGGAATCCACAACCACGGATACAGTATAATTGTCACTACAAGCGCCACATTGGGAAGCGTTGGAGTTGAACTCAAACATTCTCTTCATAATCGCTGATTCAAGCGCATCTGCCCTGAAGCTCCTAGAATCAAAGCCAACAAATACTGCTTGGAATTGGCATGGAAATAGTAACGGGTTGGACTCGATTTGAGCTGAAAATGACTCAATACTCCGGAACGGAAGTGGGGCACGGTAGATTTCGATGGATTTCCACAGAAGAGGGAATCCTGAAAAGAATAAATGCACACCAATTAGTTGTAGAATTACAAGCATACAAACACATCACGAAGTTAGAGAGTGGGCAGACCGAGGATGAAGGAGAGGAGGACAGAGAGAGTGAGGATAAGGCGCTTCAGTCCAGGTTTCGTCTTTCGCATGGTCTTAGGGTCGAAGCCGGGATCGGATTCGGGTGGCTTCGACATCTGTGTCTGTGGGCTCTTCTCTTCGGAAGGTTGTGACGGAGACTCAGAGATCTCCGCCATTGCAGCAGCGGCAAGCAACCAAAGCTTCTATAACATCGAATTGGCTTCGTTTCTAGCTCAATTTGCAATAGATCGATCAACTTGAGGCTAGCGATATTCAGGTAAATGACTCGTAAAAGTATAAAACAAGTATTTAATCCCTGTTTTATTTGCCTAAAAATACAAAACAAATATTCAATCATAAATTTGAAAGACCCAGCTTCAGATCCATTTAGCATTTAATCATTAATTTGTTTATATAGACTAATGACAAAATATCTTGATTTTATAATATTACTTCTATTTGAATTTATTAATTTTAAGATGAATATAATGTATATTTTTTAAAAATATTTTTTTGTATACAAACATATTAAAATTAAAAGTTTATTTTAAAAAATATATAATTTCAAATTTTTACACTTTATTCATAAATTTTTATATTTTTTTAATATTTTTAATATTTTAAATTTTTATTTTTTTATTTTTTAAATTTATAAATAAATAAAATGTACGGGTTTAAATTTAGTATATCATGAAATAAAAGTGCGAAGATTCTTGGAACATCTTAAAAAAAAAAAAGTGCACGAACACACATAACTATAAATACACAGAAGGAGTAATTTTCATCCCCTGTTTGTACTTTCATTTCCTCTGGATTCCAGAGTCCACACCTCCGCCGGCTCCCTCCAGTCCAAACCTCGCGCAGCTCTGAAACTCCGTTGGTCACCCATCCTCTATTCTTGACTTCGACTTCGCTCTGCATTAGCCACTATGCAACTTCTCAAGTCCTCAATCAATCATCCATTCACTCCACTCTCTTTCTCCCTCCTTCATTGTCCTCCATTGATACTCACAGTGAGTTTTTTCCGCTTTTACTAGTTTGCTTCTGCTATGAGTTATATATTACTATAGGTTTCTTTGCATCTGGTTCTGTGTATTCTCTTATTACAAAATTTCAGAGCACCATATTAGCATATTCGCTCTTATTCTGTTCGTCCACTTTCTATTTCTCTGTACCCCGTTTACTAGTTTACTTTTCACTGCTATTAATTTAATTTGTGATCAATTTATATATATATATATATATATATTCATTGCCTCACACAGTGCTGTTACCCAGAATTAGATGATCATGCCCTTTGGAACAATTTTGTCCTTAATCCACATGTAAATTGGCATTAATATAGTAAGTGTCTGCAAGTTCACCAAGAATGAACCGAGAAAGACACACGACTGGACGTCTACAGATTTTCTGAAATTGATGCATTTACAAATACATTAAATGTTGTGCTAAAGTTGTTACTGGAAATATGTATTTTTAGTGTACAGGTTTTATTTGGTGTTATGTTGATTACTTTATATTATTAGTGTGTTACTTCTAGTTATTTTGTTGTTTTGGAACATATATTGTTACATGTGAGCTTGCTAACTTATCATCAATTTAGAATATTTGTTTTTTTTTTCAAATTATACATAACAATTTCATATTTATATCATTATATATGTGCATAATATTTTTTGTTTATTACCGGTTCAACCAAGAAAATCATGAACTACTGGTCTCTCCGGTTCAACGTCTGATCTGCTTTTAAAACATTGATGATGGGTAAACCGGTGAAGATGAGAAGATAATAATAAACACTTTTGTATTCCAATTTGATTTTTATGCCTGATTTTGTATGTATTTTAATTAATGTCTGTTATGATCTATGAACTTCGTTAAAATAAACTGTAAGCTCTTACATTCTTACCTGGTTCCCTTTCACCACTTGATCTAAGCAAATGGTTCAGAGCTTGTAGCTTCGACATGCGATTGCTGCGTCCATGGGCTAATCACTTCAAGCTTGTCCTTTTGGCATGTCAAGAAAAGCCTTCCATTGCGAAGCTTCACGCTTTGATAATCTTGACCGGTACCTTCATCCAAAATGGCATAAACGGCCAGCTCATCGCTCTTATGCACGTGTTGGTGATATCAAATCAGCCCGTCAAGTGTTCGATCAAATGTCTCAACGAGGTGTTCATGCATGGAACGCCATGATTGTTGCCTATTCTCGTAAAGGATACCCAGACGAAGTTCTGAGTCTTTACCATAGGATGATTTCTGAAGGGGTGAGACCCGACAGTTCCATTTTTACTGTGGCATTGAAGGTGTGCACTAGGTTGCTCGATTTGAGAATGGGGATGGAGATTTGGAGCAAGGCGGTGGATTGTGGGTATGGAAATGATGTCTTTGTCGGGTGTTCCGCGTTGAATATGTATGCGAAGTGTGGGAAGATGGATGAAGCAATGGAACTGTTCGATAAAATGCCAAGGAAGGATATAGTTTGTTGGACAACTATGATATCTGGTTATGCTCAGTGTGGAAGAGCAACAGAAGCTCTTGATGTTTACAGAACAATGCTAAAAGAGGGAATGGATGGAGATGGGGTTGTCATGTTGGGGTTGGTTCAAGCTATTGCAAATCTGGGTGACTCCAGATTGAGTCTCTCAGTTCATGGGTATCTAATTCGGAGAGATATACCAATGGATGTAGTAATCCAAACCAGTCTTGTAGATATGTATACTAAAACAGGACATCTAAGACTTGCTTTTCAAGTGTTCTCGACAATGACTCATAAAAATGTCATATCTTGGGCTGCTTTGATTTCAGGTTTGGCTCAAAATGGTTTTGCAGGAAACACACTTGAATTGTTGGTAGAGATGCAGAGTCAAGGCTATGAACCTGACTTCGTTTGTCTTGTAAGTGCGCTTCTAGCTTGTTCACAAATTGGGTGTCTCAAGTTGGGAAAATCCATCCATGGATATCTTATGAAGAGACTGGATTTTGAGCGAGTTTCTGGAACTGCAGTTATTGACATGTATTCCAAATGTGGATCACTTTCTTATGCATGTGCCCTTTTTGATCAGATGAGATTTAAGGACACAGTTTCTTGGAATGCAATGATTTCCACATGTGGAGTCCATGGAATGGGAAGGAAGCTCTATCACTGTTCCAACAGATGATAGAAACAAATACGGAACCAGATCATGCAACTTTTGCTGCTCTTCTCTCTGCTTTAAGCCACTCAGGTCTTGTGCAAGAAGGTCGATGCTGGTTCAATTTCATGATCAATGAATTCAAGATACCTGCAGATGAGAAGCATTATGCTTGCATGATTGATCTCCTGGCTCGTGCAGGCCAAGTTGAAGAAGCTTTGAAGTTGATAGATTCCATGAAAGCTGAACCTGGGGTTGCTGTATGGGTTGCCCTCCTTGGAGGTTGCTGCAACTATGAGAAGTTTTTGGTTGGGGAGAAGGTGGCAAAGAAGGTTCTCGAGTTGAATCCAGATGATCCTGGAATATATGCCCTAGTCTCTAACTTCTTTGCCAAGGCACGTAAGTGGGATGAAGTAGCTGAAGTGAAAAAGATCATGAATATGTCTGGAGTGAAAAAGGCCCCTGGTTTTAGTGTGATTGAAGTGAATGGAAAGCAACATGCTTTTCTCATGGAAGATAAAAGCCACCATCTTTGTAAGAATATTGTTTGTATTTTGGATAATTTAGATATTGAAATGAGAGTGGCAGGTTATGTCATGTTTGATGAATTTTTGCTGTTTGATCTGGAAGAGGATACTAATGAAAAAGTTTACAGTAAACAATAAAATATAGTTTACTCTCATGAGGTGTGGCACAAAATATGCTTCTCCTGGCGTGTTCAAGTCTTCAATTCAATTCCCTCTCATTATTCAGGTCAGAGAAGAAAATTCCTCTCATTTTTGCTACAGTATTTTTAATATATCAATTTAAAATACGATCGTATAAAAGTCATATATTTTGCATTTACATAAACTTAAATTCAAAATTTCTTGTTCTAAAATGATATTATTATCGTAATTGAAATGATATTTCACTATTTATTTGTAACTCTCTTATTTAAATAAATTTTTTAGAGAATCTACTTATTAAGTAACATTTTGTTGTCTAAAAGACTAACTGAAATAATAAGGATGTATGAAAGATTAAGGTTACTTCAAGGAGTATTCAGTGTTCATTTTTACTGGCTAGTTTAATAACCGAAAAGGAAAAAAAAAATCTACAACTTTTTAACAGTTAGACATGATTGTAAAAAAAAAAAAATAGATAAATGGCCATATTTACTGATCATGACTTGTAAAAGTTGTGTATTGTAATACATTTTATTCAATTGTTATTATATATATAAATTTACATCAAGAAAACTAATTTCTTAACAAGTGCTAATGTTTTTTTTTTTTTTTGCCAGAACAAGTACTAATGTTAAATATGAAGAAAACGAAAAAAATAATTTTGAACCAACTCATTTGTGTAGTTTATTTTTGGGATAATCACATTCAAAAACTATTTAAAAAATTTATTTACAAACAAAGAACAATATTAAATAGATTATCGTTGAAATGAGAATCTGAAGTTTTTTTTAAATGGGATTTATTATTAATTTTAGCTTGTGTATCAATTTTTTTAGTAGTTATTGGTGTAATTATCCCTCTAATTTAAAAATACTTTTTATTCAAGCCAAGAATACCATAGATTCGGGAGGTTAATGACCCAATAATCAACGGTCAGTCAATTCTAAACAAATCTGCCGACAAAAGCAAACATGCTCCGCTGGCGCTAACAGGAACGTCGTCCTTTTTGTTTATTTGTTTATTTCTTTTGTTTTGTTTAGTCTTTTTTTTTTTTTTTGGGAATGAAAGGTGAAATTCACGAAGTCATAAATGTATGTATAGTATAAACCTGTCCTTTATAAGAATTCAAATTTTCCGGGGAGCATCGCATCGAAGGGTGCCAAGGGAGAAAAGTGCACTTGTGAACCAATATACTATGACATTATTCTTGAGGTTCAAGGCCCTTTTTACAAATATATTTTAAAGAGAAAAAATACAGTTGTCCTTAATAAATAATAAAGAATTTTAAATTCATTATCAATAAATAATTATCTATTAACATGTAAATTTAAAATTGTAAATTTACAAACATTTAGCTATAAAAATATAGACTTATTATCATAATAAATTTTAATTCTACATACATGAAGTTATAAATTCTGTACTTTAATTTATAAATAGATCAATCTATATTTGTGAATACTCAAACTTTAAATTGTAAATTAAATTGATCAAGACAAACTTGTAAATCCTAAGCAAGAATTTCACTACCAATGAATAATTACTTCTTAATATGTGAACCTAAAATTTTGAATTGGTGAACATGTAGTTGTAAAAATTTAAACTTATTTTCATGATGAACTTTAATTCTAAACATATGAAGTTATAAATTTTGAACTTTGATTTATGAATAGATGGACATGTACTTATAAATATTTGAATTTTAAATTGTAAATTTATTAAGTTAATCAACACGAACATGTCGACTTTAAACAAACAAGTCACTTCCACTAGTCAGTTATTTGTTAGTATATAAACATAAAATTAAAAATTTATGAACATGTAATTATAAAAATCTGAACTTATATTTGTTGCCTTTTTTTACTAAGAACATTTGTGTTGCAAAACGAACTATTGGACTTGCAGAATAATTTTAAAATGTATTAAGCCTAATTGTATTTTTTTTTCTTCCTTGAAGGCGCGGGATGAGATTCTCCCAATTTTTTGTCAGTTAATTTATTATCAGAAAAGATGTAAGAAGTATAGCCAAAAAAAAAAAGATAATATGTTTTTTGATTTTTATTTTTTTCTCAATTATTAATTTAGTTTTTAAACTTGAAATTAATATAACTTAATCTTTATAATTTATTGAGCTACGAGTCAAAAAAAACTATAAAAATCAAGTCGTTTTAAGTGAAGAAACTGAAGGACTTATCCACTTTTAAGTTTAAGGATTCAATCAACAATTGAAGAAAATTTCATGAAACAAAAATTATATTTATCTCTGAAAAAATATTAAAATGAGTGTAAATAAATGAAGGGTAAAGGAGTAAAATTAACCTCCCATTATAAGTTCAAAAACATTTTGGATCCTAAATTCACCTTTTATACAATATATTTGTCAATTTTAAAAATAATGCACTCTAACATTTGCAATTAATAAAAGTTAACTTTAATTATTAATTGATAAGAAAATGATAAAAAAAATTTTAAAATTTCCTAAAAGGACTAAATATTACAGTACATGACCTAAAAATTACAAACAATAATCAATAAAATATTTATCATTTAATGTAATTTTTAGGTTTTTTTTTAACTAACAGTTAAAATTAACTTTTATTAATAGTAAGAATCAAATTACATTATTTTTAACTAGAGTAAAATATTGAACAAAAGATAGTCAATTTTTTATAATTTAATAGCCAATTTACTTATTTACCCATAAATGAAATGAAATTTTTGATTTTATTCTTTGACAATCTCTTTCTTGTAATACTATACAAATGCTGTTATAAGATATAGGAGGCAAGCATCCTTGTTAGTGAATTTTGTTCATATTCACTTGGAAAAAAAATGATAAAAGTAATTTTGGTCCCCAACTTTCATGAATTTGAATCCCTTCATTTTGGTCCCCACCAGTTAAGTTCAACATCGGACACTAGTTATCAATGTTAAATAATGTATCGTATTATTAATCACAATACAAATTTAGACAACATTTAAAAGGCCTTAAAGTACGGAGTCGCTTGTTATAAGTTACAATCATGAGAGAGGGACCTACAAAGGACGAAGAATGATTATTAGTAACATAATTAATAATTAAACTTTCATTAATATTCATATCCATTTATATTGCTTGCAGAAATGGATATGAATCGAAGAACATGGGATATTAATATCTGACAGCATCTTTCAATTTGACCAAAAATGTTTAATAAATAGCTCAGTTACTCAAAATATCACCAATGACAATAGGTACCATACAACTGTGCTTAAAAAGTCAATTACTAGACTGATAAATAATAAATTGAAGTGTAGCAAAAATGCTTACTGAGATCTCCAATTCAGACATACAGAAAATTATACTACTTCATAAATTTATGGATAAAAGAAGTTGATTCTTCACCAAAAAAAAAACAGTTGATAAATCATATATATATATATATATATATATTACTAAACTGATATGCAATAAACATAAAACATTAGAAAAACCACTCTAAATTTTCACTCAATAAATTTAAATACAAGAAATTCATGATTTTTCAGTTCTTTAATTCCAACTAATTCAGTTAATAGATTGCGAACATTTCTTTATTTTATAATCGAGATTTCTTATTTAAAAGACATTAACTCTAACCCGTTAATCAAGCTCATTATACTTAACCTTATTTTTTAAAACTAATATTAACAACATTTGAATTTTTTAAAGGATAATTCATAAGGAAAAGAAAACTAATTTTTAAATTCAACTTTAAGAGAAAAATGAGAAATAAAAATTCCTACAAAAGTTAATTTTTTCACGGCTGAAAAAAAAAAAGTAAAAGAAGAACACTATATGGCAATGATGACTGCGGGGGAAACAGCTCGGAGAGGGCGAAGAAACTCGGAATTTACAGAGAGAAAGGAAGAAGGAAGAGAATGGTCAAACATTACCGGTGGCACCGGTCAATGGTTGTAAAACCTCTTTCTATGGTTCTTCCTCTCTCTCTCCTGTTGGGTCCTTCAATTTTGTGGAGTGGCTTCTTGCGTTGAGTTGTCTCCGTGGTCTGGTCCGTAAAGCTTAATTTCTTGACGAATTAGTAGCTAAGATTTCTGAGTTTCTTTCCAAGTTCAGCTTAGGAAGAAATGGCGGTAAGTTTTTTCTTTCTCTTCTCTTGGGTAAGTTTTCTTTTTCGTAGGTTCGACACCCTTTATCTCTCTGTATTGATGAGAAATCGGAGTTTCAATCACCTGCATTATGTTGCTTTTTCCCTAGCTAAGTTGAGAATCTCTTCTTCTTCATCTTCTGATGCCTTGATCAAGTTGAACTAAGCTAGATTCTTTGTTGCAGCCAGATCGAGCATATTAAATTAGAATCTCGCGATGTTTAGTTTTGTTGGTTTATGCTGGCAAGTGGCAGCTGCTTTTATAATTATAAACCATATACGCTGTGTTCAAGTTATGCTAAGCATGATGAATCGAGGATTATGGAAAACCTTAAGGCCTTTGGTGTTTTCTCTCGTTGAATCAATATAAGCTGCTAGTTAAGCTGTACAAGTTTGATCTTTGGCTTTAATCCCTTGTTTGATGCCGGAGATAGCTACTTTTACGAGGAGCGCCCTAATTTCTGTGTTTATAAATATTGACGCAGGAAATTTAGTCAGACAATTTATTGCTTCCGGGAGCACATCTTCTCTCTGATCACAATGTGCCATGTTTGGAGAAGTGCTTAAATTTTGAAGTCTAATATCTAATATTTCATTTGCTTTGGAAAAGATTATCATGTTGCCTTTGTTGTGGACCTTTGTATGTTTTTCTTTCTTAGTTTATAAGGAAAACTTCAGTATGAAATTAAGATTGAGCTTTATGGGATACTAAATCATCCACTACCAGCAGTTGTTAAAGTTGCCACTTTTCACACATGTTTAGTCAAATGGAGCTACATTGTTCGTTTGATTATGCACAAAAATGCATTTTTTTTTAACCTAATACTTACCATACAGTTTTGCCGCAAGATGTTTGTAAGGGAAGGATCTTAAATAAATTCTTCCAATACTAAACTCTGTATGTCGTCAACATAATCTCTTTGGAAGTAACCTTGAATATGTTGAATTGTTGAATCTTTTTCTTGTTTCCTTTTCTCTTTCTGTTTTTGTTTTTGCTAGTAAAAAGGAGAATATTTGATTCTATTTCCCATTTTGTTATTTTTTTTTATTTCCTGTTTTGATTCAGGGTTTTGTTTGAATTAGTGTAGCCTTTTAGATTATTAGGGTCAACTTCTATTTAAACTGAGATTTGTTTTGATTGTTTTTAAACCATTGGTAGGGCTCTATAAATATGTCCTAAAACTCTTCATTTGTACAATCTTTGCCGTTGAATAATATTAAGAACTTTGAATTACTGTCTTCTCCTTCAAATTCTTTCTGCTACTTCCCCCTCCCCTTTCTCTCCTTCCCTCATCTTTTGGCATTCTACATCAACCTCCCTTTTGTGCCGAAATTAAATCCTCATTCCCAGGCAAGAGAAGCGAGCTATTTATTTTTATGTTTTTTTTTTTCCTTTCACCATTTTCTTTACTGTTGACTCTTATCCTGATTTGTGAAAGAAAAATCATTTTCCCTTAAAACTTGTATTTTGAGGTCTATTTTTTGATATTTTACTGGTAGATTTAACAGGCTACTTTTAATGTGTCAATGTGACAGCAACGTTCTCACGTACCAAGATTTGGCAATTGGGAAAATGAGGATAATGTTCCTTATACGGCTTATTTTGAGAAGGCACGAAAAGATCGAACTGGCTCAATGACGAATCCAAATGTTCCTGAGGGAAATCCAGATTCAGTTCATGATAATTCATCTTCATCCAATCTCCCACCTACTGAACCCATGGTTAATTCAGAGGATCAAAGTGGAAAAGGATCAGTGAGTCCAGCACTCGAGTTACAAAAGAGCAAGGATGATGCTGTTCCTAAGCCTTTTACAGACTCTCCAGCTAGTCATGACAATATGGGAAATAGAAGTGGCAATGAGTCTACACATCGTCGGGGAGTAGGTTCTGCTGACACTCGTCAAAAACCTGCAAGACAAAGTGCTGGACCCGAGTACAGCATTGAACGTTCACCACTTCATCGCCTGGCAAAGACCCCTGGCAGAGATAGTCCCTCTTTGGAAGGCAAGAATTCCTATGACAGCAGCCATGGTACCCCAGGGCGATCCCGACTAAGAACACCTCATCGAGGAGATGAATCTGTTAGTTCTTTGATTCTTCTCTCCTACTGTTTTATTATAATATTTGTTTTTAAGAATGAAAAATCTTAATACATTTGACATCAAGAGTGAAACCACATTTTGGACATCAAAGACAGCGCAGTATCAATTGGTTCCCTAATGATTTCCTGATTTTTAAGAATACTGAGTTGGGTTCTGGTTACCTTTTTTTATTTTTATTTTGTGGTACATAGTGGTGTTCGATTAACTCAAAAGATGGATTTGGTTTCAACTCCATTTGAATATTTACTCCATGAAATATTTTATGCCATCATTTTGGTACCTAGAAAAGGATGAAATTGGAGGAGAAAAAATATATTTTCAAGTTTTAAGTGATAGGGGAAACATTAAGGAAGAAAACTGATGACAGGGTCATTCATCTTTGGAGGACCAAAATGAGACTTTACTCTGATGATCAGCTGGCCAATTTTCAATGATTTGACTTTTTGGAGTCCTTATAAAACATTTTACAAATAAACTCAGACATTTGATATTTAGCATTCTGGTGTTGCAGCCTGACAAAGCTGCCGCTGTTCCCAAATTTGGGGAGTGGGATGACAATGACCCTGCATCAGCTGATGGCTTCACTCAACTTTTCAACAAAGTGAGGGAGGAGAAAGCTGGTTCCGGACAACCACCTGGCACGCCAACCCAGAGACCATATGCTGTCCGGAACCAAAAGACCAATGAAAAAGGAAAGGTATGCCGACAATGAATGAAGCATGGTGTGGCTAGAATCAAGTTGTGCTGATACATACATACATACATACATACCGTGGCAATTATCTTTGGGTACTTGAAACTTAAAAATATGTATCGTCTACAACAACAAGCCTTTATCCCACTAGGTGGGGTCAGCTACATGGATTGCAAGACGCCATTGTGCTCTATCATTTATCAAGCTTTTAGGAATATTATTAATTAAGAGATTGCGTTCAATAACTTCTAAGAGTGTTCTCTTAGACCTTCCAAAAATATGTATCGTCTAACATTGAATAAATTTTAAGCCCACATACAAACTTATTCTTCAAATTTTGAAATGAAATCTTACTAACTCAAAAATTAAAATAACCATGCATGAAGCTGCATGCTAAACTCTGGTTTAGTATATTACTCTGATTTACTTTTGATAAAGTTATTGAACTTCGCTAGCATATTAGAAACTTAGATTGTCTATTTTGGTTAATTACTTGCTATAGAAGGTTTACAATCTACTTATATCACATAAGAAATGTGGTGTATTATAAATATTATTTATTTTTATGGCATATTTGATGTGCCTGTAACTTGTGCCATGAAATAGTTATTGTATCCGGTACCCTGTACCCCTGTCAAATGCATACTGAAATCAATTCCTATGCAAGATCGCCGGCAATGCTTAGTGTTATATTGAGAATGGTTTTGAAAGTTTGTAGTTCTTCCCTATACTGATGCTTCTATCTTTAAACCTGTTTTCTTAGAGCTGCTGCTTTGGCTGGTGCAAATAATGATTTCTGGAAAGAGATGAGTTGGATTCTGAACAGAGAGAAAAGTAGTGTTGTGATTGATCATGAGGTTTGTGTAGTACTTGTAAATATCCAAGGCTCTCATCCTGCGGCAAAACATCAATGAAGTGCATTTATCGGAACTACTTTGCGGTAACATATTGAAACCAGTTGTATCTATCAAAACCAATATATATATGATTTGGCGAATAAAGACACTCATCAATCAGGCAAGATTATGATTTTATGCTTATCTTGTTGGATTTTTGTTGTGTGGTTGTCTGCTCACCATACTGATCGTAAAATTCTTTCCTAATGAATTGATGGGTTTTTAAATGGATCTCGTGTTCTGTAGTTTTTTTTTTTTTTTAAATGAATCAATGTAGTTTTACTTGAATGTTAAATATCTTGATTTTCTTTAAAGATAAAAATAGCTCTTCTTGTATCATATCTGGATAAATTTTTGGGAATGACAAGTATCAAGAATTGATGGGGGAAAGGAAGTGAAATTATATAAATTAAAAGTCCTCTCACTTATCTACCTTCCTCAATTCCTCAATTCTAACCTAGCATGTGGAGTTGCAGGGCCGAAAAATAGTGTGCCTATGGAGAATGATTACAATTTATTTTATTGATGGTTTGATCCATTTATTAGTTATATTATTAGTAAATATTATTGGCACTCGTGTGTGATGTATGGGATGTTTTAGTAACAACTGGCAAATAAGTTACCCTAATTGTACTGTTATTTATTAAATATTATTAAGATGCTATGATTATATAAGTATTAAAAATAATAATTCACAACTGTTGCATTAGTAGCAACAAGTTTTATCTCACTAGATAGAGTCGGCAATATGAATTATATGATATTTTTGTGCTATGTTATTTATTAAACTTTTAAAAATATTATTAATGAAGAGATTTCAATCAACAGCTTTTAAAAATATTTTTTTTAACCTTTCTTTACCCCTTGATAGGTTTTAAAATTGTTTGTTTTACTCTCTTCACAGGTGCCTTCGATGGTTTTTTTTTATATGTTTAGATCACCTCATATGATTTTCAACTATTTTTCCTTCAATAAATGCAACACTCACCTTTTTTCGTATACACTCATTTCGAATTTTGTCTTTTTGTATATGTTCACATATTTATCTCAACATTTTTACCTTTGTTATTTTAATTTTATATTTTTGCTGTCTTGTTAAAACTAAACATTTACTACCATTTAATATTGTTGGTTTTATAGCAGTTCAATAATTTTTTTTTAAGTTTATTAGGTACCTTATGATTATAAATAACTCTTTTAACCTTTCTTCAATTAAACTATCAACTTGTATTCTATGTGTAATATTTCTATTAATTTTTCTATTATGTTGAATAATCACTCTCAAATATTTAAATTTTTTTATTTGAAGCATAATTTGATTACTCAATTAATAATTTTGAAATAATTCCTACTTGATTTCCTAGGTATATAATTGTAAAATAGCTCCCAAAAACAAAATTACAAGAATCCTTCTATTCACAATAACAGTAATTTATTTTTATATATTCATAGATACCCCTCATCCAAAATATAACCATTTCTTTTAAGCTAATGTTAATTCAAAATATAAGTAACCTGTTACATGTGATTTTTTTTTTCATTTTATTCCTTATATTTATCAACCTAAATATTTGTATAAATATATTTTTCACTTATCATGAAGTATATTGGTAGTTGTGACTAAGAGTTAAAAAGAAAAATAATTTATATTTTTATAAAAATGAGGAATTTATTGATATGCTATTTAAAAAAAAACTATTTATATTTCAGACCGGGAGAGTTTATGTATATGGTTTTTCATATAAGATATATTATATATGTTAGCTACACACTAAAATTTTTTCAAAGAGGATGTATAAATAATATACACAGTAATATACTTTGAATCTTACTGGATTGATATGCTATTTAAAAAAAAAACTATTTATATTTCAGACCGGGAGAGTTTATGTATATGGTTTTTCATATAAGATATATTATATATGTTAGCTACACACAAAAATTTTTTCAAAGAGGATATATAAATAATATACACAGTAATATACTTTGAATCTTACTGGTTTCGCCGTTTAGCCCATTAAGACCGAGCTGAGGGACACAATTATATTTGCCCATTAATGACGATACTGTTGAATTAACAGTTGCCACACTCTTTATGAAGTTCAAATGTATGATGGTAACGATGGCAATGACTATTTATTAAGTTAATATATTCAATATAAAATTGGTTTAGTGTAATTTACTAAATATCAATGTAAAATATAAAATTTATATTATTTTTTAATAATTATTCTTTTTGAATATTTATAAATAACCAAATGTTTTTACCAAAATCTGCATTCCATTGCTAGTAAATATTTAATACATACGTATACATATATATATATATATATATATATTGTAAAATAATACTCTTTTCGTTTAAAAATATAAAGTATTTTTTGAAGAATTAGATGTTAAAAAATATAAGGCATTTTTAATCTTTTGAAGTGTAATTATTTTTTTTTAAAAGTGTCCTCATTGATAGTGACTTTATATTTATTATTGGGTGGTTAATAGGGGTAAATATAAAAAAATATGATTAATTTAAAAATAGATAATTACTTTATTAGAGGGTGAGATTTAATTAAAAATATTTTATATTTTTTAACGGAGAGAGTAGCTATTTTATAATTTCATACTCCTATATATTTTCAATTATTATGTTTGCTATTTATATACACACACACACACATATATATATAGTGTTAAAATTTATTTTTTTACCTGATTTACTTTTTTTAATCAACCTCAATTCTCCCATTTAATTTAACATAGTAAAGTTTAAATTTTTTTAGGCAAAAAAAGTTTTAATTTTTTTAATTATTTGAATTTTTTAAAAGAAATAGATATGAAAAAACCGGAAAAATGTAATGAAAAAGAGAAAAGAAATTTTAAAATGCATTTGGAACATTCAAGAGTTTAAATAAAATTCTGATAAAATATTCTATTTGATATTGAATAATTTTTTTAATGCTACCTGAATTCTGATGTAAAAGAGGTGGGTATAAATCAGTGTTTTAAAAATTAGATCAAATTAGTCGGTTCAACCAGTTGAACATGAAATCAGCTCTTAATTCAATTCAATCGACTCCTCAAAACCTCTCAATGATTGAAAAAATTAATTGAAAATTGAACTGATTCCCTTAAAAAATCAACCTAAATTAATTAAAAATTTTAAAAAATTAAATTAAAAAAATTAATATCAAAATTAAAAATTAATTAAAACAAAGAATAGTCAAATATAATGAATATTAATCATGTATTCATCAACAATAAATCATTTATCATGCAATTATTAATATTTTTTAAAAATATAAAAATTTACATGTATTTCTTATTTAATTATGATATATAAATTTAAAATATATTAATTTAATATCAATCAATTTGATCACAATTAAAGATGAATCAGCATCTAATTTGATTTAATGATTAATAAAACTTTGGTATAAATTGATAAGTAAAAATATGAACTTTGGCCAAAAGAAAAATAAAAGTAAAAATTTAAAAGAATTACAACCAGATCTCATATAGAGAAATTAATTATTATAAAATTTATTAATAATTAAATTAAACTTGATAATTAATTATATTGTCAATTTAAATTAATTCAGTTGTTAATAAATTTTATAATAATTAATTTTTTTATGTGAAATTTTGATGTAATTTTTTTTAAATATTTTGGCAAAAAACAAATTTTGTTATTCGAAGTAATTAATTTTGGACATATGCCAGATTCTTCCTAAAATTAATTATAACCCCGATAAAACCCATTCTCGAGAGTAGCGGATCCAGTTCTATTAGTCGACGAGCAAGCATTCCACGCTCCGTCGGACGCCGTCCACTGTTGTCAGCCTTGCGTGGTTGTTCTCGTGCAAGCAGAGAAGAAGGTTCGAACTCAAAATCCGGTAAGATTGGTTTGTTCAATCTGGCTTTGAAGATTTGAATTATTTCCCTGCGTGGCTGTTCTTGCTTTGTTTAAAATTTTTCACTTTAATTTGGCTTTGAATCTGGTCGTGTAATCGTTGAATATTGACGCTTTTGAATTTGGGAATATTTACATTTTGAGGTTTTTTTTTTTTTTTGGTACTAGTTTTTGCTTGAATGGTGTGTAACCGGCTATTATACTTCTTCCCTCTTCATTTTGATTGCTAGCGACTTGGATAATTTGGATTGTATTGTTTTGCAATGTTGGATTTGCTGTGGATTGGCATTCTGTTTATTAGTCTTTTTTATATTATCGCCAATTTTGGAAAATTCTCAAGGTATTTGTGATGTATGATCTTATAAATGACATGGCTCGAGTTGTGTCAAAGTATCTGGAAGAAAAATTAAGAGGGTATTATATCAACTATGCATATTTCAAAGATTTCAGTGGGGTAGATGCCCCCACTGAGTATAGTATAGGTCCACCTATGGTTATAAACTTTCCCTGAATAAAACAAGTTGAGTTCTTACCTGATTTGATGTCAACACTAACATTCTGTGAATCAGCAAAAGGACTAATTTGTACCCGAGTTTCCAAATGAAAAATGAAATTTTGAGGACTCCATTATATATTTACATTATTTTCCCAGTTGAAAACTCTGGTGAGTATAATTTAGTATGCTTGGTGACATTTGAATCAACAAGGAATTTCTTAAACGTCTTGATCTTTATCACAAAAAAAAAAAAGTCTTGATCTTTAAATATGTCCTACTTTCGGCTTTGCCTCTTCATTGTTTGCCTGGCAAGGTAATTTTATCTCTCATAGTCTAGATTTGAGCCTTCAGGTTAGCAATGGCATGGAGGGGAAATCTCTCAAAGTACCTGAAGGAGCTTCGGTTTTTGATGTGCCAGACATCACCTGCAAGCTCCACCACAAGGTCATAGTTATATTACTCTTTCTCTTGATAAACTCTAATGCGAGCTTAATTGCACATGCTATGCATAGAAACCTGATATGAGCCCTTAATTTTATCCCAGGACATTTGTGGAAAAGAATTATAAAGAGCTAAAGACATTGAACCCCAAATTGCCAATATTGATCCGCGAGTGCAGTGGGGTTGAACCCCAATTATGGGCAAGATATGGTATCATCTGTCATAAATCCTTTTTTCTTTTCTTTTTTTTTCAATTTGAGTTTCTCATGCTGCACTGGGGTAGTCCCTTTCAATGCCATTATTCCAAAACCTCTTGTGCCTAGATAAGTATTTTTTACATTTGAAAAGGAAAACTACTGTATTTGGGCTAAGTTCTATTGTACTTCCTCTGATCCTAAATATAAGAGTTATTTGAGAAATTTGCTTTGGTTCTAAATATGAGGCCCTAATCTCTTTTGTCTTCCAAATGTATTATTTTCAAGCAAACTACACCTATTAATTGCACACATCAGGGATAGTTGTCAATGTAAATGATTAAAAAGAGAATTGTTTTAGAGAAACCAGCACATTTTTTCCAAATAATTAACTTAACAAATTTCCTTAATTTGTGTCAATTAGTAATCTTGCTCTTACATTTAGGACTGGAGGGAGTAGCTTCATTTATTTATCTGGGCTTTGTGCTGATAAACTTTCTAGTGTCTGGAGCGCTGTCTATTTAGTTTGCAGGGACCGAAGGTTTGCTGGCTTTGAAATTTGTAGAACGGCATATCACCTATGACTGTATAGCCATGTTCTTTAGATGATAATATTCTTGAACTTTCTGTTTTGATTTCTTTTCATCGAGTTGTAAGATTATCAATCTCATCTTAGGATTTGCATTTTCATAAGTTTTTGTTCGCTGATGTTCTAAACTTCCAAAGTTCTAATCATGGCTTACTTTTAAGGAAGAAATACCTCCTTCTCCATAAGAAACGTGTCATAGATTGTTTGTAGAAGATATTTGTGGTTTAAAGTATATTTTGCATACCTATCTCTCCCTGGCCTTTCTCTCTCTTACTCTCTTAGAATAAATAGAAGAGAGGGGGAGGGGAGTGAGTGGAATGGAGATATTCAGGAAAGGTAGTGATGAGAGTGAGTTCATCTGAAGTTTCATTTATTTTTCATATTTTGCAAAATCACATTTACCTCTCCTTTGTTTGACATTTTATATTAGGATCAGTTCCCATGATCTGTGGTGTTAGTGTTCTCATTTATAGGGAAGTTTGATGTCTGAGTAGAAGCCAACAAAGTAATTGTCTCTCTTCTTGGTCACAGACTTGGGTGTTGAGAAAGGCATCAGGTTGGAAGGTTTAACAGAGGAGCAGATTTCAAAGGCACTTCAAGATCTGGTAAAAGCAGGAGAGTCTTTGAAAGCTTGATGTTGTCATATTGCTCAGCTCATGAACCGTATGAAGTGGAATAAATGATCTCTCTTGCAGTTCTTTTACTGCGTATTACTAATTTTTCTGTGTCTGATAGTTCTCTGGTTTTCCAGATTTCATTTCCTTTCCTTCCTTCATCAAGACAAAACTAAGATTCAACTGTATCTTGACCTTGCTTTTCGACTGTTGAGTAACTTATCTTGATGACTCTATTCAGAACACAGGTGAAAACATGTTATGATTCGGTTCTGGTATTACCTATCTAAGAATCATCTCATCCATATCCATATTACAATTTATTTATTGTAATTTGGCTTGAGCCTTGATGGCGGATTTTGAGCTTGATTCCCTTTTACTTTAATTATTTAAAAAAGTTAAATTAATATAAAAAAAGTAAGAGATAAATAAATTTTAATTGATTAATAAATTACTTTCTTATACACTTAGGTAAATATATCCTTACTTTAACTTGCTCCTTCAAATGATAGCAAAACCAAGTAACATATAAGAGCTCGACATTTTTATTTACTATTTTGTTTGGTTGTAGAGCTCTCAAAACGGGTTTCGTATTTTGTTAGGAGTTCGGTCTTGATTGATCGAGCTTAGGCTTGAAATCGAAAGTGTGCATATTTTTTTTCTATATTTTTTAATTTAAGTTTTCAATTATGATACATATATAAATTTTAAAGGACACAAATAAATATCTAAAGAACCATATTGTGCTCCATATTGAATAGTATAGATACAAAAACAAAATATAAATAATACAAGTTCAAATTGTCATTCTCCAAAATATAAATATTCTTGAGTCAATCGTCATCATCCAAATGGAAAAAAGAAAAAAGGGACTTAGAGTTTCAAAGAAAAAAATACAAAAAACCAAATATATGTATATATATATATATAGTAAATGCCCCGACAGTGCACTTTACTCTAATATAACAAAACGTAAAAGAGGCAAATTATCCAAAAAAAAAAAGTTAATTCAAATCCTTTTTTATGGGTTTATTGAGGCCGGGCCAAAAGCTCTTCTATACTAATTTTCTCTTTTTATTTTTCATGTAATGTAAATATTATTTTTTCAATTTTTTTTTAAAGATGCTTTTACTAAGTTATTACGGTGGAAGAAAAAGTTAAAACGAAAAGAATTTATTCATAATATTTCATTTACATCAGCTAATAAGTATACATAAAAGCTTTCTATTCTATTAATTTATACTAATTTTCAATTTTCAATTAATGATCAAATAAAATCATTTCATTTTTTTGATAAAACTATCAAGCAATAAAATATTTCATTCTATTCCACTCTAGTAGCTCACTCCACTTCATCATGTTCCATTAATGATTATTATCATGTCCATTCTATTTCATACTCCTAAACATAACTTAAGGCGAAAAAGAAAAATTGCAGAACATCCCATGTTACAATAAAACATAAAAATTTGAGAATATCCAAAAAGAAACACCATAAAAATTTGAAATTGAATTGTTTTCTGTTTATTCAGGTAGGTAAATCCCCATGAAATAGTACGAAAATGAGATATAATTTGTTCTAATTTTTTATTTTTTATTGATAATCAATAATAGTAGAGAAAATTTCTTGTGAGCACCAAACAAGGGACTTATTTATAAGTAAATCCAACAAATTTGCTAAAATACTTTAAAGCCTTTTTAGAATTTGGTTGTAGTTGATTTTGCTGGTAAAATGTCACATATGTTATTTGCCTTTGATTAACATTTATTGATTTTGACTAAGCGCCAATGATTATTGACTAGTAGCCGATACCCATTGACCATATACTGCCGTTATCCAATCAAATAAAATAACTTTTTTAAAAGATATTTTCAATACAATATTAATATTTTAATATTGATATTTTAATGTTTACAAGCCAAACATAATAGATTTACAAGTAAATCTTTAAGACTTACAAATCAAACTTCTCAAATTTACAAATCAACCTCTTATAATATTAATACTTTAATACACACTAATCAAACTTTGGAGAAGGTGGTCTAGTGCTTTTTTATAGCGCTCTGTGTTGGATTAGTACTTTTATTACACTCGATAGATGGCTGTGTGTATTGAGTAATTTGTTGAGTTTTCTTCATCAAAAAAACAAAAACAACAACAAAGAAACAAACAAGTTTTGCACATTTACAAGTACATCTTTAAAATTTAAAGTTAAACATATTAAATTATAAGTAAATCTTTAATAAAATTTAATACTTTAATATTTACAAATCAGCATCATAGAGTTACAAGGGAATTTACATGATTTTTTATTTTTTGCATTGATCCTTCATATTTCACAAATTGATTTTCAAGTTAGCGTTTTAAATTTGTAAGTCATCCTTTTAAATTTATAAACTAAACTTTGAAATATATAACTTGATAAGGTAAATAACACCTAGGTACACTTACAAATTTATGATGATAATTTATAAATTTAAGAAGTTGATTTGTGTTAACAAAAAATGAGTGAATCATCTTAAATGCATTAGACATGTTGAAGAAGCGCGTCTTCAATCGAGAAATGTGGGGACTTCAAATCATTTACGTCAATTCTTTTGGATTGTAGGGACTAAACCGATAAGCAAGGCTCAAATCACTAGAAAATTTAAGTTTTATTGAAGGAAATGGAACAAATTTGGGTAGAAGTGAACATAAATATCCTAAGAAATATGACTAATCCTAAGTCTGATTAGATAGAGTAGCTAAATCACTAAGTTACATCAAGAGGCTCTGTGTGGTGAGTGTTAACAATAAAGAGTGTGTTGATTGACTGGAATGGTTAGCAGGCTAGCTAATATCCTTCTGATTGTCTTTCCTTGTTTTAAAAGGAAGAGTAGTTACTTACTTGGGAATTAAATTCATAACCTCTCTCGCCATGTAAGGAAACTATTCCTCTATCATGGGATGCAAAGTGCTTCACATAAATCAGGCATCATTGGCTAGTAGATACACTGGTACATGGTAGAGGAAACATATCATTCCATTTAAGTGCTATGCTTCTCCAGAGATTTGATTTGTAAATTTTAATTAATATTATAAAAGGAAGACATGTAAATTAAGAAATTTGACTTATAAATTTACAATGCTTGACTTGTAAATAAAAAAAAAAAGTCGACATGCTAATGTAAAAAATTGACTCATAGAACGTGTATCCCATACTCTCAACTGCAAACAATGCAATAATATCTCTCATTGATTCACCACTCATCAGATGAATATATAATTGGAAAAGCACTTTTGCAGGTCCCTATAGTTTAATCTAATTTTTAATCAGGCCCTAATAATTTTGTTTGTTTTAATTGAATCCTTGTACTTTCAAATGTTAAGCCCAATAATCCCTTCCTTGTTTGAAAATTGCTAATGTGGCTAACGATCAATGATGTAACTGACACGCAAGCATTCAGGTGATTAATAGCTAACACGATAGATTCACAAAGGGAGGAAGGGAGAATCTCTATAAAGTGATTAATTGGATCCTTGTATTTTCAAATGTTCTGTTATGTTGATACATGAGAAAGAAAAGTTTAAAATCGTCATTGGACTCTTTGCCTTTGCACTCATTATATTTCTCTTTATCATCATGGTCTCTCTTTGTGCGTTGCATGACTATCCCAGTAAACTCTTGTGTGGCCTCTTGGCATATAATCAATTCAACTCTCAATCAATTATATGTGGCTAGATGCTGGCTTCATATATATATATATATATATATATTGTTGTCTTTTTCCACTTTAATCAATCTCTCCCTTGTTTTCATTTCCCTTAACAAGGTCTAACACACAATAAGAAAATAGAACCATTTCTCTCTATTTCAAGTTTTTCTTTCCCTCTCAAGTATCTCTACCTACCATGATTGAGAGGGGTGAATTATAAACTATACATGATAATCGAGTATAGATGCTACTATTGAGGCCACACACAAGAGTTTTCTAGGATAGTTGTGCTGCACAGAGAGAGGGATCACGATGATGAGGAGAAATGCAATGAGTATAATGGCGAAGAGTTCAATAATTTTAACCCTTTCTTTCTCGAGTGCCAACTTAATAAAGATTAAAACATATCACTCTATCTCTCTCTCAAAATCTCTCTCAAAATCTACCTTGTAATCAACTTTGATGCTGTGTGAAGATATCTTTTAGCCACATCAATCATTTCACTGTCAGGCATATCAATAATTTTCAAATGGTGTTAAAGGGGAGGGATTAACGTACTTGACATTTGAAAGTATAAGGATGAAATTAAAATAATCAAAATTATAGAGGCCTGGTTAAAAATTAATGTAAACTATGAGGACTTGCAAAGGTATTTTCCTTATATAATATCACAAAATCTTATGTGATAAATGAATACTAGATAATATTCCTCAATGGAGTCTATTCATTATCTATCTATTAATTAATAATAGCACAAAATATTATGTGATAACAAGGGATTTATTATAAATTTTCACTTTTTTTTTATACACAAGGATAACCAGAACTTGTTAATATCAGGTCATAGTATGAAGCCCAATACAATCACTTCGCATCATCCTCTGAAGATTCGTAGAAGCTTGATGAATGGCATGGAAATCTGACAGAGATGAAACTCCCCATCTAGCGAGAAAATCACCACTTTATGCCCAGTTCGAGTAATATGCCTCGTTTTCACATCCCCATTCGATATTGCTTCCATATACATCCCGCTTTATTGTAAATTTTTACTTTTTAGTGGGTACATTTTCTTATATAAAAATTAAAGAATCTATCTATTAACAAAAAAGAAGAGAACTCAAAGAATCTTAAATTTTTACCTTTTAGTGGGTACATTTTCTTATATAAAAATTAAAGAATCTATCTATCAATTAACAAAAAGGAAAAGGAGAGCTTCAAGACTCATAACTATTTGTGACGTCTTTTTTATGGATTACATTAAATATCATCGCATTATTATAGATATATTAACATATTGATCAGGATGGGTTGACGTTGATTACTTATATTACGCATTCCTTATAGTTTTCATAGAACGTGCGCAAAGTAATCCCGTGCCACGTGGGAAAAAGCCCGCTTCGTCATTCTGGACGCGCTGGTTATTTCACTCACGCTCTCCGTCCACAACCGTTGTCTTCGCCCTTGCCCTTGCTGCTTCTTTTTCGATCCTCTTCGCAGAATCTTCCTCATTCAAATCGAAACAAAAGGGACGAATCCCGCCGATTCTGTCTGCGAAGCTCTTTGTGGTTCCGATTTGCTTCTTCGATTGAAAAGGTTCGTTTGCTCACTTCCGTTACCTGATGCGTTTTTCTTTTTCAAGGCATTAGTCGGTTGATTAGGTCGGTTGCTTCGATTTCGATTTCTGAATGCTTGGTTTGATTTCGCCGTTTAGGTTTCGGTTCGTTGATTTCATTAACACTCATTACTTGTTCGTCTCAAATTTTGTATATTGCTGCCTGGAAATTTCATTCGTCCTCTTTTTTTTTTTTTTCCCGTTTTTGCATATACTGTTTAGTTTTTGCTTTGATTTTAACGTACGATATCCAGGAAGTGATGTTTGTAGAGTTAAAAGGTCCGGTTTTGCTTTGAATATTCAATTTAGTGTTTTCTAAGTTGTTGAATTGATAAAGCTGGCTGGTCAAACTTGGTCTTGTTTGTCGGCTACTATTTCTGAATGATTTATTGTGATTATCCGTGGCTTATGGTTTATCTCTCTGAATAATCTTTTGACGATTTCTAAGTTTGATGGTCTGGTGATCATTGTACTTCTCGTGTACCTTTTTGTTCGAAGAATTTTTTCTGTCGGGATTCCTTTTTATATTTGCTACTTCGTGTAGAGTAAAATTTTCTGAAATGTATGGTTTTGATGTTCAACTGCTGAAAATATAGGAGAAGAGTTGTCAAAGGCTCTGGTTCAATTAGTTTTTTGAGTAGTTATCGTTACTTTATGGTCTGAAATAAGAACATGTTTAAGTTACAGATTATTTTATGTTGCTTTGTTTTACTTTTCACTGCCGATAAATCTTTAAAGCTTCTGAAGCTTTTCTATTCGTAACTTCTCTTGCTTTGAACAGATGGGAACAGGTAGTTGTATCTAGTGTTTCTTTTTCGATTTTCTAGCACATCTAATTTTTTTCTGTTTTATGCTTCATCTTGTTTCCAGCATTTTATGTTTGCCCTTTTTTTGGCTGTTTCCATTTATCATTAATCAGACCAATAATCTCTTGCCTTGTAATTTCTGGGTTTTCAGGTTTCATAATTTGGATTGGGTGATATAGTGCACAATGAGTACTCAAGCAGTCAGGGGGCCAGCTGCCAGAAGTGGTCGAAGGAGGAAGACAGGTTTGGACTTGGACCTGAACTGTTCCCCACCAAATGAGAATCAGGAACAGGGGGGACCTTCAATTCAATTGGTGCCTCAGGAAGTTCAAGCTGGCCAGCAACCGCCAGTTGCACAACGTGTGATGATTGACGTGGAGGCCATCGAAGACGATGATGTTGTTGAATCCAGTCCCAGGGCTTTTGCTGAGGCATGACTACAACCTTCTGTATTCTGATTTTATTGTATCTTAAATCTGCGTCATATTCATATGTTGGAAACTAATCTTTTCTCCAAATTTTCTTTCATCTAGGCTAAAAACAATTTGAGAAGAAATCGTAGGAGGACTAGAGTTGATGTGGATTTAGGTAACATGGCAACCCTTTCCTCCAATGTTTTTTCTTGATCAAAACATTATATGACATTTATTTTTTTAAATGAATTTTAATAACTCTTTCAAGAATTTCCTTTTTATTCTCTTTGAAATCATTTTTCACTTTACTTTATCTTCTTATGCCACTTTTCTTTCTAAACTCTATATGGATGTGGTAGTTTGATTCGATTGACCTGTTGACATTACGTAATATATGTTGCACGATATTCAGTCTACTACTAATCATGCGGTGCTTCATTCCACATTTCCACTCTGCTGTCCCTGTGACCGACTGGTTGATCTCTGGGATATTCTAGAAGAATCAAAGGGAGTGGAGTGGCAATGAAGCAGCTGATCATCTGTCTAAGCATGCTTGATCTGTTCCACCAGGTTTTCATGATGTGTTTGCTCATCGGTGGATTTGCTTGATTTTCTTGATCAGTTACTGAGTATTTGATTTAGGGAGTTCTGTGAAAAAGGTATGGAAAGAATTACGGAAGAGTTTTGGGGAGAAAACTAGCATATTGTGCAAGGTTGTCAGAATGGAGTTTAACTGAACTCATGAAAAAGAGATAGACTTGCAACATAAATTCATATCATAAACTTGCAAGAGTTTAATCTTATCGATGAATAGATATTAAAATATGTAAAATATAATTGAGAGGTAATATAAAATGTAAATCTTATCCAAGTTGCCATAAATGAGAAGAAATTTAGGTATGTTCTAAAATGCAATATTTTGATGAAGTTTAACAAACTTTATATGTAATTTTATTTATGAAGATCAATTTTTAATGTATTTATTTTATTTCATTTATTATTTATGCTAGAACAATTTCATTTAACCATGAAATTTGATCTTAGTAGTGAACCTTTGAAGATTAAATTCGCCATAGGGTCTTGAGTCCAAATACTGCACTGAGAAGAATAGCACAATCTAATTTAAAGATACAATTAAAACAATTTTTTTTTTGGAGAAAGCAGTTGTCTAATTAATTCAATATTGAATGATATATTTTTTCTAATTTTATCATTTTTTGAATTAATTTTGGAGGAAAATATAATGTATAGTTTACAAAATTGATCTATGCTTTATGACTTTAATCATTTTGATTACCCATATTGAAGAGGTGAATAATAAAATAGTCCTTCCATTTGTTAAGCATTTCAAGCTGCTGAACCATTGCGTTGGGGTTTGATCCTCAATGCTGCAACTTTTGGTTCAGCAATTTTATCAAAATTAACTTGCCCAATTCACTTCAGAAATGTCGAGTTGATAGAGCCTGCAAGTCACTCACAATTTAATATGATTGGATCGAGTTTATTGGTGGCTTAACTCATTTTGTAGACATAAATGGTGACTCTTAAATCTGTGAGTTAAGTCGTGTGTTTTTGACAGCAATGTTGCTGTGTTCAACTTCTCATATGTTGTACTGCTGAGTGTTTGTTTCAAGTGTTGTCCTGTTGTTTTTCTGAACTCTCTTGGTATAATCAACAGCAGCAACAAGCAGCCTTGTCTCACTAGGTGGTTTGTTGGTATAATCATTAACCACTATTATATAGGTTCTCACTATAAATAAGAAGTTTATGTAAGCCAGAACTCATTGACTACATTTCTCACATTCTCTCCAACCCTTTCTGATACAGTATAAATTACTGTGGGACAGTGGGTTTTCACTGGTAGCGCTCTGTCTGCTAGTCTGCTCAAAGAGGAATGGGATTGATTCTGATCATGATTTCTTGAATTTTTGTGGATTAATTGTTCATCAAGGAAAGCCAATTGTTGGTCATGCTGGACCTAAGTTCTTTGGGAACGTGAAATATTTTCTAGGTTGTGGTGACGGTGGAGGGTTTGATTACATCACTTTGCTAGATACTTGGTGCATGGGGTATAGGACAGGACATCCAATTAGTTATTTTGGGAATGGCATTTTGTAACAACTTGCTTATTGCTGGTTTTACGTTTTTTTTTTTTTTTTGTATTGCATTTGACATGAATAGTTGAGTCTGTCTCGCACTTTACACTAATGCCTGGACTGTAACTGTGACCAAAGATTATAAGGGTTGCATCAATGCTAATAAAAAACTCTTTTCACAAAGGTTCAGAAAGCTTATAAATAAGGAAGGGAAAACAGCATCAATTGAACAAAAGTAGTAGAATTGTTGAATAGTTTTCAGAAAATACAATGTGGATTTGACGGACGGTCATCTGTAAAATTTGGAGCACCTCTGCACAGTCTTGTAAGTTTCTTTGTTACTGATGGTAGTTGTTATTATCTTTTCGTTGTTCATGTCTATTACAGAAGAGTGGACTAGAGGAAACAATAATGATTGCAACAAACGCAGAAGAAGTTCCTCAAGCCAAACAATTATTAACTGCGATCTTTATGTAAACCTGGAAGCCAGTAACAGTTCTATGGTAATTGATTCTTTTGATTCATGTTATATTACTTTATGTCCCATGCTTTTTTTTCCAGATGCGTAACTTATGAATGTGCTCTGTTTTCTTACTGTTTATATGTTGATTTTAATATATCCTATTTCTTATTGCCATTAATGCATCAGGCATCTAGTGTATGGTTTATTCTTATTAAAGGAAATTCCTGTTATCTTGATTGCTGCTACCTTCAACCTCTTTAACAAATATTCATGTCATTGGTTCTGAAATCAAGTAATGCTTATGATAGACCTCTGTAATTCTGACAGAAGAGAGAAAGGGAGACAAAGAGAGAAAAGAGAGAAAGATAGAGAAGAGAGGCAAAGAGAGATATGAGAGGGATGAGACAGATAGGAGAAAACAGGGATAAACTAACCAACCTTACTAACTTTTATTTATTATTATTATTATATCATATCATCACATGTTCTTGTTATAAATAATTTTTCTTGGTTGCTTCTCAAGGGAAATGCTTTTGACTTAATGTTATGCAACTGAAAATTCGGCTATTTTTCTGCATACTTTTTGGTGTTGTTCATGAATAGGGTGTCCTAGAATATTTCACTATTTTAGTTCTACACATATCAAGCTTGTTCATCACTTCATACTTTACCAGCACACTCGTAACCATCATAAGTGGTAGCGGTACCCGGGTCATTGGTCCCATAATGGAACTGTGCCCCAAAATGCATGATTTTGAATGTGAGCTTTTCATGCCTTGGATCAATGAAAGTGATTATCTCACTTGACAATCATTGAGAGGGAGAGGGATGGATATAGGATATGAGAAAGAGGGATAGAGAGAATGGGGGAAATGTAGCCATTGAGTATTAATCTACATGTCTGGTCAAAAAGAGAAAAAAAGAAAGATTATTAATCTAAATGAGTATCTTATTTATAATGAGGATAAAAGACAATGCATTGATGAGTAATAATTATAAAATGATTTCCTGATTAATTTACAATCAATTCTAATAATATACAATCAAATCATATCCTAATCATGTCACAATCAACAAGAAGAATTAAAATCCACATATATGCCAACCTTAGGAGTCAGATAAGATCCAAAGTGAAATTCCTGGTAATATGGGAGAAAAAGAAATCAGAAATTTATGCTCCCAGATCCAGAACTGGAGTAGAGTTTTGGAAGGTGTGGCTTCCAATGTCAGGGAACTCTTGGTAGTTTGGTGATCAGTGGTGACTCAGTCATTGACCCTCCACTGGAGTTAGATGAAAGGAGTGAGGGGAAAGCGTGAGAAGTAGGGAAGGGATAGGTGTGGCGTGTTAAGTAGAATTTACCCAATTGTTGTCATGAGCATGAAACAGAGAACAAGTATCAAGAAATTATACTTAGGTTTGATTTTTATGCTTTAATTTTTCCACAGAAATCAATGGAAATATTTAAATTCCAATTAAAAAATTTAGTATAAAAAATTGTTACTATTTCATAGTTTTGTGAAATATATAATTTGGATAGGGTGAGTTGATACCATTTTTTAATATATTCAGTAGCTGGCTGAAAATGGTTCCGAATTCAAATTGCTGACTTGAATATTTCATTTACAGACGGAGAGCATGAGCATGCCACCGGAACCTCCAAAGAATCCTGTCTTTAACTGCCCAATATGTATGGGTCAATTAGTAGAAGAAACGTCAACAAGATGTGGTCATATATTTTGCAACAATTGCATTAGGGCTGCAATAAAAGTGCAAAGTAAATGCCCCACCTGCAGGAAAAAGGTTACTGTCAAAGAGCTTAGAAGGGTGTTTCTGCCAGCAACTAGTTAAAGGTTTGGCCAAAACCACAGATTATATAGATCGGTTGAAGTGCTTCCCCTTGTTTCTGACTTTGTAGGTGTAACAAGTGGTAGATTTAATATTTCCTACCACTACCTGCTGACTTTCAGCACAAGTGATGAAATGGTGGTGTAAGTTATATGAATTCAATTTTGTTAAGTTTCCAGTAATATATAAAGGGAATATGTAATATTCATGATACAATGAAAGGCTGATTTTTTAAATAGGGCGGTTAGTCAAGATAAGTCAATGCCCTACATGCTGTTTTGCACTTTCCAATCTGTGTTTTATGTCTTCCTCATTTTTGAATCTGAACTTCTTGTCGATAATCATAACTCCAGGGAAATATTGACCATGGACTGCACTTCTTGCAGATGATATTCTTGTTTTTTTGGTTGACCTCAATTGAGTCGAAATTTTAGCTACCCTTGATATCTAACGCTGGTTGCTTGAAAGATAAATTTCACTAATAGAAGACTTTGGTTACTGAGATTTTGGTTGTGAGAGAGAGCCACCTGAACTTCCAAAGTTGTTTAACTGTTAAATATAGATGGACCCTTCCTTAAAAGAGAGTTTGGCGGATGTTTTTTTTTCCCCCAACAACTTCACTACGGCTTCAATAAATGCACTGGATAAATGCTGTGATAGAGTTTGTTTCTCCCATCAACTAGTTGAAGGTATGACAAAGCAAGTGATATTGCTTCCTCTTCCTCAACCTCCTCTTTTAATTTTATTGATAGTGTTTATGTGACAAGTAGTGCATGACCAAAAGGCTGCCATTAGACGGTGTACCTGACTTGGACTCGTCTTTAGGGTGGTGAAATGTAAATGGGCCTAATTGTAAATTTGTTCAGAGACATTGTTTGGGTGTGCTTAAATTCTATAATCATATGGTACGATGAAAAAGTTTTTTATGAAATTAAAATTGGAATTGATATTGGGATATAATTGAGTTATATATATATATATATATATTTTGAAATTACAAGACAAGCCCAGGCTTGAACAAAAACTAAAGACATGAGAGGAGAGTCAGCTGTTCCTATCCTCCGGGAATAAATTCATGCATCGCGATGGGGGTTTATGTAGTACAACCAATTCTTCAGTGTTGTTGTGAGCTTCTTCAACTAGATAATCTGCAACATAATTGCTTTTCCTATTAGAGAAATACTGAACGTTTCCAAAAGAGAAAAGAGCATTTCGAGCTTGATGAAGCTCCTGGCGTAGGGGATGATCCGTGTTGTAACCTTGATGAAGGAGATTAATCAATTCAATGCAATCAACATGGCACTGAACTGGATTAACTCTGTACTGGTTGCATAATTGCAGGCCTTCCATAAGCCTATGTAGGTCAACAACTGTAGGTGGAAAAAGGTCGAGTCGCTTTTGAAAACCAATAATCCAATCCTCTTTTTCGTTTTTGATAATTCCACCGCATGTAGCAAATCCTTCCTTGTTTACAGAGCCATCCGTATCCAGTGGATAGTGTCCTTTGGGGGGTGATGCCATCTATTTGCAACCACATCCATAGACTTGAATATTTGATGTTGGAGTTTACCATTTGCTGCAGTTTCCATCAGATGGGACTTGATTTTTTAAGTAATTTCACTTGCATTAAAATGATTTCCTTCCATTGCTCTCCTACATCAATTTTTCCATAGTAGCCAGCATGTTGGACAAAAAATTTTGATCCAAGGCCGTTGGTGAAATTGAGTATTACCCAATTGATGTTGAGCATTGTACTTTAACTAGACTTGCAAATCAGATGAAAAAAACAAAGGCAGATAAACTGGGTTAATTAAATTCAACCAAACTTTCGTAGCTGTTGTACACTCGCGAAGGATGTGTATTATACTCTCCTCACTAGAACATTCAAAGGAACACCTCTCATTATGTGAAATGCCTCATCTCGCTCTGAGTAGGTTTGTAGGAAGTCGCTCATGGAACACTTGTTAGAAAAAATGCTTAACTTGTTTAGAAATTGGCCAGTGCCATAATTTTTTTCAAAAAGGTTCTTTGGGGTTGGTATTAAGAATTTTCAAAAAATTATAAGCCACTTTGACACTAAAATGATCATCTAAGGAATGTCTCCAAGTAAATACATCTTCCTGACCCTCACGAGGAGGATTAATCATTTTGATTTTCTGAATGACCCAATTGGAAAGATATTTGGCCCATTTTCTGACATCCTAATCATCATTGGGTAGAACGAATTGGTTCACCTTAGCCTTTGGGTCAACGGAGCTTATGTTGCAAGAAATGAAGTGCATAAGTGGCTCATTAAGAGGTGTCTATAGGTCCTACTAGCAGCTGGTAGCATTATCATTATTAATTTTCCTACCCATTCCTTTATTGAAATTATCCCACACTGAGACAATGTTGTTCCAGATGACAGATGCCTCCTTCTTGGTAATTTTAGGAAACCCATCTGCACCACAGTTGTATTTTTTTTTTGAATACAAGGCCACGGTAAAAGAAAACCGTGCAAAAGGACCAAATCAGCTTATGTCAAAAGACAAAAAACTTCTACAATCATTAGGAACGTCATTGAGAATCGTAGTGTCAAAATGGTCGCTAGAGGCCTTATGAGCTAAGAGATCAGCACAACGATTTGCTTCTCTGTAGACGTGATCCAGGGTGACCTTCCAGTTCCTCATTATGAGATTTCTAATGCTTTTTATGATAGTTAATAGCGGATGACCCTGATCTAGATTGCCATTAATGAGGGATATGGCCTCCATTGAGTCGGTGTGAACATTAAGTCTAGGAATTTTAGCATTCCAGCAGATGGTTAGGCCTTCTAGAATCTCGATAAGCTCAGCAGCTGTGATATGTTAGTAACCAAGGTTTTTAGTGAAGCCTTTGATCCAGTTACCCTTGTCATCTCTTATAAGCCCTCCACAGGCTGCGGCACCATTTTGTTTGACTGAGCCATCAACATCAAGTCTCATCCATCTAGGCTTTGGAGGCTTCCAACTTGCTTCATGTCTAGTATCTAAGATGTGTGAATGAACATACTTGGACTGGAGCTGCATGTCAATTATAATTTGTTGGGTGTTAGAAAAGGCAATGTCTTTGTCCACAATATCATTTTTAGCAAAAATTTCCTTGCATCTTGCTTTCCAAATGTTCCAACAGGCTTGAGCAAAGAGTTTCTTCCAAGATAATCCTCTAGTATAACTGCTTCCTGCTTCGCTATTAGCATTCCAAATTATCCAGTCCTGTACAGGAAGAGAAAAAAAGTTATTATATTTGGAAGGGCTAACTAATTTTTTCCAAACCTTTTTAGCTTCTTTACAATCTCGTAAGATATGAATAGAAGATTCAGGAGAATTACAACCCCATCGGCAGGTGCTATGCTGTAAAGTATTTCCATTAGCGAGCATAACATTTATTTGTAAGCGATCCCATGCTGCTTTCCAAAGGAAATACTTAATCTTTTCATAAGTAGGCCAATTCCAGATTTTAGACCAAATATCATTGGAATCCTGAGCCTGATGGTTTTCTATAGCTTTGTAAGCAGATTTTATAGAAAAGTTTCCATCTGAGGAGGGTCTCCAAATAAGAATGTCATCGTCACCCTGAGTCTTTGGAGGTTGAACAAGAGCGATATGTTTAATAATATTTAGGCGGAGGTATCTTTTTAAAAGATCTAAATTCCTCCCTCCATTGGGCCTGCAGAAATCCAAAACTCTTGTATGAAGAATAGAGTCGGCGTTTTGAGAGGCATGATAGACAAGAGGATCAGGCAGGGAAGTCCATCTATCATACCAAAAGGATGTTTTGTTACCTTTACCAATCTTCCAACCAACTAGAGACATAAATTTGTCCCAAATTTTGCAAATGCTACTCCAGGTGTAGGAGCAGGAATTAGGTCTGACAACCATAGGGATAGTCAGTCGGTTGCATTTATATTTATCCCTTAGAACTCGAACCCAAAGACAGTTTGTTTTAGTGAGGATGCCCCAGTAAAGCTTCATGATAAAGGCAATATTATGGCTTTTAAGTTTTCTAAGGCCAAGACCGCCAACCTTTTTATCAGATGTGACACAATCCCAAGATATAAGGTGAGGTTTTTTCCTCCCATCAGAAGAGTCCCAAAAAAAATTTCTAGAAATTTTATCCAACTCTGCTAACACATTATCAGGTAATAGAATAGTTTGCATAGTGTAGCTAGGGACAGTCGAAAGAACAGATTTTATAAGGACAGATTTTCCTGCCATGTTAAGGTAACGACTTCTCCAATTTTCCAATTGTGAATTCGTCTTCTCAATTAAAGGCGCAAAAGTGAGCTTCGTAACCTTCTCATGAATGATAGGGATTCCAAGATATTTTTCAAGGTTACCGGTGAGAGAGATTCCAAGATTATCGCTAATTTGTAAAGCTCTGTTGATATTGACATTTCTAGAGCAGAAAAGTTTAGATTTGTCAGCATTGATCTTTTGCCCAGAAGCTTTACAAAAATCAGAGAGGCATTGTAGAATGATTTGCGTTTGAGAAAGAGATAGTTCTGTAAAAAGCAACAAATCATCAGCAAAGAATAAGTGAGAAATAGGGGGCCCATTAGGTGTTAGTCTAATATGTTTCCATTCATTTTTATCGATGTTACTAAGAATACAATGACTCAGGCGTTCAATACAGAGAACAAAAATATAAGGGGAAAGAGGATCTCCCTGACGAATGCCGCGAGAAGGCCTAAACTCTTCAGTTGGTTCGCCATTCCAAAGGATTTTCATTCGGGAGGTGGAAATGGCTGCCATGATAAGTTTTCTGAAGTGATTGTTTATGCCAATGGAGATAAGAGTATCGTCAATGAAATTCCATGAAAGTCTGTCAAAAGCTTTTTCAAGGTCAACCTTGAGAGCCATGAAACCTTTTTTACCAGTTTTCTTCCTCATAGAATGAATGACTTCTTGAGCGATAATAATATTGTCACTACTCTGCCGTCCCTGGATGAAGCTACTTTGATAATCACCAATTAAATGATTCATGCATGCGCGCATTCTTGTAGAAAGAATTTTGGTGATGATTTTATAACTAACATTGCAAAGAGAAATAGGCCGGAAGTCTTTAATACAAGTAGGGTGATCCATTTTAGGGATTAAGGTAATAAAAGTGTCGTTAATCTCCCTTATAGAATCCGGGTCTGTAAAAGCCTTTCTGACCAGATTAAAGATGCTATCTTTAAGATCATTCCAATAAGAATGAATGAATCCAGTATTGATACCATCGGGGCCTGGGGCTTTAAATGCCCCAATATCAAAGGCAGCATTTTTAATTTCTTCTTCAGACACATCCCTATGCAAAGATTGAAGTTGGACAGGGGAAAGAGGAGGAAAGCAAGTGGCAGTAGAGAGTTTGGGCCTAATAACGTTGTCTTCCTTAAAAAGGTCTTTAAAGAAGGAAACTGCCATGTTCTTGAGGGTGATAGGGTCTTCCACCCAGTTGTTGTCAACATTTTTAAGTGATAAGATTTGATTTCTTTTCTTTTTGATGATAGATGTAGTATGAAAGAATTTGGTTGGTATTTTGGTCACCCCATATAAGCCATTTACATCTTGATTTCTGGAACCAAATCATCTCTTCTTGTAAAAGAATTTTATTGTAATCTTCCTAAAGGGATGTTTCTAATTTTCGAAGGAAATAATTATCTTTGTAGCTTTTGTTCTTATCGATGCCATCCAATCTCTTCAGTATTCTTTTCTTCTTGGAAGAAATATTGCCAATTATATCCTTATTCCAAGTAGTAGCCATATTGGCAAAGTTAGAAGCTCCTTCTGTCCAGTTATTATTGATCCAAGAGTTCTTGACCATAGGATGAAAGGATTCCTCAAGCATCCAAGCATTATGGCATCAAAAAGGTATAGACTGGTTTTTATAAGAAGACTCTTTGAAAAGTTGAATTCTAATTGGACGGTGATCAGA